AGGCATAAAAAGTCATAGTATAGTAAGGCATAAAAAGTCATAGTATAGTAAGGCATAATCACTCATAAAAAAGTCATAGTATAGTGAGGCATAAAAAGTCATAAAAAAGTCATAGTATAGTAAGGCATAAAAAGTCATAGTATAGTAAGGCATAAAAAGTCATAGTATATTAAGGCATAAAAAGTCATAAAAAAGTCAGTATAGTGAGGCATATAAAGTCATAAAAAAGTCATACTATAGTAAGGCATAAAAAGTAAAAAAAAAGTCATAGCATAGTAAGGCATAAAAAGTCATAAAAACAACAGTATAGTAAGGCATAAAAAGTCATAGTATAGTAAGGCATAAAAAGTCATAAAAAAGTCATAGTATAGCAAGGCATAAAAAGTAAAAAAAAGTCATAGCATAGTAAGGCATAAAAAGTTACAGTATAGTAAGGCATAAAAAGTCATACTAAGGCATAAAAAGTCATTAAAAAGTCATAGTATAGTAAGGCATAAAAAGTCATAAAAAAGTCATAGTATAGTAAGGCATAAAAATGTCATAGTATAGTAAGGCATAAAAAGTCATAAAAATGTCATAGTATAGTAAGGCATAAAAAGTCATAGTATACTAAGGCATAAAAAGTCATAAAAAAGCGTCATGGCATAGTAAGGCGTAAAAAGTAAAAAAAAAAGTCATAGTGTAGTAAGGTGTAAAAATTAAAAAAAACGACAGTATAGTAAGGCATAAAAAGTCATAAAAAAGTCATAGTATAGTAAGGAAAAAAAAGTCAAAAAAACGACAGTATAGTAAGGCATAAAAAGTCATTAAAAAGTCATAGTATAGTAAGGCATTAAAAGTTCTAAAAAAGTCATAGTATAGTGAGGCATAAAAAGTCATAAAAACAACATAGTATAGTAAAGTATAAAAAGTCAAAAAAACGACATAGTATAGTAAGGCATAAAAAGTCATAAAAAAGTCATGGTATAGTAAGGTATAAAAAGTCATAAAAAAGTCATAGTATAGTAAGGCATAAAAAGTCATAAAAAACAACATAGTATATTAAAGTATAAAAAGTAAAAAAAAACGACATAGTATAATAGGGCATAAAAAGTCATAAAAAAGTAATAGTATAGTAAGGCGTAAAAAGTAAAAAAAACAACAGTATAGTAAGGCATAAAAAGTCATAGTATAGAAGGCATAAAAAGTCACAAAAATAACAGTACAGTAAGGTATAAAAAGTCATAAAACGTCATAGTATAGTAAGGCATAAAAAAGTCATAATATAGTAAGGCATAAAAAAGTCATAGTATAGTAAGGCATAAAAAAGTCATAGTATAGTAAGGCATAAAAAGTCATGAAAAAGTCAGTATAGTAAGGCATAAAAAGTCATAGTAAAGTGAGGCATAAAAAGTCATTAAAAAAAGTCATAGTATAGTAAGGCATAAAAAGTCATAGTAAAGTAAGGCACAAAAAGTCATAGTATAGTAAGGCATAAAAATATTAAAAAAACAGCATAGTATAATAAGGCATAAAATCGTCAAAAAGTCATTGTATAGTAACGTATAAAAATGTACGCTAACTATCGTTAATCATCATTTTTCATTTTCCATTTTCAACAGAACGATTAATAAGAAACGGACACCAATAACCACAGCAGAGACATACTGTAGTGCTGATAATCATGCTTTATTAAATCAATAATTGGAGAAAAACCCAAGGAGGCTGCAAAAATAATCTACTCTACAACTCCAACTTCAATCAAACCAAAGTGCAGGGCAACACCCAAGACCACGCTTCATTTTGTCCTCAGTGACTGCAGCAGCAGCAGCAGTTGGTTTTGGCTGCGGTACATCTGCTTGATGGCGCCCAGCTTGACTGACAGGTGAATTTCTACAAACTAACACACAAACACACTGCAGACCTCCAAGAGACAGCTCTGCCTCTGCAAACAAGCACAGGACGGACTCTCGTTTAATGTGATTGGCCAGGTTGATGGTACGACTGAGGGGCCCGAGTGAGTGGTCGTTTGCCAGAAGCAGAGCTCAAAACAAAAAAGAAACATTTGTGCTCAGGGAGTGCAGGCCGCTCGCACTGTGAGCATGTCATCAAAATGGCGGTATGACATAATCAGTCAGAGCGCGAGGTCCAGTCGTCCTGCTTACATGAGGGTAAATGCAAACAGCACTCAGGATCTCGCTCTCGTTAGATTGTAACAGCACTGCTCTCACTCTCCAGCAGTGCATTCATAGTTTTGTCTCTGATTGAGTTAACATCAACAGGGAGCCTCTCCACCTGTTGAGGCAATCTTAAGACTTCAACTTTTCGTTGAGGCACAGAGTTTAGTTTCTCAGTTTAACAGGGTATTCGTTCCTGGTGAAACTTTCTCCTGTTAAACTACATTTAGTTTCATTTTGTTTCAGTTAATATTATTGTCATAAATAACAATGCATACATTTCCCATAACCGTTAAATTCGGCTATATACATTATGTACATGTCACAGAAAAGTGGTTCAAAAATCCTAAGTCATAATTGTCCAATATGGCACATTTTATAACAACTTTAGACTTTAGTCTAGTTTGGCATAAATTAATGTCAAGATTGGTACAAAAATAGTTCATATTTACAAGAAGAGAAATCCAGATCTTTATCAAGTAGATTAATTTGCTTAATTAATAAATAAAAAGGCATGAAAGAAGGGAAGAGGGGAGGATTAGATTTTTTTTTTTTTACACTGATCGAATGCTAATGTGAACAATCGCTGTGTCCGATCCGAGCTCGTTGGACAGTTTGAGGGTGTAGATTCCAGCGTCTTCCTCCTTAACTCCGGTGATGATGAGGGTGGTCAGGTCCTCTGTGGTCTCTATGTGGAAGCGTCCGCCGGCAGTCACCTCGATGGTTTTACCGCTGCGGGACCACTCAATGTGTTTGGCGTCACCAGAGAAGGCACAAGCGACTGTCAGGACTTTGCCCGGCTCAATGCTGATGTCCTCCGGCAGAGCCTCGATCCTGGGAGCAGAACCTGAAAACCACAGTGCATGTACATCAGTGTCCAGTAGGTTTTTTTGTTTTCAATTAATGTTGGTGGCAACAACATTTTACTACACAAAGTGGAGAATGTAGAAGAATAATCTGATTTTAAAAGTCAAGTACCAAAAAACGAACTGATTTTGTGACTCTATGAAGTCGATCATTTGTAGCTTTTCATTTCAAAATAAAGGCCATTCTGTTGCCTATGAATACCGGAGTGGAAGTAAGGAAGTCAGAACAATGCTCTCTTTATAAGGACATGTTGTTCAATAGATTTTAGATAAGTGTCTTACCAATGGCTCTAAATGAGGATCCCTCCATGTGGGAGGCCATCTCACTGAGGCTGCTGGAGCTCATTGCATATGACTCAGATGCCATTGAAGACATGCTGGACATGGACATGGTCTCAAACTTCATCTCAGCTGCCATGCCGCTGAAGGAGCTGGACTCCATCATGGATGACATCATTGCTTGCTGGCTGGAGGAAGAAAAGGAGGATGACTCCTCCATTGTGTGGATTTCCTTCTTCATCATCATAGCTGAGCTCATGGATGATGATGACTCCTTGTGACTCATCATCATCGATCCTGTTGAGGGTAGAGATGGAAACAGTGAATATGTAAATCTCCATAATGACAAATTTAAATTTATCAAATTGGATTAAATATTCTTGAATACTTGAGGCGGGTTCTCACCTTTAAGTGCCAACTGCTGCTCACGGTAGGATGTGATCTTCATGCGTATGGACTGGAACACCTGTCCGGTGAAGGAGAAGGAGGATTTGGATACTCCTCCCTCTGATGTCATCTCGCAGATATACTCTCCCTTATCACTGTCCGCCAAATCATGGATGAGAAGGCTGCAGGAGCCCTCGGAGTAGTGCATCTCAAAGTGGCTGCTCTGCGAAAGTCTCCTCCCATTGACAAACCACACCACCTCCCTGACACTGCTCTCGCAGACGCAGGACATCCTCACGGAGCCCTCATGGGCCTCAGCTGTTAGTTGGCTCAGGACCTTGGGAGGTTTCGGGGTTGGGGATTTGACCGTGGGTGGAGACACAACCCTCTTGGGGGACATAATCGGTGGAGGAGACTTCATCCTTGGAGGTGATTTGATTCCCTCGGGCTCAGGGGACTTCAAGGCCCTGGGTGATTTGATGCCTGAAGGTTCTGGGGACCTGATGCCTTTCGGTGTTTTGATTCCAACAGGTTCTGGGGACTTCACACCTTTTGGTGTTCTGAGTCCTACAGGTTCTGGAGATTTGAGACCCCGAGGAGATTTTACTCCCTCAGGTTCAGGTGACCTCACTCTCTCTGGAGACTTAGTTGGTGGTGGTGACTTGAGTCTAGGTTCTGGAGACTTAATACCCCGTGGACACTTTACTCCTTCAGGTTCAGGGGATTTGACACCTGGAGCTGGTGATTTTAAGCCGGGTGCTGGAGAGGGAGGCTCAGGAGACCTGATGCTCCTAGGGGATTTGATTCCCTCTGGTTCAGGAGACTTCACACCTGGTGTAGGTGACTTCACACCTGGTGTAGGTGACTTCACACTTGGTGTAGGTGACTTCACACCTGGTGTAGGTGACTTCACACTTGGTGTGGGTGACTTCACACTTGGAGCAGGAGATGTTACACTTGGCTCAGGGGACTTAACACTTGGAGCTGGTGATTTAATTGAAGGCTCGGGGGACTTGATGCTGGGTTCAGGTGACTTCACACTGGGGACAGGGGAAGTTATGGAGGGAGTAGGTGATTTGACCGAAGGCTCCGGTGACTTTACAGATGGCTCCGGGGATTTGACAGCCTTCACCTCTTCTTTGTGAACTGCTCTGCGGATGGTTATAGTGAAGTGAGCCTCCTGTCGGCCTGCGGAGTTCTCTACAACCACCGTGTAACTGCCCTCATCGGAGGACGTCACAGAGGAGATCTCCAGGCTGGACTTGTACTGACTTGTGGTGACGTGGACACGGTGAGATGAGACAACAGTTCTGCTCTCATGCATCCATGTCACAGTGGGTGCAGGTTCCCCATCAATGTCACAGGAGAATCTGGCTGTCTCTCCCTCTGCGACGGTCACAGACTGAGGCTTGGTGAGGATTCTGGCTGGAAGAGAAGGCTTCACCTTGTGGACAGACACTTCCTCAGCTACAACAGCAGTGGATGATTTGAGTTTAGTTTCAGATATGGCGTGTTTTCCAGTTAGAGAAAATTTGTCCGATGAGTAGGAGGAACCAGATGATAGGTATTCAGTGGAGGCATATTTCACAGATGAGTCGTACCTCTCAGCAGAGGAGTAGCGCTCGGAGGAAGCAGCATATCTTTCACGTGTCACAACCTCATGTGTCTCGGTTAGCTTAGACTTGCTCTCCTCCACCTCAAAGTGTGTCTGCGAGGCGTAGCCAGCTTTGAAGTGGGCAGTGTGATAGTGGTCAATTCGAGTTACTTCAGGGACATGGCCTTTAGGGGCTTCTTCATCCCTGCGGCGAGACGAGAAGGTGGTGTAGCCGCCACCTGACACATCCAGGGTGGCATAGTCTGATGCCTCTCCCTTCGAGTTGGAGCACACACAGCGGTATGTGCCACTGTCCTCTTCCTGGCACTCCAGAATAGTGATGGACAGAACGCCACTCATGTTGGAGAAAATGTATTTCTCGCTGCTTTCAGAGATGGCGGTTCCATTGTGGTACCACTTGACCTCGGCCTCTGGCTTGGTTTGGATGTTCAGGGTGAATTTGGTGTCTTGACCAATTGGTATGCGATGAGAGCGCATCCTGACGGTCACACGGGGGGCGTGATCCAGGCTGAAAGGTGTCTGGCTAACCACCTGGTATTTCCTCTCAGACTTCAGAGCGGCCTTTCTGGCTTCGTAGCGGGACATGATGTCAAAGCGGGCAGACCGCTCAAACCTGGAGGAGGAACGGGATGACCTCTCAACTGATCTGATGGGGCTGGGAGAGCGGGGACGGGTCCTCTCTGGGGTGGGGGACCTCCTCTCCACGATCTCTCCCTCTACCTCCACAGGAGCCCTGACACGTGGCGGTCTGATCAGCTCCGAGACTGGACGCATCAGTTCGATGTATGTAGGGGATAATGACCTTCTCCTCCTCATGAACTGAGAAACAGTCCGTTTCTTCTTTGTCTCAGAAACCTCGACGGCCTCGTGTCTAACCTCCTGCCTCCTCTCTTCATGTTCCAAGGTGCGCCGTTCAATGCGGACAGGGCTGCCAGCGGGAGAGGCGGAGAAGCCGAGCTCAAGTTCATCCTCCAGCATCATTTTCTCCTCTTCTGTTCTCCTCATGGAAAGGTAGTCGTCCACGGGCATCAGCAGCTCCTCATCACTAAGGTCTCCCAGAGATCTCCTTCTGGATCTGAAGGACACCTCTGATTCGGGAGAGGGTGAACGGCGTGCAGGTCTGACAGTCTCCAGATCATCCAGACTGAGTTTTGGAATACGCCATCTTGGCCTGTACTGGTCGGTGATTCGGGGGAGGGGCATGACATAGAACTGTTCCCACCTGGACAGGCGAATACGTCTCTGCCTCTTCTGCACAATCCTCTCCATCCTCTCTGGAATCTCATACTGGTCTCTCAGCTTTCTGTACCACTTCATGTCCGACAGAGGCACAAACTGCCTGATGGCTTTGTCTTCATCCAGAACTCTGGGATCATGGACTACAGGCTCAGGGATCTCATATGGCATGAAGATCCTCCTCTCCTCCTCCAGCTTCTTGGTCTCTGACTTTTCCACTGTGATGTCGAACTCACCCTCGACGTTTTTGGTGCTCACTGCAGGCTTGTACATCTCGGCAGCAAATTTGAGGGCCTCCTGGGCTGTGGGGTTGAAAGGTAAGTGCTCCTCGGTGGCGACAATTTGCTGAGCCATCTTATTCGTCTTTTCAATTTGTTTCTGAACATGTCTGTATTTCTCCTCCTCGCTCTTGTACTCTCTCCTGGTGTAGGTGAGGCGGTCGACCTTCAGTGTGGCCTGGCAGCTTGCAGAGCCAGTGGAGTTGGTTGCAGTAACCTTGTACACACCTGAGTCCTCAAGCAGAGTCTCTCTGATGTGCAGAACGTGGTAGTCAACGTCCTCCTGTATGACAACCACCTTGGGACCAAACTGTAGTGGTTGACCGTCCTTCTCCCACTTCAGAGTAGGATTTGGGATTCCTGAGACTCGGAGTTCAAAGCGGACACTGTGGCCCTCGGTGCAATCAACATTGGCCAGCAGACGTTTGAACATGGGCCTCATAGTTTCCTCCAGCACAGGATGAGGTGCTACAGTGAGACGAGCCTTGCAGCTGTCTTCTCCAAACTTATTATGGGCCATGACGGTGTATTCGGCGTCATCGCTCATGTCCAGGTTGTGGATCATCAGCTGGTACAGACCCTTGTCGCTGGTGAATGTGTACTTGCTGTCATCATCACCTGGCTTTATTCTCTCTCCATTCTTGAGCCACGTTACCTGAGGCTCTGGGTGCACAGTGATAGTGACACCGAAGCGGACGTCTTCGCCGATGTAGGCGGAGCGGTTGTAGAGCGGCAAAGTGAACTCTGGTGGTCTCCGCAGGACCATAGTCTTGTCAACTCTCCTCCTCAGTTTCTTGATGGAGCGGCTGATGTAGTGCTCTCTGATGCTCCTCACTGTCTCAACAAAGAGCTCTCCATAAGCACTGTCCTCTCCATCATCACTCACCACCTTGCATCTGTACACACCATCATCACTCTCTTCAATGTCCTTTACATAGATGCTGGCAAAACCATTACTGTAAGTAATCTCATACTTGGGGCTCGGGTGTAGCTGACGGTTCCCGAAGTACCATGACACCTGTGTGCTCTTGTCGTAGCTGGCGATACTACAGGTGAATCTGACATGGCCGCCTTCCTCGGCTGAGCCATGCATGACTGGACCAGCGCGGAGGCCATGGTACTCAGTTCCAATCTTCACTTTACCCACAGCCAATCCTCTCTGGTTCTTGAAGGCGCCGCCATACGCAATGCGAGCTGCTGATACAATGGTATCGATCCTCTTCACCAGAGTCTGGTAGTACCTTCTGTGTCTCAGGGTCCTAATTGTCCTTTTGCTGACATGCTCAATCTTCATCTTGAGCCATGGGTGCTCCAGAGCTTCATGGGCTGTCATACGGAGCTTCCTGTCCTTGACTAGAAGTCTGTCCACAAAGTCCATAGCTTCCAGGCTGATGTCCCTAAATGCTTCACTTTCAAAGATGTACTCACAGTTGGAAATGTTCTCAATCATCTTTGTAGTGGACTCTGCTGCAAACGGATTAAGGCCACTGAGCAGAACATAGGCCAGAACACCAACAGACCACATATCAGTGGCTGTCGTGACGAGGTCATGGCGATGGACCTCAGGGGCGTAGTACTCCGGAGCCGAGAACAACATTCTGATGTTCTCTCCAGGCGCCAACAGTCTAGCCTGGCCCATCTCAATAATCTTTATGGTGGTGCTTCTCCTTGTGGTGTAGACAATGTTGTCTGGGCGGATATCAAAGTGGCCGAAGTTGTGGCTATGCAAGAACTTGAGGGAAGAGCAGACCTGTCTCAGGTAGCGGACAATCTCCTGCTCTGTCAGCTCAAAGTTGCTGGTGCCAAGGCGCTCAAAGATGTCAACTCCAGAAATGAATTCAAAGATCAGGATTATCTCCTCCATGCTTTCAAAGTACTCATGCAGGTAGATAATGTTCTTGTGCCTTGCCACGTTGAGGGCCTCAATCTCCCTAAGAACCAACTCACGGTCAGTTCCTTTGACCTTGATGAACTTGGCCATGAAGGTTTTCTTTGTGGCAATCTCCACGCAACGGTGGACCGCTCCGAACTGGCAGCGAGCAAGCTCCTCAGAGATGATGTACTTGGAGGACAGCTCCTTCACCTTGTAGAACAGAGCCTCCTCCTTGGTGATCTCTCTGGTTTCGTCCACTTCCTCGTCGTAGTTCCTAATCACAGACTTGTCTTCCTTTGTAGTGATGGGCTCAGTCGGCTGAGAAGGAGCGCTCAGGCCAAACTGGTTCTCGGCAATGACACGGAACTGGTACTTGGTCTTTCCGAATATGTTGATGATGGTGATGCTGCAGTCAGTGGTCTGTCCAGCTCGGATCCACCTGTCAGCAGTGGTGGGACACTTCTCCACGATGTAGCCAATGATGTTGCTTCCACCATCATGGGCAGGGGGCTCCCAGGTCAGGGTGATGGAGTCCCGTGCAATGTCACTGACCACGAGTCCCTTTGGAGCTTCAGGTATGTCAGCCACGTTCACCTCTATGGTTTGCTTGTCCGTTCCAAACCTGTTCTTTGCAGTAATACTATAGTAGCCAGTATCCTTCCTCTGCACTCCCTTGTGGAAGACCAGGGAGGTGAAAGACCTGGTGGTGATGACCTGGTAATAAGGAGAGTTGGAGAGGATCTCCTGACCCTTCTGCCAAGTGACTGCTGGCTCGGGCTTGCCAGAGATGGGGATCTTGATGGTGATGTGATCACCACGGGCAGCATGGACTGCTCCCATTCCCTGGAGCTCTTTGGGCAGGTGGATCTTAGCAGGAACTAGAATTAAAATGACAAAAAACATTACATTAGTTTGTTATTTATCAAATAACAAAAGGATTCTAGGAATTATGAATAGTAATTATTTTGCATATCCAAAATTATTCCATTACCTTCCACGTCCAGGTTGGCTGTCGTAGAGATAGATCCTGAGGAGTTGGTTGCCCTGACTTGGTAAACTGTGGCGTCGTTCTCATCAGCAGAAGTGATGACCAGCTGGTAGTAGCCGCCCTTGAACTCCTGGGCTTTGATCTTGGTTCCATCGGCCAGGATTTCCTTTCCACTGCGGTACCATTTCACCACAGGCTTTGGATATCCAACCACCTTATCATTGGAAAAATAAGCACGTTAGATAATGTACTGAAAAACATCTCAAAACACAGACCTGTGTTTAATGTTTAAGCATTGAAAAACAGGAATTGAAAAAGTAAAGTCTTGTGTTTGGCCAAGCCTTTCTACCCATAATCAGATGAAACTGATTTCTAATGTCAAACACTGTGTATTTTAAATGACATACCTTAGTGACAAAGGTGGCATTGGCTTGGTATTTGACAGTCATGTCCCTGATTTCCTCCCTGTATGCGGGAGCACGAGGAGACTGTTCAGACTTGGGGATGATAGGCGCAGAGATCTCACTCCAGTCGCTCTCGCCACCCACGTTCTCACACTTGACCCGGAACTCGTACTCGAAGCCCTCGATCAAGCCTGTGACCTCGTAATTGGTTTCCATGATCTTCTTTGTGGTTACTGACATCCACTTGTTCTGCTTCTTCTCACGTTTCTCCAAGTAGTAGTTGGAGATTTTGGCGCCGCCGTCGCTGCTTGGAGGCTTCCAGCAGACGACACAGGAGTCCTTGGTGGAGCTCATGATGAAGGGCTGCTGTGGGATGCCAGGTTTTTCTAAGAAACAAACAGAATGTTACTGTGGTGCTCTACATATCCTATCAGTCAGTCGTGTCTCTCTACAGTGCAGCTACAAAAGCCAAAACAGGTAAACCAAATATGGATGGACTTACCGAATGGACTCTTGATGATGACCACTGATGGGATCTCCAAAGGCTCACTGACTCCGTACTGGTTCTGGGCAGACACTCTGAAGTAGTAGCCAGCGCTCTCAATCAGGTTGGGGACACGGCAGGTGGTGCCAGAGATGGAGGAGGACACCAGGTGCCATTGTTCACCTTCTTTGGCCTCACGTTTCTCCACGATGTAGTTTGTGATCATGGAGCCTCCATCATCCTTGGGAGCCTTCCAGCTGATGACAACTGAGCTCTTCAGCAGGCCTTCGACAACCATAGGGCCCTCAGGGATGCATGGTTTATCTGGAAAAACCAAAGGAAGGGCTGAGTAAAAGCTCTTCTTTTATGAAGACCTAATAAAAGTTATTTGTTGGCTGATACTAGAAAACAAATTCATGTGTAGCTACTAGTATTTGCCTAATATTTACTAAGATATAGACATAATCATCTGAAATCTGTAGAGTTTGAACTTTCTGTTCCTGTAGTCTGATTTTACCTTGGATTTCAACACGTAGCGAAGTGTCAACGGTTCCAAACACGTTGCTGAGCTGCACCTTGTAGCGGCCAGCGTTTGTCTTTCTCTGGACGTTCCTCACCACCAGGTGGGTGTAGCTCTCTGTGTTTTCAATGATCACATTCTCTGATGAATTCAGAGGCTTCTTGCCATAGAACCACATGATCTGGGGGATGGGACGCCCGATGTAGACGACATGCAGGCGGAGGCTTGTGCCAGCCCCGGCGAAGTACTTCTCCTTGAGCGGGAAGCCGGGATGGAACTGAGGAGCTGCTTGCAGACGCAGCTTGCCACTGGTTTCAATCTCTCCGGCCTCGTTGATGGCCCTGCAGGTGTACAGGCCCTCGTCTTCCTGCTCTTCTGTCAGAATGCTGAGGGAGTGGTTACGGCCATCTGAGCTCATCTTGTACTTGCGGCTCTGGATCAGTTCCTTGCCGTAGCGGTACCACTTGATCTCAGGCAGTGGTCTGCCAATAATGCCACAGGTCAGAGTGCCAGACTCACCAAGCTTGGTGGTTACGTCTTGGATCTCTTCCTTCAAAGCTGGAGCTTCACCAACTGCAGAGACATCAGCAAAGTTTCATCAATATCTGAAGTTATTAGGCTTTTTGCTTTTAACTGTAGAATGTGTATGATGTTCTTTCATTCCTAAAGCTGCTACTTCATACTTTATGCTGTATAATGAAATGCAAATATGTTTAATTATAAAACAAAATTGGGTATGATTTATTGTTTAACTTTGTAAAGACCCAGATCACATCAGTAATTGGCTATGATTTATTTTAGCTGCTGTCATGCAACATTTGATTCAACTAATAAATGTTTTAATGAAATATCACACTGCTACTGTGACCAGGTCCTTCTGTATGATAGGATCTGAATTGTGCAGCAGCTCACCGCTCAGTTTGGTCTTGATGCCCATGGGTGTGCGACGAGGTCGGCTGAGTCCTGTCTCATTCTCTGCAAAGATCCTGAACTCGTACTCTGTGGCCTCCATTAAGCCACCCATGGTGAACTGACGATCCTTGGAGCGCTCCTTGGTGCACTTCTTCCAGGCGCTCTCCCCAGCCTGCCTGAACTCAATCCAGTAGCCCAGAATCTCCTTGCCTCCATCATGCTCAGGCCTGAGCCAGTGGATGGTGATGCAGTCTTTGGTGACAGAGATGATGTCGATCTCTCCTGGTTGGCTGGGTTTATCTATGACGAGACACAAGGAGATTGAAACTCACACTTCACTACACAATCCCACAAAGAAGCTTAGATGAACTTACGCTCAGAGCAAAAACGCCCTTCAAGTTTGTAACTTGTTTGAATTTCGAATCTCTCGTCTATTTATTGTACTTAGTTTTATCAGTGTATTCATGCAGACACAGACATCATGTAATGTTAACTCACCAAATGGATCTTTGCAAACCACAGACTCTGAGGTTGGACCAGGCTCACTCTGCCCAATGTCATTCTGAGCCACCACTCTGAACATGTACTCTGCATCAGGGATGAGGCCTGTGATGTTGTACATAGTGGTGGTGATGTGGGTCTTGTTGTGGCGCACCCACTTCTCTGTCGACACCTCCCTCCTTTCCACATAGTATCCTGTGACGCGGGAGCCTCCGTCGTCCCGAGGCCGAGCCCAGGACAGAGACACTGTAGACTTGGTCACATCCATGATCTCTGGTGGGTTGCTGGGAGGTTCTGGTGGACCTGGAGGTGAAGCATATTGTTCACGTAATCAATACTTACAACCCCTTAAACTATTCAGTGAATTATTGTGGCCACACAGTGCAATAGTATCAGTACTCACAAAGTGGTGTCTTTGGTGTGACGGACTCATCAGACTTGAGAGATCTGCTGACTCCAAACTGGTTCTCAGCAGAAACCTTGAAGTGGTACTCCATGTTTTCCTTCAGGCCCTTCACCACCAGAGAGTTCTCGGTGACCCGGGAATCCACTGTATACCAGGCGGCCTTGGATACCTCCCGCCTTTCCACGATGTATCCCAGGATGTCGGAGCCGCCATCATCTGAAGGTGGCCTCCAGCTGACCCGGACTGATCTGGCTTGAATGTCGTCAAACTCCAGAGGGCCTTCTGGGACATCTGGGCGACCGATCACCTTCACCTGGAGGAGGAGATATACAGAAACGTAAATTCCACCTGAATGTATTTTTTTATTTTACTTTTGATACATTTAATTTCACTGAAGTTCACGCTTCAACAAAATCTGACCAGACAGGCCGCTCACCTTGATGTACACCGCCTTCCTGCCGCATTTGTTCTCCAGCACCAGGTCGTAGGTACCAGTGTCATCCTTGTGCGCCTCTTTGATGACCAATTCGGTGATGTCATCATGGGTGGCAATCATGGCGCGGTGGGAGATGTCACGTCCGTCCTTGGTCCACTTGCATGTGGGGATGGGTTTACCCTTGATGGGCACAGACAGATGGACGACTCCGCCCTGCCGCACCACATAGCCCTCCTCGTATTTACGATCAAGCTCATAGTCAGGATAACCTGAAAGATGACACAGATGAGTTTTTGTCATTTGAGTTACAGATGACAGAAAAATGTATTTTAAGTAAAAGCATGATGTTTATTTTATAAATTATGGATTTTTGTTCTCCTACCAAGCATCTCCTGGACTTTAACCACTCCTGGAATCTCAGCAGGCTCTCCGGCACCACCAGCGTTGCAGGCGATGACCCTGAACTTGTATTCGGCGCCCTGCGGCATGTGGGTGAGGGTGTACTCGCACATCTTGGTGGGTGTGGTGTTGCACAGTGTCCATTCCACCTGGTCCACCTTCTGCATCTCGATCAAGTATCCAGTAATCACTGCACCACCCTCCTCTTCAGGTGGCAACCAGGCCAGAGAGACTGAAGTCCTGGTGGTGTCAGTGACTCTGGGCTGAACTGGAGGACCTGGAGGTTCTGTTTCATAACACACAGACATTTGGTCAAACAATGACTCCAGTGGTAAGATTTATTGAAAATAGGTGATGATGGTTTCATAAGTAAAATTCATTACAGTAATACAGCAGTTTGGTCACGTACCGATGGGATCCATGGCCACGGTGATGGCGGAACTCTCGCTGGGTTTGCCGGATCCTCTTGAGTTGATAGCGGTGATACGATGTTCGTACTCCAGGCCCTCGATCAGGCCGGAGGAGCGGTACCTGGTCATGGTGACGGGGTTCTTGTTGATCTTCATCCACCTGTCAGAACGGGCCTCCTTACGTTCAATGATGTAGCCGGCAATGGTGGAGCCACCATCGTCCTCGGGTGGTTGCCAGGTCAGGGTCATGCCCTCGTGGGTGACGTCAAGCACCTCTGGTCTGCTTGGAGGTCCAGGGATGGCTACACAGGAAAATCAGATGAATCACAGATGAGAAAAGAACCGGGCAGTGGGACAGAAAGTGACTTCTGAATCACTGGAGCTTTGCAAAACAGTGATGAAAAGAAGAATGTAGAATGCATAAATATTAATTTTACTGGCAATAGACTAAGAGATAAGTGGCTAAAAATAATACACCACTGAGTTTAAACTCTGTTTTAATTTCAGTAGTATAAGTGGTAATTACGGTCTAGTAAAGGCAAATTCTTTCTTTAGAAATTTTGTGTTGCTGGCTCAGGAGAAGTTGCTTGGACTAGATGGTTGCTTGACCCTTGTCACCATTAACGTGTTGCTATTCAGTTGTTACATGGCCAATAAGGTATCAGTAGGTAGCTGCTACCTGGTTGTCACCAGAGTGGCTGCAAAGGTGTTACAAAATGGTTGCTATGGCATTCATGGTAGCTATTCGGGTGTTACTAGGTAGATGTGAGCATGTTTCTGGTGACTTTCACCAAAAGAAGGAGGACTACTGGGACCAAAAAGAAGAGGAGGAATAATAACAAGCTTGTAAAACAAATGAAGAATATGCAGAGAACGGGAAAACCAAGTTTTTGATGGGAAGAGAACTCACTCTTGGCGCTCTTGCACTCCACCACCTCGGACTGCAGGAAGCCACCTACACCGAAGCGGTTCATGGCGGCTACGCGGAACACATACTCTGTTCCCTCTGAGAGTCTGGTGAATTTGAAGCATGGTCGGGTCACTGACTCTGAGATGGTGGTCCAGCCTGGCCGGTGGGCGTCACGCTGCTCCACAACATAGCCGCTGACATTGGCCCCGCCGTCCTTCTCTGGAGGTTCCCAGCTCACTGTCACCGACACGCCGTCGACCTCCTCAATCTTCATCGGACCAACTGGGATGCCAGGTTTGTCTGGACAGTAACAGGAGGGTTAGAATCTCTGAACGTTTGGAATCTATTGAATTTTACTTACTATACTGAATCATCTGAAAATATTAAGTTACTATGTTTTTGATTCTCTACTCTGTTAAATTACACTTCTGTGTATAAACTAATTTGTGTGCAGAAAATCTCCTTACCAAGGATGATGACCTTGATGACCTCGGTTGCTATGCCGATGGCATTCTTCACCTCCAGCTTGTAGTCTCCCGTGTCATTGATTGTGGTCTCACGGATGACGAGGTGGGTGTATTTTCCGTTGCTGTCGATCTTGATGCGGTCCAGGCTGTCTTTCAGCTTGACGCCACTGAAGAACCAGGAGCAGACGGGTTGTGGTTTGGCTTTTATCGGGATGTTGAGGTCGATGGGTTTGCCGCGGTGCACGTGGACGATCTTTTGAGGGATGCTGGTCATGTCGATCTTGGGCATCACTAGAGTGTGATGAGTTCATGTATTAGTAACGGCAAAAGCAAATGTGTGACAATCTGTGGATGTGTTTAGATGTTTTCTTACCCTTGATATCCTGGATTGTGACCGGAGTGACAGTGTCCATGGGCTCGCTGGTTCCCCTGCTGTTGGTGGCTCGGACTCTGAACAGGTACTGGTCGTTCTCCATCAGGGATTGGATGGTGTGCTGGGACACGGAGGACTTGACTGTCGCCACGGTGCTCCACCTGTCTGATCCTACCTTGCAGGCTTCCAAGACATAGCCTGTCAGCCTGCTGCCGCCGTCGTGCAGTGGCTTCGCCCAGTGCAGTGTGACGGAGGACTTGGTGACATCGACAATCTGGAGGTTCTGAGGCACCGACGGCACCTCGCACACCAGCACAGCCTCGCTTGTCTCGCAGGGCTCACCGACGCCATAGATATTCTCTGGCAGGACTCTGAAGAAGTAGTGCACGCCCTCCTCCAGACCAGTGATCCTGAACAGGGTCTTCCTACACTCGGTGGTGACGGTCTTGTATGACTTCATGTTGGCTTCACGTTTCTCTACAATGTAGTTGCTGACGTGAGCACCACCATCGATGCTCGGCACATCCCAGGTAATCACAACGGACTCCTTGGTGTAGTCCTTCACCTTCACAGAACCTGGAGGACCAGGAGTGTCTGCAGGAAAGAGACGAGAGGAGGAGGAGAATCTGTTAGTGTGTGTTCAAAGGCATCTTTAAAAAAAAAACTGGTAAATCTGAGCAAAGAAAAGGGAAATTATTTACTTTTTTATGATGTGCACCTTTTTATACACTCACATTTTCCCCTACAATTCATCATAACATAATTGGTATCTGTGGAAACGTGGAATAACGTACCATAGACTTTAACCAGGATGGTGGCAGTTTTCTTGCCAGATGGGTTCTCTGCCTCCACAACATATTTTCCGGAGTCGTAGCGATTGACCTTCTCCACAATCAGTGAGGTGTAGCTATCAGTGGTCTCAATGTAGCCGCGGCTCTGCAGCTCCACGCCCTTCTTCCTCCAGGCCACCACTGGTGTCGGCCGTCCGGTGACGAACACGAACAGACGCAGGGTTCCTCCGGAGCGCAGACACACGGTTTTCTTCAGGTCGTCGGCCAGCTCCAGGTCGGGCATTTCTGTGTGAGTGAGGGGAGTCAGGTTATGCTGCGATAGTCAAGTAACATTTTTGATTTTACATCAAAAGTTATTGTTTTTACATCATTAAAAACTTAAACATCTTCACTTTTTTTGTGGGAAAAAAACTATGAGATGTTTTATAAACATTTGTTTAATGATTAATATTGTAACTGGCTCATTTACAATGTGGTACTGCTGGTGATGATGTTGTTCTTCATAATCAAACTAGATTTAACTAAACTAAATATTTGCTCTCTCCACCTTCTGCCATGACAGAATCATCAGTGTGGTGCAAGAGGAGCTCCCCCTGCTGTTTGGTACTGGTTATTGCTATAATGATATATAATTTTAAGAAAAACCTCAGTGATGGATTAACTGTGTTAATGTCTAACATAGAAATCTGCAGTGACTCACCAATTCTCTCCAGGGGCTCAACCTCAGCACTCGGTTCACTGAACTCCCCAGTGCCGTTGTTGTTGATGGCAGCGACCCTGAACCTGTACTTCTTATTGGCTGCCAGGCCCGCGGCCACATACTCGTTGGTCTTGAGTGCCTTGGTAGTCGCGCGGTACCACTGCTCGGAGCCCTCCTCCAGGATCTCCACCACGTAGCCGGTGACGTCTGAGCCGCCATCGTACATGGGCCTGGTCCAGGTCATGCTGATGCTGTGCTTTGTTGTGTCGTTGATGCGAGGCATTGATGGAGGAGCTGGTGTATCTGGGAGGAGAAGAAGGTAAATACAAATATATCATGTTCACGTTCAAGTGGAAAATAATCATCTGTAACAATTTAAGATTAAGTTATAACTTAAACCTTTTGGTCCAGTTAAGATTTGAAACTAAGAGACAGCGAATAGACAGTGAGATATCTTACATGTGGGGTCTTTGCAGAGGATGTATGGCGAGGCGTCGCTTGGCTGACTGTCTCCAGCAGCGTTGACAGCAGTCACTCTGAACTGATACTCGCTTCCCTCCAACAGGCCTGTGATCTTCAGACGGGTGTCGTAGATGGTGTAAGTTCTATTCACTCGAGTCCACCTGTTCCAGAGAAGAGATGAAAGAATGCCATGAGGGAAAGATACAGAAAATTGAAATTAAATCCATCCCTCAAGTCCTTCAGATGTTGTTCCCACCTGGTGCTGCTCTTCTCTCGTTTATCCACGATGTAGTTTTTGATCTCGCTGCCTCCGTCGCTCTCGGGCTTCAGCCACTCGATGATCACGTGCTCCTTGCCCACTGCTGTAGCTTCCGGTGTGCCCGGCTGGGACGGGATTGCTGGGGGAGAGATGGGATGGGTCAGAGCTCCTTTCACAAACCTTTGCTGGATAATGCTGTATCTAATTGTTTTAAAATTTCATTTTTTTGTAATAACATTTCAACATATCAAGATAAAAGGATGACACTTAACAAGAGTCTTCAACCATATGTCGTCAGTACGTCCAATTCATTCCACAAAAGTGTAAGACAGTTTAGCCTCAAATATAAAAGCAGGACAACTGGTTAGAAAGGTTAAAGCTCTGATGAAACGTTGACGCTTACTGTAGGCGTTCCTAGCGATGACGGGATCGGACTCCAGAGGAACTCCGGGTCCGAACTTGTTGACTCCCCGAACTCTGAAGATGTACTCATTGTTCTTGATCAGCCTGGTGCTGACACAGGACAGAGTCTTGCACTCAGTCTCCATGATGACCCAGTTGAGGCGGCTGGTCTCGCGACGCTCCACGATGTAATGGTTGACGGAGTCCCCGCCGTCCTCCAGAGGAATCTTCCAGGACACCGTACACTTCTCCTCTGTCACTCTGCTGATTACGATCTTATCAGCTGGAGCTCCAGGTGTGTCTGAAAAAAGGAAAACCCATCAGACAGTCCTTTGATACACCTGTCTAGGGCTATAACCTCAGAGTTTGAAATAATGTGATTACAGTATATTTAACTGTGTTTTTGGCTGCTCACCTAGAACTTTAACGTTGACGCCAGCAGTCTTGGTTCCGTTGGGGTTCTTGACGGTCAGGATGTATCTGCCTGTGTCGTATCTGTCGCAGTTCTTGATGACAGCCATGGCTCTGGTGGAGGTGTAAGTCAGTGAGTATTTCTCCCCGAGCTCCAAAATCTTGTCGCCCTTTGACCAGTGCACAGTAGGCTCTGGTTTACCGCCTACAACGCCGTCCAGGACGAGGTCGGAGCCGGCAGAGACGATGACTGTCTCACCCACCAGCTTGCTGTCCAGCTCGGCTTTGGGAGGAGCTGCAGCAAAGAAAAAATGATGAGTTTTTAAGTATCAAGAGGGAATTGATTTAAAGTTTAAGATCTTCCATGGGATCTGAATCCAAACTGAAAATAAAATCAAAATCCTAACTGTAATGCCTTTTGAAGTCAAACTTACAGTATTCATCCTTGCATGTGACCGGTCCGGTGGATTCTGAGGGAGTGCTGTGGACACCGGCAGCATTCTTGGCGATAACACGGTACTCATAGGTCTCTCCCTCTCCCAGGTTAGTCACAGTGAAGTAGTTCTCAGTGATGGTGGTGTAGTTGCACTTCAGCCAGCGGTTGTCGTCCCACTCGTCAGTACTGTACACCTTCTTCTCCACCACGTAGCCGACAATCTTGCTGCCGCCATCGTTGAACGGCACAGTCCAGCACAATGAAACGGAGGAGCGGCTGATGTCCGTCAACTCGGGTTTACCAGGAGGATCTGAACGAGGAGGGGCAGAAGTTTATCATAAAACCAGACCACAGATTAAATCACACAGCTTCTTATGCCCTTTAAGGCTTCATTAAGGTTTTTTCTGAGGTTTTAGCTGAGTGAGATGAACAGTAAAGAACAAGCTTCATATCAGATTGACTCACTGTCATGGTGAATAGCTGTAACAAATGTTTGTAGTTAGAAGATGAATGTTTCCCTCACCAACAGGATTGAGTGCCACCACAGGTCTGGAGGCCTCGCTGGCCTTGCTGAGTCCAGCAATGTTCATGGCGTACACCCTGAACTGGTACTCCAGGCCCTCGATCAGGTTGGATACCTTGTAATGACACTCCAGGCAGGGCAGTTTGTTTTCCCTCACCCACAGGATCGTGTTCCTCTCCTTCTTCTCAATCCAGTAGCCTGTCACTTTGCTGCCACCATCTGCATATGGTACATCCCATTTGATGCTGATGGCGTTGGCAGACACAGATACAACATCTGGACGAGTTGGAGGACTCGGAGGAACTGTGAAAATGAAGAGGAGGTGAGAACAGGGATTCTTGATTTGAGCTGGTTCTAAACATATTTACTGCATTAAACTTTGGCATTTATTTTTGAACTCACCGAATGGATGCTCAATAACAACAGCAGCAGACTCAATGGACTTGCTAACTCCGAACTTGTTCTCAGCACACACCCTGAAGGTGTACTCCATGTACTTGGTAAGATGAGTCACTTTGATGGTGGTTCTCTTCACACTCGAGTTCACCACTTGCCAGGAGGCAGAGCCAGACTCTCGTTTTTCCACAATGTAGTTGGTGATGTCAGTGCCGCCATCATCAGCTGGATCAGACCAGGACAGGGTGCAGCACTCTGAGGAAACTCCAGAAATTTCCACAGGGCCTGATGGTGGAGTCGGTCTGCCAACAACAACTACAGTCACTGTGAACGTCTTCACGCCAGCAGCATTCTCCAGGGTCAGGTAGTACTTGCCGCTATCGCTTCTCTTGCTGTCTTTCACCACCAGAGTGGTTCTCTCCTTTGTGGTCTTGATGGACACTCTGTCAGTCTCCTTCAGCTTCATCTCCTCCAGCTTCCAGGTGACCTTGGGTGCAGGCCTGCCACTGATAGGGATGTCGATGGTGAAGGTGCTGGAGGTCTTGCAGGTGATGAGCTGGTTGGTGATGCTGCTGAGGTCAGCGGTTGGTTCGATGCGAGGTTCCTTAATGACCACGGAGCCGAAGGTGCCCTGAGGCTCGCTGATTCCAGCATCATTCTTGGCCTTGACTCTGAAGTCATATTCTGTGTTCTCGATCAAACCCTCCACAAGCATCTTCTGGGACTTGGTCTCTCCATAAACAACCCAGCGGTCAGTGCCTTTAGCTCTGAATTCAACAATGTAGCCTCTGATGCGGCTGCCTCCATCATGCTCTGGCTTCAGCCAAACCAGCGAGGCTGTGGAGTTGGTGGTGTCGACAACATCCAGTCTCTTTGGTGGAGGAGGTTCTTCTGTGGCAATGATGGGCTCTGTCAGCTCATGGGGTTCTCCCTGGCCATACTGGTTAACGGCAATCACCCTGAAGAGATATGGCAGGCCAATCTCCAGACCAGTTACCCTGATCATCTGGCGAGAGCACTTGATGCTGACCTCCTGCCAGGCCAGGCGGCTGGCCTCACGCTTATCCACGATGTAATGATGGATTCTGGATCCACCGTCATTGGTTGGGGCATCCCACATCATTGTCAAGGCTCCCCGGGTAACGTCTTTAAAGGTGATAGCACCTGGAGGTCCAGGAGTATCCAGCACTTTGACAGTAAATGTAATGGACTTGCGCCCACTGTTGTTCTCCAGAGACAGGGTGTATTTGCCTGCCTCATACCTTGTGCAGCCTTCAATGGTGAGAGTAGAGAAGGAATCTGTGGTGTTGACATCAGCCATGACAGGCAGCTCACCGTCTGCCTTAGACCAGGTAGCAAGTGGAGCTGGTTTGCCGCGGAAGTCCACGTGAAGCGTGACCATGCCACCATTCTTTACGATGTGAGTTTGCTTGAAGTTGGCGTCAATGTCGATCTCAGGAGACGTAAGTCTGTCCAGAGCCTGAACAGGGTTGGGCATCTCTGAGGCTTCACCTTCTCCTGATCCATTTACAGCGCTGACCCTGAACTTGTAGAGCTCTCCAGGCACCAGGCCCTTAGTAGTGTACCTGGTGTGGATGCAAATCTGGCTGTTGACTCTGTGCCACTCCTCCAGACTGGCCTTACACATGTCGATATTGTAGCCAATGATTTCCATGCCACCATCAAAGACTGGCTTGGTCCATTCCAGGGTGACAGAGGACTTAGTGGAGTCAATAACCTGTCAAGAAAGAGCAGAGTTCACAATATAATTTCTAACTGATTCTTTATCTTTATTCTTTTTCCTCCATCATCTATCATTTATTGTTCTGTACTAAAGCAGCCCCTACTGTGTGCTGATCTTCGACAGCAAGACTGACAATCCAAAATAAATTTCCAATAACTGATATATCTGACAATATATTGTATATGTCTGTCATTCTGTTCAGATTTCAGTTTGTTGTGCAATGAGAACAACACTGAAGAATGAATGAATGATACGATTTCTTTCTGCGTTCCTGCAATCCTACCTTGATCACTGTGGGAGCACTAGGAGCACTGGTTGGTTCTCTGCATTTGAAGAGCCTGGAGGTGCTACTGGCTGGGCCGACACCGGCGCCATTTTCAGCCATGACGCGGAACTCGTACTCGTTGCCCTCGTTGAGGTGGGTGACCCGGTGCCTTAGCTCTGTGATGGACCTCTTGGAGGAAACCTTCAGCCAGCGCAGGCTCTTCTTCTCTCTCCTCTCCAGGATGTAGTGTTTGATCTCATTGCCTCCGTCCGACCTTGGCCTGGTCCAGCACAGGGTGATGCTGTCTCCAGTCACATGGGTGGCATCTGGAGTACCAGGGGCATCGGGCACAGCTGAGGGAGAGAGTAGAAAACATGGTAAGTTATAAATGTTAGTCTGCAGTTTGGTTTGTTTGTTAGACAATATGTGAGTGACTTTACTTACTGTATTGCATCTGTGCAATGATAGGATCAGAGTCCAGTGGTTTGCCAACACCAAACTTGTTGACAGCAGAGATTCTGAACTGGTACTCGTTGCCCTTGATGAGGTTGGTGGCATTGTAAGAGCAGGCTTCACACTTGGAGGTGACCATGGCCCAGGAGATCCTGGAGGTCTCCCTCTTCTCCACCACATAGTGGGTGATGGCAGCACAACCGTCGTTCTCCGGCGGGTTCCACCACACGGTGCATTTCTCAGCTGTGATGCCGGTGAAACGAATAGGCCCCTCGACAGGTCCAGGGGTATCTGATGCAAATGAGAAGGTAGAGGTATCCATAAACATGAGCTGTAAAGCTTTCATAAACCCCAGGTGTCAACAGAAACAGGTTTGGAAATGTTTGTCTCTAACAGATATTGAAACATAATCATCAGTTTTCACCAACCTTGTACTCTGACGTTGACGTCAGCTTTCCTGGTACCGGAGCTGTTCTTGGCCTCTACAGTGTAGATTCCACGGTGGTTCCTGTCAGCATCACGAATAAACAGACTGCTGGTGCCAATGCCAGTGGTAATCTCAATGTCGATCATGGTCCTCTTGTCGATCTCTTTGCCATCCTTATACCAGACAACCTGGGGGACGGGACGTCCAGTGATGCTGCAGCAGAGCTTAACGTTCTCTCCGGCCCTAAGGGTGACCACCTGGTCTGGAGACCATTCAATCTCAGGAGCAACTGCAGATGCAAAAAGAATGAACAAATGAGAGATCGGCACAATCAAAGGCATGTGTGAAACACACTATTTATGATGATTTGTCTATATATTTTGAAGTTGAAATACTTACTGCTCTCATCCTTGGTCATGATGTATCCAGAGGAGTTAGATGGTGGACTGACTGTGCCCACAGCATTCCTGGCAATCACTCTGAACTCGAATCTGTCTCCAGCAGACAGACCAGTCACAGTGAACTGGGTTTCACTGATATCAGTGAAGTTGCACCGCAACCATTTGCCTCTACCTTGGCGCCTCTCCACACTGTAGGCTACAATTTTGCTGCCACCATCCCTCTTGGGGATGTCCCACTGAAGGGTGACTGAGTCTCTGGTTACATCGATACAGACGGGGTTGCCAGGTGGATCTAATGACACATGAAAGAAGCAATTTATTGATTGTGCTTGATTGTAAAATCCTGAGGTTGATGAAACTGGTATCTAACTTGACTAGCAATACATATATATTCTAGTATCTCAAGTGCACTTACCAACAGGGGAGATAGCCAGTGCATGTTTGCTCTGTTCGCTAACAGGGCTAAGTCCAGCATTGTTCTCAGCATAGACTCTGAAGGAGTACTCCAGTCCCTCCACAAGACCAATGATTCTGTACTCTTTGTTGGAGATGATTGTGGAGTTGACCTTCTGCCACAAGAGGCTATTCCTGTCCTTCTTCTCAACATGATAGCCCAAAATAGGGGATCCTCCATCAAAACCTGGGGCCTCCCAACTGATGGTCATACCATCACTGGTGACATTGAAGGCCACTGGCTTTCCTGGGGGGCCTGGAGGTTTGTACTGGTGTTGGGCAACAATGTCTGAGGAGTTGAGCGATTCACTGACTCCATACTTGTTCTCTGCACGGACCCTGAACTGGTACTCAGTTCCCTTAACAAGGTTGGGGATCTTGAAGGTGGTCCTGACAACGCTGGAGCAGACCATCTTCCAATTGGCCTGGGAGGTCTCACGTTTCTCCACGCTGTAGCACGTGATCTCGCCACCGCCATCCTCCTTTGGTTCATCCCAGGAGATGATGATACTCTGAGCTTTAATTTCATCAAAGCGGATAGGGCCAACAGGTGCTGAGGGGGGTCCCAGAGTGATCACATTGATGTCAAAATAGTTCTTGATGACTCTGTTGTCCAGGACCAAGGTGTATTGGCCAGCATGCTCCTTCTTGGCTCCTCTTACTGTGACTGCAGTCTTGTTGTCAGTGGTCCTGAAGCGAATCTTCTCGCTTTCCTTCAGCGGCAAGTTATCCTTCAGCCAGCTGATTGCAGGTCTTGGTTTACCCTTGAAGGGCAGTTCAATGTGGATGTTCTGACCAATACGAACAGCAAGCTCTCCGTTGGGGTAGTCACTGAGGATGGCCTCTGGTGGAATGATGAAGTCCATCACTGTGATTGGACCAATCTGGGAGAAGTCGCTGTTGCCCTTCTCATTCTTGGCAAACACTCTGAAGTCCATGACAGCATTCTCCTTGAGTCCCGTGACCTCGCAGCTGCAGCGCTTACATGTAGCACCCAAAGTCCAGGTGGGGTCTTCCTTGGTTCTCTTCTCAATGATGTATTCAGTGATGTGGCTGCCACCGTCGTGGTCAGGTCTGGTCCACTGCAAGGTAACAGAGGTCTTTGTGGAGTCCACCATCATCAGCTGTTTAACAGCTCCTGGAGTTTCAGTGGCTCTGACCGGCTCAGTGGTCTCACAGGTGTCACCCACACCAAACTCATTTTCAGCAGACACACGGAAGAAGTAAGCTACATCCTCCTCCAGACCCGACACCTTGTAAGTTGTGTTGGCGCACTCAGCGGTGATCACCTGGTAAGCCTTCATGGTGGAGGCCTTCTTCTCGACAATGTAATTAGTGACAGGGGAACCACCATCAATGAGAGGAGCCTCCCAGCTGAGGGTCAGCTTTCCTCTCGTGACGTTCTTGATCATCATTTTCTGACAGGTGGATGGACTGTCCAGAACCTTCATGGAAACAGTAATGATCTTGGGTTCTCCCACGCCATTCTCAATTTCCAGCAGATACTTGCCGCAGTCATCGCGGGTGATCTTGGGTATGAGGAGTGTAGTGGCTCGCTCAGTGCTGGTGATGGTGTAGCGGTTGTCACCAGCCATGTTGCGGTCACCTCGGCGCCAGGTGACGTTTGGGGCGGGGCGTCCCTTCAAGGGGATAAACACCTCCACGTCACGGCCAGCCTTGGCTGTGTACTGGGTTGTCATGGGAACATCCAAGTCCAAATCAGCCTCCTCTGTTGGAGAGAATTGGAGAGAGGCAATAGGTATTAATAATAACATAATTATAAGCCATCAGAGTAGATTTACTCAGCGTAACAATCAACTTTATGGCAATAATTTGAAGCCATAAAACAATAGAAAATAGCTTTACCTTAATGAAATACCTTAATGAACTTCATCATAAAACAAACATAAAAGATTCATACCCTGTGGAACATCATAGAGGAGTTTATATGACTACAAACCCAAGATATCTTTGGCTTGCACAGGCTGGTACATTTTGATGTCCTCTCCTTTGCCCTTGCAGTTGACAGCACAGACTCTGAAGAAGTAGTATTGTCCAGGTTTGAGGTGTGACACCACATACTCGCAGGTCTTGACCTGTGGGTTGATGGTCACCCATTCTCTCTCCTCTGTGTTCATCTGGTCCAAAGTGTAGTGTGTGACTTCACTGCCGCCATCGTAGACAGGCTTCTCCCAGCCGAGGGTGATGGAAGTCTTTGTGGAGTCAACCACACGTAGCTTGGATGGCTCACCAGGCAGATCTGGAGAAGACAAAAGGGTGTGTGGTAGGTGTTCAGCAGTTTTATGTGAAAACCTTAATGAGAGAAATCTTAAGAAGAAATTCCTACAAGGTTGTCATGGTGATGGTGAAGTGCAAATTAAAAGCATACCAATGGGGTCATAGGCTTTGTAGAGGTCAGAAGCCTCTGAGTAGTTTCCTGCTCCAGCTTTGTTGACAGCACAAACTCTGTACTGGTACTCATTGTTCTCCGCCAGGTTGGAGACTTTCTGCCTGGTGTCTCTGATGGTGCCCTTCACCACCTGGACAAAGAAATGGACTTTATGATGCTGACACAGAACAGTTTTCAGTTTGACTCCTTATACGCTTAAATAATTTATATAATAATGTAAGTCAGCCAACAAACCTTGAACCACTGAAGACTCCTCTTCTCCCTCTTCTCCAGGTAGTAGCCGTCGATGTCGCTGCCTCCATCTAATGCTGGTCTTTCCCAGATGACTGTCATGGTGGACTTGGTGATCATTGTCACTTTAGGCTTGGATGGCTCGCTAGGAGGAACTTTATGAAATAAAAATGACCAAGTCAGATGAAAAATTGTTTGTCAAATCTAATAATCAACTCTGGATTGAACAGCGGTTGTGTGAATGATGATGAGTTTATTTTGTTTCCTCACCAAATGCATTCTTTGCAATTACAGGCTCGGACTCCAGTGGGTCTCCAATGCCGTACTTGTTTATTCCACGGACTCTGAAGATGTACTCATTGCCCTGGATGAGTCTGGGCACATTAACGATGCAGTCGACCAGTTTCTCTGAGACAATAGACCACATGACCCTGCTGGTCTCTCTCTTCTCCACAATGTAATGAGTTACCATGGCACCACCCTCATCGGCAGGTGGGGACCACATGATGGTTATGTTGTCAGCAGTAACCTTCTTAAACTGGATCTCTCCAGCAGGAGGGCCTGGTTTGTCTAGAGAAGGGAAGGGTACATCCATGAACGTAAGGGTTCATACTGCATATACTGTAAAATTGATTTCATGCATGACAAAAACTGCTGCCATTTAAATAATATCTGAATACCTTGAATGAGCAGCCTGACGACACCACATGCAGATCCCAGAGAGTTCTTCACCTTGACCTCATAGGTACCAGAATTCAGACGAGTGGTTTCCTTCAGGAACAAACTGGTGTACTCAAATGTGTGTTTGAAAGAGAGCTGGGAGGTGGGTTCAAGCTCTCTGCCATCCTTAAACCACTCAATAGTGGGAGCAGGTTTGGCTATGATATTAAACTTGAGCTCCACATTAGAGCCAGCCTTGTGTTTGACCTCACTAAGGTACTCCTGAGGTATTTCAATCTCTGGGGCACCTGGATGATGAACGAAAAGACAAAATGATTGTATAAAATTTTGTGATAATCCACAGTTTGGAATAGAATGTTCAGAAACACGAAAGAGACCTACCGTAGGTGTCGACGCATGTGGCTGGTCCAGCAGTCATGGACGGGTTGCTCACTGAACCGACAGCATTCTTGGCCTTGACTCTGAACTCATATGTCTCGTCCTGGGTGAGGCCAGTCACAGTGAAACGGGTGTCTGTGACATTGGTGAGGTTAGCCTTGGACCACCTGGCACTAACACCTTCTCTCTTCTCAATGATGTAGCCAGTGATCGGGGATCCACCGTCGTAGTTGGGTTTCTGCCAGGCCAGGCTGATGGAGTTCTTGGTGATGTCACTGATGCGCAAGTTGATCGGTGGCTCTGCAGGAAAAGACAGTGGGAAGTCGTTATAAGACAACTGTGGCAGTAATCTCACATTCCTTGACTTTTATAGAGGGTTTTTTGACATTCCACTCACCACAGGCATCAATAGCCAGCACTGCATCTGAAACCTTGCTGAAGGCACTTATTCCAGCAGCATTCTCTGCTGCCACCTTGAACTCATAAATAAGTCCGGCATTGATGTTGGTGACCTTGAAGTGTGTAGCACGGATCACCATCTTGTTGACTCTCTGCCAAAGGATGCTGTTCCTGTCCTTCATCTGGAGGTGATAGCCAAACACGTGGCTACCACCATCTGACTTGGGCTCCTTCCAGGCTACAGTGACTGTCTCCCTGGTTACAGCAGTGATCTCTGGAGTCGATGGAGCCTCAGGAATAGCTGGCAAGTAAGAAGCAGAGTTGGAGGGTTTACACGTTCATTGTGAAAAACAGAGTAGAAAAAATAATAAATGACGATAAAAGAGGGAAGAAAAACCCTCCAAAAAGAAAGATTGCTTACTGTAAGGAAGGCTGACAGCGACGGTCGGTGAGTCAATATGCTCGCTGACTCCATATCTGTTCTCAGCCCTGATTCTGAACTGGTACTCCAGGCCAGTGGTCAGCTTCATGATCTTCATGGTGCAGCGGGCCACAGCAGAAGAGACATCCATCCAGTTGGCTGTGGTGGTCTCTCTCTTCTGGATAATGTAGTTGGTGATGGGGCTGCCACCCTCATATGCTGGCGGGAGCCACTTCAGGCTAACGCTGTCCTCTGTGATGTCAAACAGCTCCACAGGTCCAACTGGGGCACTAGGACGGTCCAGAACCACGATGTTTACAAAGGACTTAGTGGTTCCACTTGAGTTAGAGGCAGTGATGTCATAGCGTCCTGAGTCTCCAGCAATGCTCTCGCGCAAAGTGATCTTGATGCTGTCAGGGGTGACCTCAGAGTTGAACCTCATTGTTGACTTGAGCAGCACATTATCCTTGGACAGAGTGACTTTAGGCAGAGGTCGGCCTGTCAGTGGGATCTCACACTTGAGGGTGGAGCCGGCTCTGACATACACTGTATTGTGAGGGAAGTCCTTCATGTTGATCTCAGGAGATTCTGCAACAAAAAAGTAAAAAGAGAGTTTCAGCAGATGAAATTAGTTGCAATATTGTATCATTTGACCTTGTTAAATACAATTACTACAAGAATTTATATTGCGTTATTTTTCACCAATTTGTTGACTCTGGTAAATTTGACCTGTGTGTAACTTACCAAGCTGGTCTTTGACTAATACGGGGTTGACCATTTCTTTAACGTCACTGAATCCAGCGTGGTTCTCAGCTCTGACCCTGAAGAAGTACTCAGCGTTCTCCCTCAGACCAGACACTGTGAGGTGGATGGACTTGGTTACACCACACTTAACCCACTTCTCCTGGCCTTTCTCCAGAGCTTCCACTAAGTATCCAGTAATTCTGCTTCCTCCATCTTGTTCTGGTTTGGCCCAGGCCAAGGACACACTCTCCTTGGACACATCAGTCACACCAAGCTTTGGTGGGGGGGTTGGTTTTTCTGGAGAAAGAAGACATAATGTGTTTTATATAAATAATCGAGTATTATCGTTTGCATAATAAAAAGAGGCTATAATGTTTCCAACTTAAAAGTCAATACCTGTGATCTTGGTTCCCTCTTTGGTCTCAGCAGGAACACCAACACCATACTCATTCTCGCCTGTCACTCTGAAGTAGTAAACTTCTCCCTCCTGGAGATCTGTCAATTTGTATGTCAGTCTGTGGCATGTGTCAGTCAACCTAGTCCAGCCTTTCTTGCTGGCCTCACGGATATCAACAAGGTAATTCTTGACTGGTCCTCCTCCCTCATTCTCAGGAGTGTCCCAGGTTACAGTAGCAGAGGTTTTGGTCACATCCTTGACTTCTACATGGGTAGGTGGTCCAGGGGAGTCCAGGACTCTGACACTGAGTGTCAAGGAGGAGGTTCCAGCTACACTGGACAAGGTGACGGTGTATTTGCCAGAGTCGTTGCGAGTTGCCTTCTCTAAGGTGATGGAGGTGAAGGTGTCTGTGGTGTCAATGACAGCACGGACTCTAAGGTCAACATCAGGTTTAGTCCATGTGACACTGGGGATGGGTTTACCTCTGAAGGGCACTGTCATAGTAAATGAGCTTCCATCTTTCACAATAAGAGTCTTCCTCATCTCATTGCTGATGTCAAAGACTGGCTCCTCCTCTCTCTCTTTGGCAACCTGTCTGTCAGACTCAGAACTGGGCTCGCTGACACCAATCTTGTTAATGGACTTGACAACAAACACATATTCAGCCCCAGGAGTCAATCCCACCACTGTAAACTCTGTGTTTTTGGTGTTCTGGACTCCAATAAACCATTCATCATCGAAAGACTTCCTATATTCTACTCTGTAACCAGTCACAGGTGCTCCACCATCAAATAGTGGCTTGTTCCATGACAGGGTGACTGTGGTCTTTGTAGAGTCAATGATTTTGGGCTTAGCAGGAGGTGAAGGCAGGAACTGTGGGTCTTCAGCCTTGGTGAGTGGGCAAGGGTTGCTAGGAGCACTGAGGCCAGCAGCATTCTCTGCAAACACTCTGTACTCATACTCACAACCATCACGAAGGTTTGAGGCTTTGACTCTAAGGTCATAAACAGGCTTCTTGTTAACACGGCACCAGCGAAGACCGGTCTTCTCTCGTTTTTCAATGACATAGCCAGCGATACTGCTTCCACCATCAGAAACGGGTCTCTCCCAACAGATGGTCATTGCCTCACTAGTAACTGAGGTGACCTGGACATTAGTGGGAGCTGCAGGCACAGTAAATGGATCCATGGCCTTCACTGGCTCACTCTCCAGGGCCTCGCCATCCCCATATTTGTTGACTCCCCTGACTCTGAAGATGTATTCATTTCCTTTGAGCAGCTTCGTCACTTTACAGGTGGTTGCTTTCATGTCTCCATAGACAAGAGTCCAGGCAAGGCGACTTGTCTCGCGTTTTTCCACAATGTAGTGCATAATTTCAGCACCGCCATTCTCCTGAGGGGGTCCCCATGTTATGGTGCATTTCTCTGCTGTGAGTCCAGACACCGCCAAAGGTCCCGAGGACGGTCCAGGTCTGTCCAGAACCTTACAGTTGATAGCCACAGACCTGGTTCCTGCCACATTGTGCAGGGTCAGAACATATTGGCCAGAATCCCTCCTGATAGCATCTCTGACAATCAGGGTGGTTGCGAAGTTGGTGGAGGTGATTTCACACCTGGCCTTGGCCACAATCTCCTTTCCATCCTTAGACCATGAGACAACTGGAAGTGGACGTCCTGTAATTTCAGCATCAATTTTGATGATCTCCCCAGCTTTAATGACAACCAGCTGTCTGAGCTTGTCTTCCAGGATAATAGTGGGAGGGTCTACATCATCCTTAACTGTGACAGGACCAGTGCTCTCAGAAGGAGCACTCAACATCTCTGCGGAATTCTTAGCGATGACACGGAAGTCATACTGGACATCTTCAGTGAGGCCTGTAACATCAAAGTAGGTATCCTGAAGGTTGGTGAAGTTGCATTTCAGCCAGCGGCCATTGGGAAGTTCTTTACGCTCAACAATGTAACCAGTAATCTTTACTCCACCATCATACTCTGGCTTCTCCCAGAATAGAGAAACTGAGGTCCTGGTAATGTTGGTGACTCTAAGGTTATGTGGAGATTCACATGGATCTCTGGCTGCCACAGGCTCACTGGGTTTAGAGCATGGACCAATGCCAGCAATATTCTCAGCATAGACTCTGAACTGATACAGCAGACTTTCTTCAATGCCTGTCATCTTAAACTGGTTTTCAGCCAACAGTCCTCTGTTGACCTTAGTCCACAGTAAGCTACTTTGGTCTTTGCATTCAATGTGATAACCAATAACAGGGCTTCCCCCATCACTGGCAGGTCTGCCCCATACTACAAGCATGCCAGTCTTAGTGGCATGGGCAACATGGAGGTTGGTTGGAGGGCCAGGAGGCTCGAATGGATACTGAGCAACAACAGGACCCGAGTCAATAGCATGACTCTTGCCGTAACGATTCTCAGCTGCAATACGGAACTGGTACTCAGTTCCCTGATTGAGGCGAGTCACCTTAATAGATGTCCTGGCTACTGTGGCTGAGACTATCTGCCATGTGGTTGTGGTAGTGTCTCTCTTCTCCACCACGTAGTTGTTAATCTGGCATCCACCGTCATAGGTTGGAGGATCCCAAGACAGGCAGATGAAGTCAGCACTCACCTCATCCACCTTAATGTTGCTAGGTGAGCCAGGTTTGTCCAGGATTATAACAGAGATTTCAGCTGTCTTGGTGCCAACTGAGTTAGTCAAAGTGATCTCATACTTTCCTACATCCTCCTTGGTTGCATCCTTGATGGTAATCTTGGATGAGGTCTTGGAGTTAAGAACATTGACCCTGGTTGTCTGCTTAAGCGCCTGGCCATCCTTCTTCCAGGACACCTCTGGTTGAGGTCTTCCCTTGAAGGGAACATCAATCTTCAAGTCATCTCCTGCCTTTACACTGTATGTGTTGAACAGGAGGTTGATAATGGGCTCTACTGTGATGTCCTTGACCACCACAGGGGCAGCCAGAGGTTTGGCATCACTCTTGCCCTTATCATTCACAGCAAACACCCTGAAGGAGTATTCCTCTCCAGTTACAAGTCCTTCAATAGTAGCTTCCAGTGCTTTGACTTCACTGCACACAGTCCATTTGTCATCTCCCTTGGGCTGCATCTCCACAATATAGTTTGTGATCTTGCTGCCTCCATCATGATCAGGTTTCTCCCAAGAAAGAGTGACAGTATGACGAGTCACATCAACCAGGACAATCTTACCAGGAGGCAGAGGAGCTTCAGACACCTTGACTTGATCTGTGGAAGCAGGCAGACCTACTCCAAGCTCATTCACAGCCAATACACGGAAATAGTATCGTTCTCCCTCCTGCAGGTCAGAAATAATGTAGGAGTTCCTCACACAGTTTGTGCAAACACTGGTGAAAGCCATTCTTTTCTGCTCCCTCTTTTCCACAATATAGTGTGATATCTTAGCCCCACCATCGATTAGAGGAGGCTCCCAAGAGAGAGAGACAGAATTCCTCTTCACATCCTTCACCTCCAGGTTGATAGGAGCACTGGGTGAGTCAAGAACTCTGACATTGATGAAGGCTGATTTAGAGCCACTGAGGTTCTCAAGGGTCAGTATATATTTGCCAGTGTCGAATCTGTCAACATTTTCAATCACTAGCATTGTGTAAGAGCTTGTGACATCAATCTGGGCACGCTCATTCAAAGTGCCATCAGCCTTTGACCACCTGACCTCAGGCTCGGGCTTTCCCCTGATTGTCACAAACAGACGGAGGGTTGCAGTGGCGCGAATATTGACCATCTTCCTTAGGTCAGCGTCTAGTTCAATTTCAGGAGCTTCCAGCTTCTCTGCAGCAATCACAGACCCAGGTAGGTCCACATGCTCTCCTACTCCCTCACAGTTAACAGCACAGATGCGGAAGTTGTACTCTGCATTCTCTTTAAGTTTCTTCACTGTGTAATGAGTAGCCTGAACACCAGTGTATGGTGTGCAAGTAATCCATTCATCATCTGCTGCCTCCTTCATTTCAACAATGTATCCGCTGATCTGTGCTCCGCCATCATAGATAGGCCTGGACCAGGACAGGGAGACACTGGTGCTTGAATGGTCGAGGACTTTGGGATTATTTGGAGGTCCTGGTGGATAAGTGGCATCACAGGCCTTGATGTATTCAGTTGGTGCGCTAGGTTTTCCCACACCAGCAGCATTTTCAGCTGAGACTCTGAATTCATAGGAGTGGCCCTCTGTGAGACCAGTGCATCTGAATCTCAGGTCATTCAGCCTCTTCTTGTTGCACTTAGTCCATCTGATGCCATCTTTATCACGTTTTTCAAGGACATATCCATCAATCTCAGCTCCTCCATTATCACCTGGCCTCTCCCAGGTAAGTACAATGGAATCCCTAGTGATAGCACTGGCCTCTGGGGTGGAGGGAGCACTGGGAGTGGTGAAGGGGTTACGAGCAATAACAGGCTCAGATTCCAAAGGCTCACCAACACCGAATTTATTCACTGCAGTGACTCTGAAGATGTATTCATTGCCAGGCAGCAGTTTTGTGATTTTGTAGCTGATGGCCTGGATCTTGGGCTCAACCACGGTCCATGACAAACGACTAGTCTCTCTCTTCTCAATAATGTAGTGAGAGATGCTGGCTCCACCATCATGTGAAGGATGGTTCCAGTGAAGATAGCATTTCTCAGCTGTTACACCTTTGACTTCTAGTGGGCCATCTGGAGGACCAGGTCTATCCAGAACTTTAACATTGATTGGGATCATCTTAACTCCTCCCACATTGACAAGCTTGAGAACAAAGTGGCCTCCATCAATTCTAATGCAATCCTTCACTGTCAGGATGGTACGTGTGAGTGTGGTCTTAACCTCCATTCTTGGTGTGGTTTGGTCAATCTCCTTTCCATCCTTTAACCAAACAACCTCAGGCATTGGCTTGCCAGTGTAATCAGCATCAATGACGAATGTTTCACCAGCATGAACAACTGTCAGATCCTTGAATTTAGAATCCATGGTGGCTTCTGGAGCCTCAATCTCATCTTTAGCAGTAATTTCTCCTGTGGTCTGAGAGGGACGGCTAGAAATGCCAGCAGCATTTCTGGCAATGACTCTGAACTCGTAAACACAGTCCTCAGTCATGCCACTGTATGTGAACTGGGTATCAATGATGTTGGTGAAGCTGGCCTTCATCCAGCGGGTATCTGGGTGCTTCCTTCTCTCAACCACATAGCCAGTAATTGCACTGCCTCCATCATACTGAGGCCTGGTCCACTGGAGTGTCACATGGTTTCTGGTGATTTCAATAGCCTCAGGAGTGCCTGGTGGGTCACAGGGGTCCCTAGCAACTGTGGCCTCAGAGATCTTGCTAGCCGGGCTGATTCCAGCAATGTTCTCAGCATAAACTCTGAATTCATACTCAATACCTTCTTCCAGCTCTGTAGTCTTGAAACGTGTGTCTGGGATTAAAAGCTTGTTGAGCATAGTCCACAACAGGCTGTTCTTCTCCTTTCTCTCGAGGTGATAGCCTAGGATGGGGCTGCCTCCATTGTTGGTCGGTGGTTTCCACTCAACAACCATGTTATCCTTGGTTGCTGCAGAAATAATTGGTGTTCCTGGAGCAGCAGGCTCACTGAATGGATACTGAGCAACAACAGCGGCAGAAACAATGGCAGAACTCTTTCCATATCTATTCTCAGCAGACACTCTGAACTGATACTCAACTCCAGTCTTCAAGTTGGTGACTTTGATGGTTGTCCTGGCAATAGTAGCAGACACAATCTGCCATGCTGTCGTGGTGGTGTCTCTCTTCTCCACAATGTAGTTGTTGATCTGACAGCCTCCAGTGTACTCTGGTGGCTCCCAGGAGAGAGTGACATAATTAGAGCTCACCTCTTCAATCTTCACAGGGCCTGTGGGTGGGCCAGGTTTATCAAGAATAATAACAGTAAGCTCCTCTGTAGCTGTTCCAACACTGCTGGTGGCTGTGAGAATGTATTTACCAGAGTCTTCCTTATTTGCATCCTTTATGTACAGCTTAGTTGATGATTGAGTGCTAGATACATTTAGTCTGGTTGTCTCTTTTAGAGCATGTCCATCCTTTTTCCATTCAACCTTGGGAACAGGGCGTCCAATCACTGGAATCTCAATCTTCAGATCATCACCATGCTGTAAACTGTAAGTGTTGAATGCCATCTTGAATCCGGGCTCGATAGTTACATCTTTAGCAGTGACTGGTGCAGCCAGAGCCCTGGGGTCACTCTTGCCCTTCTCATTGAAAGCTAACACTCTAAACAAGTACTCATGTCCTGCACTAAGGCCTGTAACAGTGCCCTCACAAGTTTTGGTTGTAGCGGCCACCACCCACTCCTCTGAGCCCACAGGCTGCATCTCAATGTAGTAGCCCATGATCCTGCTGCCTCCATCATGGTCTGGCTTCTCCCAGGAGAGTGAAGCAGTGGTTTTGGTCACTGCAGTCAAAGTAACCTTACCCACAGGCAGAGGAGGCTCGGATGTCTTTACTGCTTTCTCTGTCTCAGCTGGCTGTCCCACTCCAAACTCGTTCTCAGCTAAGACTCTAAAATAGTAGATAGTTCCTTCAGTGAGGCCAGTGATACGGTAGCTTGTCTTTGTGCACTTGTTATCCACATTAGAATAAACCTTCCTGGTGGACTCCCGCTTTTCAACCAGGTAATTCTTGATTCTTGCACCACCATCAATAAGAGGAGGCTCCCAGGTCACAGTAACACTTTCTCTCTTGATGTCTTTGACTGTCAAATTTAGAGGGGACCCTGGAGTGTCCAGAACCTTGACAGAGACAAAGGCTGACTTGGTGCCAGCGCTATTCTCCAGGTTGAGGATGTATTTTCCAGCATCATATCTGTCACAGATGTCAATGGAGAGCTGTGTGTAATCTTCGCCTGTCTCTATCTGGACTTTACTGGGCAGTTCTCCATCCTCCTTGGCCCAGCTGATCTCAGGAGTAGGACGGCCCTTGAATGGAATGCAGATTCTCATTGAGCCACCTGCACGGACAACTATTCCCTTCCTGAGTTCTGAATCCAGGGTCATCTCTGGAGGATTAATTTTATCCAGAGGTTTCACGACTCCCTGGATCTCAATGGGCTCACCAACACCCAGCTTATTGATTGCACAGACGCGGACTTTGTATTCTTGGTGCTCCACCAACTTGGTGATGGTAAACTTGGTAGCACTAACTCCAGAGGGTGGGGTGCATATGGTCCATTCCTCCTCATCAGCCTTGGTAATTTCAACAGCATATCCTTGAATCTCACAACCACCATCATAGATGGGCCTATGCCAGGCCAGACTGATCGAGTCTTTAGTTGTGTCGACCACATGGGCATTGGTGGGACAGCCTGGTTCAAAGGTGGGATCACAGGCTTTGAGATAGGGTGAAGCTGGGCTTGACTGACCCACTCCAGCTGCATTCTCAGCAGATACCTTGAATTCATATTCATGGTCTTCAGTTAGTCCTGTTACTCTAAAACGCAAGTCTGTCACCCTGCGTTTGTTACACTTGGTCCACCTCACTCCAGCTCTGTCTCTCTTCTCAACAATGTAACCAACAATCTCGCTGCCTCCTGTGGTCTCAGGGCGGTTCCAGCAGACAGTCATGGAGTCTCTAGTAATGTTAGTAATCTCAAGCTCCTGAGGGGCACCAGGAGGAACAAATGGATTTCTCATGATAACTGGTGCTGACTCGAGAGGCTCACCCACACCATACTTGTTAACAGCCATGACTCTAAAGATGTACTCATTGCCTTTCAACAGTTTGGTAACCTTGAACATGGTAGCTCCACAGTCACTGGAGACCACAGTCCATGCCAGGCGGCTGGTTTCTCGCTTCTGAATGATGTAGTGAGAAATGCTAGCTCCTCCATCATGCCTGGGTGGCAGCCATGATAGTGAGCATTTCTCCTCAGTGACATTGCTGACAGTAAGAGGTCCTTCTGAGGGTCCTGGTCTGTCCAGAACCTTCACACTGAATGGGACAGTCTTTGTTCCAGCCACATTAGTCAGAACCAGAGTGTACTGTCCACCATCCACTCTGATGGCATCCTTCACAACTAACAATGCCTTAAAATCTGTATTTTTGATTTCAGCCCTTGCTGAGTTTTCAACTTCAACAGCTCCCTTGAACCACTGAGCTGTGGGGATGGGCTTTCCTTCCACACTGGCCTCCAGACTGAAAGTCTCTCCAGCATTGATAACAATGGTCTGGTTGTACATAGGATCTGTCTCACACTTTGGTGGTTCAACTTCATCCTTGGCTGTGATGGATCCTGTGCACTCAGATGGCTTGCTGACAGCACCAGCTGCATTCCTGGCTATTACTCTGAAGTCATATTTACTGTCTTCTGTCAGGCCAGTAACTGTGAATTCATGCTCAATGATGTTTGTAAAGCTAGCCTTCATCCACTTTCCTTCAGGAAGGTCACGTTTCTCCACTAAATAGCCAGTAACTAAGCTTCCACCATCATACTCTGGAGAGGTCCACCTCAGCTTCACCGAGTGCCTGGTCACAATCAGAGCCTCAGGGCGGCCAGGGGGATCACATGGGTCACGGGCTACATAAACCTCAGAAACTTTGCTGCATTTTCCAATGCCAACAATATTCTCAGCATAGACTCTATACTCATACTCAATGCCTTCCTCAAGAGGAGTAGATTTAAACCTGCAGTCTTGAATGAGCATTTTGTTGATCTTTGTCCAGAGGATACTGTTCTTCTCTTTCCTCTCCAGATGGTAGCCCAAGATGGCACTGCCTCCATCAGATGGGGGTTTGTGCCACTCAACCACCATATAGTCTTTGGTGTATGAAGCCACAAATGGTGTTCCTGGTGGCCCAGGCTCCTGGAATGGATACTGTGCCAAAACAGCCTCTGAATCAATTGCGTAACTCTTTCCATATCTATTCTCAGCATAGATTCTGAACTGGTATTCAGCACCTGTCTTCAGATTAGCCACTTTCAGTGTGGTTCTGGCCACAGTAGCAGATACGACCACCCAGTTGGTTGTGGTTGTATCTCTCTTCTCTACCACATAGTTGGAGATTTGGCAGCCACCTGTGTATGTAGGAGGTTCCCAGCTAAGAGTGATACTTTCAGCACTTATGTCATCCAACTTGACAGGGCCTGTTGGGGGGCCTGGTTTGTCCAGGGTGATCACCTCAATAGTGGCATCCTTGGATCCCAGGGCATTAGAGATATTGATGCTATACATGCCTCCGTCCTCTCTTGTGGCATCCTTTATGGTGAGGGTGGTTTGATGTTTTGTGTCAGTGACATTAACTCTGGTGGTCTGCTTAAGAGCAGCACCGTCCTTGGTCCAGGTGATGGTTGGCTTTGGATGACCAGCAATTGGGACCTCTATCTTGAGGTCATGGCCCACCTGGACACTGTAGGTGCTCACTTTGGGTCTAACAGCAGGCTCAATCACAAGATCCTTTGCTACAACTGAATGAACCAGTTGTCTGGGGTCACTCTTGCCCTTGTCATTTACAGCTACAACTCTGAACTGATACTCCTCTCCCTTGAGTAGGTTTGTCACTACAGTCTCCAGTGCCTTCACACTAGCACACACAGACCAGGCCTCACTGTCCTTAGGTGACAATTCGATTTCATAATGACTGATCCTACTGCCGCCATCATGTTCCGGCTTCTCCCAGGTGAGGGTTACAGTGCTATGAGTAACATCAACAACACTGACTTTACCAGGTGGCTGAGGCTTCTCAGAGATCTTAATGGGTTCCAACGTTTTGGCGGGGAGACCCACACCATATTCATTCTCAGCCAGGACTCTGAAGAAGAAGATTCCACCCTCCGGAAGAGGCTCAACTTTCCATGACATCCTATTGCAGGTGGTGATGGGAGAGTAAACTTTCCTGGTGCTCTCACGCTTCTCAACAATATAATGCTTAATCTTTGAGCCACCATCCAGAAGTGGAGGCTCCCATGTGAGAGTGACAGAAGTTTTGGTAATCTCTTTCACCATGAAGTTAGTTGGTGGACTAGGTGAGTCCAGGACCCTGACACTGATGAAAACTGACTTCACTCCACTGGCATTTTCTGCTGTCAGGGTGTACTTGCCACTGTCAAATCTGTCAACATTCTCAATGACAAGTGAAGCATAACTGCCTGTATTATCAATCTGGGCAGTCTCCTTAATCTCACCGTCTGCCTTACCCCATTTCACCTCAGGGGCTGGACGACCTCTCACAGGAACGAACAGCCTGAGAGTGCTTGCTGACCTAATGTTGATCATCTTTCTCATATCAGCATCCAGGTCAAGATCAGGAGCCTCAAGCTTCTCCTCCAGGAGAATCTTTCCTGGAACATCAGCATGTTCACCAACACCAATTTTGTTGATGGCACATACTCTGAACTGGTACTCATGCTTCTCGAGAAGCTTTTTCACTGTAAACATAGTATCTGTGATTCCAGTGGGAGGAGTGCACATAAACCACTCATCAGATGCCCCATTGCAGGCCTCCACAATGTACGCTTTAATCTCACAGCCACCATCATAGATGGGTTTGCCCCATGTCAAGGAAACAGTGGACCTAGATGAGTCGACTACTTTGGGGTTGTTTGGTGGGCCTGGTTTGAAGATAGGATCCAATGCTTTGTAGTACACTGTTGGTGCACTAGGTGTGCCAACACCTGCAGCATTCTCAGCAGCAACTCTGAATTCATAGCTATGATTTTCTAGGAGTCCAGTCACTCTGAAGCGCAGCTCACTCACTGTGCGCTTGTTGCACCTGGTCCATCTTACACCGTCCTTGTCACGTTTCTCAACAATATATCCCTGGATGGGACTACCACCATCATTAGTTGGTCTCTCCCAGGTCACCACCATGGAGTCCTTGGTGATTGTACTGACTTCTACCTCTGTTGGTGGTTTGGCAGTGACAAATGGATTTCTGGCAATCATCGGCTCAGATTCCAGAGGCTCACCAACTCCGTATTTGTTGACTGGAATCACTCTGAAGATGTACTCATTACCAGGAAGAAGTTTGGTAATCTTCAAGTTCAGTGTCTGAACTTTTGGCTCAACTACAGTCCAAACCAGTCTGCTGGTTTCCCTCCTCTCAACTATGTAATGGGAAACATCACTACCTCCGTCTTGCATGGGAGATTTCCAGGAAATTGAGCATTTCTCACTGGTGACCCCATAGATGGAGATAGGGCCCTCGGGAGGACCTGGTCTGTCCAGGACCTTGACATTAATGTTAACAGATTTCTCTCCTCCAACATTCTTCACCAGCAAAGTGTACTGACCTCCATCAACACGAATGGCTTCTTTAACAACTATACAAGCTATAAAGTCTGTGTTCTTGACTTCTAAGCGAGCTGCTTCAGTGATCTCTTGACCTTCCTTCAGCCAGTGTATTGTGGGCACAGGCTTACCAGCGACAACAGCCTCAAGCCTGAATGTTTCCCCTGCATTTACCACCACAGCCTGGGAGTATTTAGCTTCCAAGTCAATCTTGGGTGGATCCACCTCATCCTTGGCAGTGATAGCTCCAGTTGAATCAGAGGGCTGACTGAAGACACCTGCTGAATTCCTGGCAATGACACGGAACTCATAAACCTGATCTTCAGTAAGTCCTGTCACAACAAATTCAGTCTCAATGATGTTGGTGAAACTGGCCTTCATCCAGCGGCCTGTTGCTTCCTTCTTCTCAACCACATAACCTGTGATCTTGATGCCGCCATCATACTCAGGTTTGGTCCATCTGAGTGTCACTTGGTTTCTTGTTACAATAACAGCCTCTGGTTTTCCCGGTCTGTCGCAAGGATCTCTGGCCACTTGCATTTCACTCAGTTTGCTGGCTTTGCTGAGGCCGACAATGTTCTCAGCATAGACTCTGTACTCATATTCAATACCCTCCTCAAGACCAACAGCCTTGAATCTGGTCTCTGGGATGAGTTGTTTGTTCTGTTTCACCCACAGTATACTGTTTCTCTCTTTGAGCTCTACATGATAGCCCAGAATTTTGCTTCCACCATCATTACTGGGTTTCTCCCATACAACCACCATGCTTTCCCTGGTGGCTGACTGGACCGTAACAGAACGTGGCTGACTGGGCACTTCAAATGGATACTGAGCAACAATGCTTTCAGAGAGCAGAGCTGAGGACTTGCCGTATCTATTCTCTGCAGCAATCCTAAATTGGTACTCAGATCCAGTCTTCAGACGGGCTGCCTTAATGGTGGTTCTGGCAACTGTAGCTGACACAATCTGCCAGTTTGTAGTAGATGTGTCTCTCTTCTCAACGATGTAATTGTTGATGGCGCAACCACCATCATACTCTGGTGGATTCCAGGACAGCACCACACTGTCAGCAGTGACTTCATCCAACTTAATTGGGCCTGTTGGAGGACCAGGCTTATCTAGAACAACAACACTGATGTCTGTGGATGCCTCGCCAACTTTGTTAGTTAGTTTGATAGTGTATGTGCCCACGTCATCTCTGCAAGCCTCCTTGATGACCAGGAGAAGGTTTTTGTCTGTGGCCTCAGCATTAACTCTTGTTGTCTCCTTGAGAACAACACCGTCTTTGAGCCAAGTTGCTGTGGCCTTGGGACATGCAGCATATGGTACATCTATCTTCAGATCATCTCCTGCCAGCACACTGAATGTGCTAAAAAGCAGTTTGAAGGTCGGTGAGATAACAAGGTCTTTTGCCACCACAGGCACATTGAGAGAACGTGGGTCACTAGCTCCCTTTTCATTGGTGGCTGAAATACGGAACATGTACTCCTCTCCATGTGTAAGGCCAGTTACAACAGCTTCATTGGTCTTTACCACCATGACCTGGGTCCACTTCTCACTGCCTTTACCTTGCATCTCAACAATATAGCCTGTGATTCTGCTGCCACCATCATGGTCAGGTTTTTCCCAACTTAGCGTGACACTGGTGCTTGTAACTTCACGGAGGGACACTTTACCAGGAGGTAGAGGCCTCTCTGACACTTTAATTGGTTCAACAGTCTCCACCGGGAGGCCAACACCATATTCATTCTCAGCCAGGATTCTAAAGAAGTACATCTTTCCTTCCTCCAGCTCTCCAATTTTCCAACTTGACTTATGGCAGCTTGCACAGACAGTTGAGTAGGCCTTTCTGGTTGACTCACGCTTCTCTACAATGTAGTTGCGAACTCTGGAGCCACCATCAATGAGAGGTGCATCCCAAACGAGGGATACTGAATCTCTTGTGACCTCCTTGATGATCAGATTCTGAGGTGCTCCAGGAGTATCTAGTACCCTGACATTAACAAAAGCTGTCTTGCTTCCTGAGGCATTCTCTACAGTCACCATGTATTTACCTCCATCAAACCTGTCAACATTTTCTACGTGAAGAGTGGTAAATGATGAGGTGATTTCAATGTTTGCTTTGTCTAGGGATTCTCCATGCTCTCTCGACCATTTTACTTCAGGTGCTGGTCTGCCCTTGATGGGGACGAAGAGTCTAAGTGTGCTGCAGGCTCTGATGCACACCACCTTACGCAGCTCTGCTCCAAGCTCAACTTCTGGAGGAAGCAGTCTGTCTTCAGCCTTGGGGGTACCAGGAACAGCAGCAGGCTCTCCTACTCCTTCACAATTAGTGGCACAGATGTTAATTTTATACTCTTGGTTTTCCTTCAAGTTAGTGATGGTGAAGGAAGTGGCTGTCCAGCCCTTCTTGGGAGTGTGAATTGTCCACTCATCCTCCTCAGGCAGGCAGGTTTCCACAATGTAACCAGTGATTTCAGAACCACCATCGTACACAGGCTTGTTCCAAGCAAGGGTGATAGAAGACTTGGTTGTGTCCAGCACCCTGGGGTTCCCTGGAGGTCCAGGCTGGAAGATTGTGTCTACTGCTTTGTAGAATGGACTGGAAGGACTAGGTTGGCTCAGACCAGCATTGTTCTCAGCAAAAACTCTGAATTCATACTCATGTCCTGGTGTGAGGCCAGAGACCTTGAATCGCAGGTCAGTAACAGTCCTCTTGTTGCACTTCACCCAGCGCAGGCCAGTCTTATCCCTTCTCTCAATTATGTAGGTGTTTATTCTGCTGCCTCCATCATGTTCAGGGCGCTCCCAGCAGACAACCATGGAGTCCTTGGTAATGGTGGTGACTTCAGGCTGCTGTGGTGCATCACTGGCGACATAGGGGTTGGCACAGATGACAGGTTCAGATTCCAGGGGTTCACCAACGCCATACTTGTTAACAGCCATGACTCTGAAGATGTACTCATTGCCTTTCAGAAGTTTGGTGACCTTGAATCTATTTGCTTGAAGGTCTGTGGCCACATTTGTCCAGGCCAACCTACTGGTCTCACGCCTCTGAATAATAAAGTACTCGATTTTGGCACCACCATCGTGTGTTGGATGCAGCCAATTCAGGACACACTTCTCAGCCGTGACATCAGTTACTGTCAGGGAGTCGGGTGGTCCAGGTCTGTCGAGCACCTTGACATTGAATGTGAACTTGGCAAATCCACCTGGATTGCTAGCAGTCAGAGTAAAAGCACCACCATCTCTCCTGAGGGAATCTTTGTTTATTAGAGTTGTATGGAAGTCAGATGTCTTTATCTCTAGCTTGCCTGTATCCTCAAGCTCCTTTCCTTCTTTGGTCCATACCAGAGATGGGATTGGCCTGCCAGTCACATTGGCCTCCAGCTTGAATACCTCCCCTGCCATGACAACAACATTGCTGCTATACGATGCGTCAACATCAAGTCTGGGCTCTTCAATATCATCTCTGCATGTGATTGCCTCAGATGGCTGGGATGGAGCACTGATAGAACCAGCTGAGTTTCTAGCAAAGACACGGAATTCATAAGTTGCATCTTCAATCAGACCACTGACTGTATAGATGGTTTCGAGGATGTTGTTGAAGTTGGCTTTGAGCCAGCGTCCATTTGGCATCTCTCTCCTCTCCACTGTGTATCCTGTGATGGAAAATCCACCATCTCCCTCTGGTTTGGTCCATGACACAGTGACCTCATGTCTGGTGATATTCAGTGCCACAGGCCTGCCTGGTGGGTCAACTGGGTCCAAAGCATACATAGGCTCAGAGGGTTTGCTTGGCTTGCTGAGACCGGCCATGTTTTCAGCAGTAACACGGTGTTCATATGCGATTCCATCAACAAGGCCTGTTGATTTGAAGATATTTCCAACAACAAGAGCTTTGCTGATTCTCTGCCACAGAATGCTGTTTCTCTCTTTTCTGTCCACATGATAGCCAAGGATAGCACTGCCTCCATCAGAGGATGGCTCATTCCAACTCAGAGTCATTGCATCTTTGTTGAAAGATGTAACCACAGGAGTGCCTGGCTGACCTGGCACATCAAATGGATAGGCAGCCACAACTGGCTCGGAGACAATGCATGGTCCAATGCCATATCGATTCTGGGCTTTGACACGGAACTGATATCCGGTTCCAGTGTTGAGTCGAGCGGCCTTGAATGTTGTACGGATCACTGTAGCTGCCAACTCCACCCATGAAGTACCGATAGTCTCTCGCATCTCAACAATATAGTTATTGATGGGAACGCCTCCATCATTCTCTGGTGCCTCCCAGGACATAAGAACATAATCACATGAGACCTCTTCCAGCTTAATGGGACCAGTGGGAGGACCTGGAATGTCATGGACTAGGACTGTGATTGTCTCAGTCACCGTACCCAACATGTTCTTTCCAGTCATGGAATACTGGCCTCCATCAGTCCTCTTGATCTCACCAATGTTGAGGATAGTTGATGTTGGTGTGGTTTCAGTGTTGATTCTTTGTGTCTCCTTGAGAGCCATGTCTCCCTTCTTCCAGGAAACCACAGGCCTGGGTTTGCCAAGCACTGGAATCTCCACCTTGACGCGGTCTCCTGCCTTGGCGATGACCGTCTTCTGGTAGACTCCACGCAGATCAAAGGAGGGAGCAGAAGTCTGCTCTCTGATGACTGCAGGCCTGCTCTCACGGGGGTCGCTCCTACCTGATGCATTGACAGCCATTATGCGGAAGGTATATTCTGCCCCCTCAGTCAGATCTGTGACAGTGTAGTCCAGAGCCTTGATGGTGGCCACATGGACCCACTGGTCAGTGTCCTTCTTCTGGGTTTCAATGACATATCCAGTGATCAAGCTGCCACCATCGTGCAGGGGCTTGACCCATGCAAGGCTGGCACTGTCAGCAGTCACATCTGTGACATACAAGTTCTCTGGTGCAGAGGGGGCTTGGGACACCCTGATTGGCTCAGGGGTTTCAGCGGGCTCACCCACGCCTAGGTCATTCTCAGCAGAGACACGGAAGTAGTAGTAAGCTCCCTCGTCAAGGTCTGTAAATTTGAAGGAACACTTCTGCCATGTGGTGGTAAGCACTGTGTAGGCCTTCTTGGTAGCCTCTCTCTTTTCAATAATGTAGTTATGAATCTTGGAACCACCATCGATTATGGGGATTTCCCACTGGAGGGTGATGCTGTTCTTGGTGATCTCTCTAGGTTTGAGGTTGACTGGTGGTCCTGGTGTGTCCAGAACTCTCACATTAACAAAGCCTGTCTTCTTTCCAGCAACATTCTCCAGACAGAGGTTGTACTTTCCAGCATCGTATCTGGTGCAGTCAGGAATAACCAGTAGAGTGTAGGACTCTGTGGTGTCAATGTGTGCACGGGTTTTCAGGTTGGTATCATCTTTGCTCCATGTTACCTCAGGAACAGGACGGCCCCTGATGGGAACAAACATACGAATTGAAGCACGGGACCTGACCACCAGGGTTCTCCTGAGTTCAGCATCCAGCTCAAAGTCTGGCAGCGCCTCCTGGTCCACCAGTTCAGTCACTTTCTCAACCTCTGCAGGCTCACCGACTCCCTCAGAGTTTACAGCGCTGACTCTGAAGTGGTATTTGCCACGTTTTTGAAGTTTACCAATAACATATTCAGTAGCTTTCAATGGGTACTGTGTCTCTGTCTCCCAGTCATCATGGCCCTCCTTTTTGTACTCAACAATATATCCCTCTACTGGCAGACCACCATCATAATGGGGTCGGCCCCAGGCAAAGGTGGCTGTGGTTTTTGTGGTGTCTGTAATTCTGGGATTGGATGGAGGACCAGGTGGATCTAAGAAAACAAGTGGAACAAAGAAAAAGAGTTTAAAGAAGTTATTTTTTTACACAGGTGCTTCTATTGTTTTTACTTTTCTATATACAGTATGAAACTTTTCTGTTTTAAAACGGAGTCCAGAGTTAAGTGAGAAGTCCACTATTACTTACACACAATGTCCTTAGTCATCACAGGGCGTGATGGCTCGCTAGGCTCCCCAAATCCAGCCTTGTTCTCAGCAGTGACTCTAAACTCATACTCTACTCCCTCACTCAGGCCTTGCACCTTGAAGCGCAGGTCAGGGACTGTCCTCTTACAGGCTCTCACCCATCTCATTCCTCTCCTCTCTTTCCTCTCTACACAATATCCTCTGATGTCACTTCCACCGTCCTGTGCTGGTCTCTTCCATGAAATGGTGACAGCATTTCTACTGACGTTATCAATCTCTGGGATTGAGGGCGGGCCTGGTGGGCCTGGGCAAACAAAACATGCAAGAACATTTTGGTCAGTTATACATTTTCCTTATCCAATGGTTATGTGGAAATTTGCAATGTTATTATTTTAATCTCATTTCATCTCTTAATATTCTAAAATAATAATCATATATAAACCAAATAAACTTACGGTAGCTGTCAACCATTTTGACTGGACCAGACTGGCTTGAGTCTCCAGTGCCGTACTGGTTCACAGCAGACACTCTGAAGATGTACTCGTTGCCCTTGATCAGTTTGCTGGCTACATATCTGCAGTCCATGACATTCTCTGCTAGCTTGGTCCACTGCAGGCGGCTGGTCTCTCTCTTCTCAAGGATGTAGGACTTGATGGAGCAGCCTCCATCCTCCTCTGGTGGAAGCCAGGTCAGAGTGCACTTCTCAGCTGAAATGTTACTGGCTTCAATGGGGCCCGGAGGTCCAGGCACATCCAAGACCTTCACCTTTACATGTTCTTCCTTAATGCCAAAGGGATTGCTGGCGGTGATGGTGTATTCGCCTGTGTTCTTCCGGCTTGCGTACTTGATGGACAGAGTAGAAGAGGTAGGGGTGCTGGTAATGGTGACAATGTCAGAGGTCTTGAACTCACGGCCTCCCTTGGACCAGACTGCGGTGGGTGGAGGTTTGCCCATAATCTTGGAGGCTGAGACCACAATGGTATCTCCTGCCCTAACCGATACACCGTCCTTCATGTCTGGGTCGATAGTGATGCTTGGAGGCTCTGCACAGAGGGTGGAAGAAAGTTGCACTTTAAGTGTCTACAGAAATAATACATTCAAAATATGACTTTCTAGACCTGATATTAGTAAGACTAGAATTACATTTTTCAAGGCCCTGCAATCACCCACATGTTTCAACTGTTCAGCTTACCGTACTCATCCTTGCAGGTCAGAAGGTCAGTGGACTCTGAGGGAACACTGATAGCCCCAGCAGAGTTCTTGGCCCTGATCCTGAACTGATACTGAGATCCTTCTGTCAGATCAGTCACAGTGAAGGCACAGCCCTGTATGTTGACATGATTGGCCTTCATCCAGGCCTTGCCACCAGCCTCCAGCTTCTCCACCATGTAGCCAGTCAGCTTGTATCCGCCGTCATATTTGGGGGCGGTCCAAATCAGAGTGACCATGGTCCTGGTGACGTTAATCACTTCAGGCTTGCCAGGAGGATCTAACAGAACACAAAATAAATACATTACATAGAAAACACAGATATGCTTTTGCAAGCAGCATTTTACATTTTTCCATTCATGTATTTAGTATGATAATAAAAGAGAGAAAAATTTGCTTCAACACATTAGGAAAAAAAAACACTGAACTCACCAATAGGATCCAGGGCAACCACAGCCTCAGTGACCTTGCTTGCCTTTCCCAGGCCGGCCATGTTCATGGCCATCACCCTGAACTCATACTCTAATCCCTCTATCAGGCCAGTGACTCTGCACTCCTTCACTCTCAAAGGAGTCTTACTGGCCCGTTTCCACATCAGACTGTTCCTCTCCTTAAACTCCACATGATATCCTAAAGACAACACATCAGTTAGTAATGATGATGACTGGTCACTACTTGCTCATGCTTAACTACAAACTGATATCCATTACAGTCTGTTACCGGTAATTGGGGAGCCACCAGTGTCCTTTGGATCAGCCCAAGTCAAGATGGCTGACTCATGGCGGATGCTCACGATTTCTGGAGGAGCAGGCGCCTCGGGTACGTCTGGAAGATTCAGAGAAAGACAGAAGGGTAGAAAGATTAGAAAACCACATCCTCACATCACCATGAAGCACAGTCCCTGTTATGGTTACAGTCTTGCACATGTAACACCTCAGGCCTAAATGCACTTAACTATTTCATCAGTGTTAGTTCGGAGTGAGATACTCACTGAATGGATGCTGGGCGATGACAGCGTCAGACCTCAGATACTCTCCAACCCCATACTTGTTCTCAGCGAAGACTCTGAAGATGTACTCGACTCCATCGTGGAGCCTGATCACCCTCATGGTCGTCTTCTGGATGGCTGAAGCCACTGTGGCCCATTTATTGTCTGTCGTCCTCCTCTTCTCCACGATGTAGTTAGACACCTCTGCACCGCCGTCATCTTTGGGCGGTCCCCACTCCAGGGTGAGGCTGTCGGCGGTGATCTCGTCGAACTTGATGGGTCCGGTGCAGATGCCGGGCTTGCCGACCACCTTCAGCTGGAACTTGCAGTCCTTGGAGCCAGCGCTGTTCCTGACGTTGATGGTGTAGGTTTCGGCATCTCCTCTCTGGCAGTCTCTGATCAGCAGGGTGGTGACGCCCTGAGACGCCTCCACGCACATCCGGCCGGTGTCTCCAAGTGCCATGTCGCCCTTCTTCCAGGTGGCGGTGGGGTAGGGCACTCCAATGATGGGGATGTTGATACGTGTGGTGCTGCCCTCCTTCACCACGCAGCAGCCGTCTTGCAGACTGCTCAAGTTGCAGTTAGGCAGCACTGAAATCCAAAGGAGTTTGATTATCACAAACACAATTTTATGTTCTAGCAAAACAAACACCTACATGTAACAACACCTGGTGTGATTGCTGATTTCTTACCAAACTGGTCTTTAGCGACAACAGCGAGCTCGGTGGGCGGTCCCTCCCCGGACTCGTTGAGAGCCTTGACTCTGAACAAGTACTCCTTGCCCTCAGTCAGCTCGCCGATGATGTGTGAGGTGTTCTTGCCCTTCATGATCTGCTTCCACTTCTCCTCGCCTTCACTCTGCTCCAGGATGTAAGCAGTAACGTGGCTTCCGCCGTCGCTGATGGGCTTCTTCCAGCCCAGAGTGATGGAGTCCTTGGTGGTCTTCTGAGGTTTGAAATCTGTCACTGGACCAGGTTGCTCTGAAGAGGGAGGATAGCTGGGTCAAGACTGAGCACGTGGTTTGTCAAACAAGATGTGTTTAATGTGGATGTAGGTCTCAGATTTAAATAAAAGGTGTCGCTTTGTTTGACTTTTGATCTGTCTTGGCATTGGCCACTGATCTCTAAACATTTTTAATTAAAAACTTACATATGATCAGTAGTCTGAGACCATATTTAATGTTGAAAACAGAAAATATAATAAAATCATGTTTGTTTGTTCATATTCTTAAAATCCTAAAAGTCCACTCATATTTGTTACAGAACATCTAAGTTTCATGTCTCTGAGGTTCAATAAAGGTTTGAACTGTTTAAGCTTTAATCTAGTCGAGGCGTATCTAAAGCAATCCTTTATTCGTACTCTGTCAAACACTCTACTGGAGTCTATTGTACTGAATTCTGATGTATTCAAAGATAATCTACTGTATGAAAAACAATGACATGTAGCTACCGGATGCGCGGACGCTGCCGGCAGTCTCGCAGCCCTCTCCGATTCCGTACGCGTTCTCGGCCAACACTCTGAAGCAGTAGGCCTGTCCGCCCTCCAGGTTGGTAATCCTGAACGAGGTCTTGGGGCACTCTGCCGACACGCAGGTCCAGGCCTTCCTCTCTGCCAGACGTTTCTCTACGATGTAGCTCTTCACTGGGCCGCCGCCATCGATCAGCGGGGCGTCCCAGGTGATGCAGGCGTGGCTTCTGGAGGTCTCCTTCACAATCAGGTTCACAGGTGGTCCAGGAGAATCTGAGGAAGAGCAGAAGGAAATATAACGTTTCAATAACCCACTCATTAACCCAGTTGTCTTTCCACCTGTAACATACCAGAACCCACGCTCACTTTTCATTTTCCTTATTATGTCTGACACTCTTACCGAGGACCTTGACCACGATGGTGTAGCTCTTGGAGCCGCTGCTGTTCTCCAGAGTCAGGACGTATTTGCCAGCATCGTATCTGTTGACGCCCTCGATCATCAGCAGCGTGTCCCAGTCTGAGGTCTTGATCAGCAGGCCCTGCCTCTCCTTCAGGTTGGCGTTCACCTTTGTCCACGTCACCTTGGGTGCGGGGCGTCCTCTTAGCGGGACGTAGAGTCTCATTGTGACACCAGCTCGAAGAACCAAAGCCTTTCTCAGGTCGGCATCCAGCTCAGCCTCAGGAGCAACTGGAGGAGAGACAGAAAATCACAATCACTTCACTGTTACATCAGGTGTGAGTTCAATATTTATTCAGTCTAACCTTGTCTAGTTTTCTGTCTCTTTAAACAAAGGAATTGATTTTCTATGTTCAGTTCAGTGTTGATTTAATTATCTTAATAATAACTTCATCATTGTTCAAATTTGGACTTTTACCAAGAAAGAAAAAGGAGTGTTAACTAGTATTACTAGTTAGCTAAATTGGGTAAATTAACAAACAGCTACCACACAGTCCTGTCCTATGGTTTCCTGTTACTTTCTTCTAATAAAGTCTTCTAAAGTGGTATAATAAACAGTGGTGGTGGGGGGGGCGTACTCAGGATGTCCTTGGGCATGTGGTTTCCAGGGACCTCGCTGGGCTCGCTGTAGCCGATCTTGTTGACGGCAGTGACTCTGAACTGGTACTCTGTGTTGTCCATCAGGCCCGTCACCAGCAGTTTGGTGGCCTGGAGCTTTTTCGGGACATTGCACTTGGTCCAGTCCTCAGCCTCTACTCTCTTGCACTCCACCAGGTAGCCAATGATCTCACAGCCACCGTCGTAGGCGGGCTTGGTCCAGCTAAGGCTGATGGAGCTCTTGGTGGAGTCCACCACTTTAGGGAAGGCAGGTGGGCCAGGAGGATCTGGAGAATTACAATGCCGCAATTGTTAGAGAAAGATAATTTGATAACTTAAAGATACTTGTTAATCTCAGGCCCGTGAGTTTGTGTTTCTTAAAGCAGATACTCACAGACAGGATCAACAGCCAGCGCAGCGTTGGATGCATCGCTGGGTTTGCCCAGACCGGCCTTGTTCAAGGCGATGACTCTGAACTCATACTCAGAGCCCTCAGTCAGCTGAGCGGCCTTGATGGTCCTGTCGATGACGGGCCGGCGGTTGACCTTTGCCCATGTCAACTCAGTGGCCTCACGCTTCTCCACCATGTAGCCCAGGATGGGAGCTTTGCCGTCGTTAGCTGGAGCCTTCCAGCTGACTGTCATGGAATTTTTGGTAATGTTGGTGATGACTGGTGGCTCACATGGACCGGGAACATCTGAGGGAAAAGGTCATGATTAAAAAACCCATCAGTGTTTGAGTTTATCATCGACAGGTAACATGTGCTGCTTCATCAATTAATTATTGGAGTTAAATTATTGAAACCAAAGATGATATAATGTTGAATGCTCACACTAGAATGTTGGACGATGGAAGAAGAAATGATTGATAATAAATAAAGATGTTTATAATCATTTAAACGTACATGTTCTTCAGGACATTCAGTTATATTATCAGAGACGTATTAGAATAGAATTAGACGTATGAATTTCCCCTAGGGGATAAATAAAGTATCTATCTATCTTTCTATCTAGAGAATTATTATAATTAGTCAGTAAGATCATTTCATCTTTGTACTGCAGTTGGTATTTTCCAAATTCAGCTGTGGTGGTGTGAACGTACCGTACGGGTTCTTGACCATGACGCCGTCAGTCATGATGGCGTCTCCCACACCGTACTGGTTCTCAGCACTGACTCTGAACTGGTACTCATGTCCTTCGATGAGTTTCTCCACGGAGCAGTCGGTCATGTGTCCGTGGATGTTTGAGGTGACCAGTGCCCAGTTGGCCCTGCTGGTCTCACGCTTCTCGATGATGTAGTTGGTGATCTCAGACCCGCCGTCTGCGAGCGGGGGCTCCCACCGCAGCTTCACACGGTCGGCAAACACTTTGGAGATTTTCACCGAAGCTGGAGGGCCGGGTTTGTCTGAGGGTGGCAGAGGGAGTTTAGCTTCTTCATCTGAACACATAAAACGCTCAGACTAAATACTTCAGTAAAATAATATAATATATAACTTACCCAAGACCTTGACCTTGATGGTAGCGTACTTGCTGCCATTGATGTTCTCGGCGGTGATGCTGTAGTCTCCAGACTCCTTCCTGGTGACGGAGTAGAGCTCCAGCAGGTGGACATGTTTCTTCTGGCTCATCTTCATTCCCTCGGTGAGGACCAGAGGCGCTCCGTCTCTCTTCCAGCTCACCTTGGGCAGCGGCTTGCCGAACACTTCGGCGTCCAGGAGGACGTTCTCTCCGGCTTTCACCACGATCAGGTTCTTCATGTTGAGGCCCAGTTCCACACGAGGAGGAACTGCCCGGGAGAGGGAGAGAAAATAATCATTATTATCTGTCAATAACTTAGTTTCCCAGTCATAGTTGTCCTTGCTGTGTGGCATTGTACCGTTCTCTGCGATGACGGGGATGGGGTCGGACAGCTCTGACGGCAGGCTGATGTTGACGGCCGTCTTGGCGATGACTCTGAACTGGTACTGTTGGCCTTCTTCCAGGCCAGTCGCCACGTAGTTCTCCGTCTGGATGTTCATGCAGTTGGCGTTACAGCGAGTCCATTTCTCCTCCGGAAGCTTTGCGTACTCCACATAGTAGCCAATCAGCTTGCTGCCGCCATCATGCTTGGGACGGCTCCAGACCAGTGACACAGAGTTCTTGGTCACATCCATGGGTTCGGGTTTACCTGGTGGGTCTGGATGGAAGGAAACAAAGGTTTGTAGAGTCAGTGATGCAACAAGGAAGAAGATTGAAAAAGAACTAGAAAGTGTGAACGTGGGGAACCTCAAGTGGACCATTCAAATAAAAGGTCCATAGAAAAACAAACTCGAGTGAAGAGATTGTAACTTAAGAAACTCACTTTCACCAGACAATACTTAGTTTTTAAACATTTGTTTTGCTATAATACTCCCTTCGAAGTTTCCCTGTTTTTCTTTAACTTAACAAACATGTTGGAATCATGAGAACATTATGTGGTGATCAGCTGATCGACGTGTTCGTACCAACAGCAGTCCTGGCAGTGATGAAGTCTGTCTGTTTGCAAGGTTTTCCCTGTCCGGCCATGTTGAGAGCGGACACCCTGAAGGTGTACTCCAGGCCCTCGATCAGGTTGGTGCAGGTGTACTGGGTGGCTTTGATCAGGGATTCGTTGGCCTTCACCCATAGAAGGCTGTTCCTCTCTTTCTTTTCAATGCAGTATCCGGTGATGGGGCTGCCGCCGTCGCTGCTGGGACGCTCCCACGACAGGATGACGAAGTCCTTGTTGATCTTGTTGATCTGCAGGTTTCTGGGCTCGCTGGGAGGATCTATGAAGAGCAACAACAGTTAGTACACAGTGTCGCAGCTAGGTGATTGGTTATCAGTTTGATCAGTTTTGGTTCAGACTCACCAAATGGATGTCTGGCAATCATCTTCTCAGAGTAGATGGGCTGTGAGATGCCAAACCTGTTCTCAGCACGGACTCTGAAGCCGTACTCTTTGCCGGTCGTCAGTTTGGTCATTCTGAAGCTGGTTTTGGTGCAGGATGCGGACACGGTGATCCAGTCGCCCTGGCTGACGTCACACTTCTCCACGATGTAGTTGGTGATGTTGCTGCCGCCGTCCTCCTGAGGGGAGTTCCACAGCAGTGTGCAGGCATCAATGTCCTGCTCAGTGATCTCCAGAGGAGCCTCAGGGGGTCCAGGGATGTCTGCAGAGACACAGATGATGATCTGTTATTTATCATTCACATTACAAGTATTCTCTGGCTCTTTTCAGGGGAGTCTGTTGTTCAAACTGACCCATGACGATGACTTTGAGGATCTGGTTGATCTTGGCGGTGCTGTTCTCGGCTGACAGGCTGTAGTAGCCGCTGTCTTTTCTGTTCACATTCTTGATGATTAGCGTGCAGGTTGTCAGCGTCTTTACGACAGACAGCCGGTCGGAGGTCAGCACGTCCTCGTTGCCCTGCTTCCACTTGCAGAAGGGAGCGGGTTTACCTGCCACAATGGCCTCAATCACCATCTTGGATCCAGCTCTGACTGTCACAATGTCGGGCATGATGATCTTAGGAGCCACTGGAGGAAGAAGAAACAAGAAGAAACAAGTTTAATGAGATGTTTACAGCTTTACATTTCAGTCATCAGTCTGTCAGTACTGTATATTACTGAAGAGTTCAGGTCTGTTCACTTACTGAGCTGCTCCTTGACCTCAAACACTCCCTCGGCCTCTCGGGCGAGACTGACTCCCACTGAGTTCCTGGCTGCCACTCTGAACTTGTACTTGGTTCCTTCCTTGAGACCGACCACCACAATGGTCAGGTCTTTGACCACAGAGTAAGGTGTCCACTTGTCTTCAGGTGCGCCCTCCTCCTGGTAGTCAACCACATAGCCGTTGATCTTGGCCCCACCGTCTCTGAGCGGCTTCAGCCAACCAAGCGTGGCGCTGTTCTTGGTGATCTCCAACACGTCCATCTTCTTTGGAGGGTCAGGCTCACCTGGATGCGACACACAGCAGGTGTTAAGAAGTGTAAACATAAAAGGAAAAGCAAAAGAGGTGGAGCCACATTGACTGGACATCCTAAACGTCCATAGTGATACTCACTGATGGGATCAACAGCCAAGTAGGACCTGGGTGAGTCCTGAGGAACACCGATGCCGTACTTGTTGCAGGCCATGACTCTGAAGTAGTACTCGATGCCAGGTGTCATGTTGGTCACCTTGAAGCTGGTCTTCTTCAAGTCCTCTGTGCACTTGGTCCAGGTCTTCCTGTCCACCTCCCGTTTCTCCACAATGTAGTTGAGGATGGGGCTGCCACCGTCATTCTCCGGTGGCAACCAGGACAGCTGAGCCGTCGTCTTGGTGATGTTGGTTGCCTCCAGGCCGCCAACGGGACCAGGAGTGTCTGCAGAGAATGGATTTAAGAGTCAGTTTGACTGCAGTTTTCTAACCAGTGAAACATGTAGTAACAGTTTCAGAAAGACTTTAAAAATTAATTAGATCTTTCCTTTTCTCACCGAGCACTTTGACGCGGACGAATATCGCTTTCTCTCCAGCTGAGTTAGACAGAGTCAGCGAGTATTTCCCAGAATCCTCTCTGGTGCTTTCAGGGATGACCAGGAAGGACATGGTGTCAACCTGGTCCACGTGGCCTCGGCGGACCACATTGTCCACACCTATGCGCTTCCATGTGACTTTGGGGGCGGGCCTTCCTCTGATCACAGCGAACAACCTGATTGGACAGCCGGCTCTGACGGCCAGGCCTTTCCTCAGACTGGCGTCCAGCTCAATCTCTGGAGCCTCTGTTGTAGTTAAAGCACATTACAGTGTTAATAACACTCACCCTGGTGTATAATACAGTGGATTTATTTAGGCTTTAGTTGATTCTTACCCAGAATCTCCTTGGGGAAGACGGCCTCCTTCGTGTAAGCGTGGCGTCCCCAGCCCACCTGGTTCTGGGCGGATACCTTGAACTCGTACTCCTGCTTCTCATCCAGCTGGCCAATAGTGAACTCTGTGAGCACCAGTGGGCCATGAGTGTCAATCCTCTTCCAGCCCTCTGAGGGCTTCTCAGGGTCCGCCTCGCTCTTCAGCCTCATGTCCAAGCTGTAGCCGATGATGGGGGCACCGCCATCATACACAGGCTTAGACCAGGACAGAGTGATAGAAGTCTTGGTGCTGTCAGACACTTTCAGGCCTGCAGGGGGGCCAGGGGGCTCTGCAGGGAGAGACAGTGAAACAAAGCTCAGTAAAAATCCGACAACACAAGAAGACACAGGAGAGAAACGAATCATGTGCATCACCGACGTTCTGTAAATCCCACGTTCCCAAACTGAGCTGTGAACTCACCGATGGGATCTTTGGCTGCGACGGGCCTGCAGGGTTTGCTGGGCTCTCCCAGACCGACTTCGTTCTCAGCCTTCACCCTGAACTGGTACTCGTGGTTGGGGATCAGGTTGGTGACTTTCATGCGTCTCTCAGAGATGGGGCTCTTGGTGCAGGGCACCCAGCGCACCGCCCTCTTCTCTTTCCTCTCCAGGATGTAACCGGTGATCGACTTCCCTCCGTCGTTCTCGGGAGGAGCCCAGACCACCGTCATCTCATCTTTACTCACCTGCATCACAAAGATATTCAAATTGTGAGTAACAGAGAAACTTAATGAGGTCGTAGAGTTCAAGGGTAGAAAATATTTACAACAGGAAGTCTTTTACTTACCTTGGTGACCTCTGGGGCCTCAGGGGGTCCAGGTTTGTTGAACTGAGTCTTGACAGTTACAGGCTTGCTCTCCATGGGGGGGCCGGTTCCCATCTTATTCTCAGCCCTCACTCTGAAGATGTACTCGTTCCCCTCCACTAGACGAGTGACGTTACAGTATGGTGTGACCACAGTGGCGGAGTACGTGGACCAGACCATCCTCCTGGTCTCGCATTTCTCCAGGATGTAGCTGTCCACCTCACAACCTCCGTCATCCTCCGGACCGTCCCACACTACTCTGCACTTGTCAGCTCCAATGCCGGTGATCCTGAGGTTCCTCACCGGCCCGGGGACATCCAGGACGTTAACGTTGGCGTACGCTGTGAAGGTGCCGGCCGCGTTGGTGGCGGTGATGATGTACTTTCCGGTGTCAGTGCGTCTGGACTTGGTCAGGAGGAACTTTGAGTAGTCTGAACCAGTCTCATAGCTGATTCTGGGGTTGTCTCCAACTGCCTTGTCTTTGATCCATTTGACCTCAGGCTGGGGCTTTCCTCTCAGAGCGGCCTCCATCCTCACCGACTCTCCGGCCTTCACTGTCAGAGCTCCGGCCAGCTTCAGGTCAATGACGGGCTTCTGGAGCTCCTCCTTCACCAGAACATCTATCTTCACCCAGGCACTTTCACCTCCTTCATTGACGGTCTGCACCCTGGGTAACACATTTAAGTAATTTACATTAGATTGCAAACATTTACTAAAGAAGGGACCCTGCAACACAACCAGCATGAGCGCAGTGACCTACCTGAAGGTGTACGTCTGATTCTCCACACACTTGTCAGCCAGGAAGAAGGTGTCTGTGAGCACGCCGGTGTTGAGTTTCGTCCACTCTTCAGCATCTTTGGCTTTGCACTCCAGGTTGTAGGAGAGGTTGGGACTGCCACCGTCATAGTCAGGCTTCCTCCACCTCAGATAGACGTGGTTCTTACCGACGTCAGTGGCTCTGAAGTTCTCAGGCTCACCGGGCTTCTCGATGGGGTCGATTGCCAGCAGAGGGGTCCTGGTCTCCACGGAGGGTCCAGGTCCGATCTTGTTCTCAGCGCAGACGCGGAACAGGTATTCGTGGCCCTCCATCAGCTTGGCCTTGATCTTGCGATTGGTGCAGTTGGAAGAGATCATGGACCACATGCTAATGCTGGGCTCACGGCACTCCACGATGTAGTTGGTGATCTCGGATCCACCGTTGTCTTTAGGGGCCTCCCAGTTGATCATGCAGGAGTCTTTGGTTGCGTAGGTAATGTGCAGGTTCTGGCAGTGGCTAGGTCTGTCCAGTACATTGACTGTGATGGTGCAGGAGGCCTCGCCGCCCTCGTTTGAAGCCTTGATGGTGTATTTGCCATGGTCGGTTCGTGTGGCCTCTTTGATCTTCAGGTGGGTCACAGGCAGGTTCTGAACGATGGTGATGCGCTTGCTGTTCTCCAGAACCGCCTCCTCCTTCATCCAAAGCACTTCGGGGTCAGGGCGGGCCTTAATGTAGCCGATGATATTGATGTTGTGTCCGGCACGTACAGTGACACGCTCACGGCAGGTGACCTCCATCTCAATCTCCGGAGGGATGAGGATGTCCTTCGCAGTGACAGACTCTGGGATTTCTCTGGGCTCTCCATCTCCGATCATGTTTGAGGCGCGGACTCTGAATCTGTAGGTCACGCCCTCCTCCAGACCCTTCACCCTGTAGGCGCACTGCTTGATGAAGTCGTCCAGGTTCACTTTCTTCCATTCTTCAGTATCTGCTTTCTTCATCTCCACAATGTAGCCGAGGATAGGGCTGCCTCCGTCCTTGTTGGGTTTGATCCACACCAGGTCGGCGGTAGTCTTGCTGTAGTCTTTAACTCTGGGGTTGACAGGGGGACTGGGGACGGTGATGGGCCTGCAGGGCTTGCAGGGGTCAGAGATGGGAGAGGGGCCACTGTAGCCAGCGATATTCTCAGCAAACACTCTGAATTCATACTCGCTGCCCTCAAACAGACCCAGGACTCTGTACCTCAGGTCCTTGCAGGGTTTCTTATTGACACGGATCCACTTTCCTCCCTTGTGTCTGCGCTCAATGATGTAGCCGGTGATCTGGCTGCCGCCATCACTTAGGGGCATGGTCCAGCCGACTGTCACAGCATCCTCTGAGAGGTCTGATGTCTGGGGCTTACCGGGAGGGCTGGGTGGCATGAAGGTGTGCTCAGCCACGGTGGGTTTGCTCTCTAGAGGACCACCGATGCCCATCTTGTTCTCAGCACGAATGCGAACGACGTACTCCGCCCCCCTCTGCAGGCGTGTGATACTGAGCTGGGTGGCGAGGCTGCCGGAGCTCACACCTCCCCACGTCTCCTTGTTGGACTCTCTCTTCTCCACGATGTAGTTGGTGATGGGGCTGCCACCGTCGTCCTTGGGAGGACGCCACTCGATCATCATGGAGTCAGGAGTGACCTCCAGAATGTTGGCGGGTCCGATGGGAGCGGCGGGAACATCCAAGACAGTGACGTTCAAGGCCACCGTCTTGGATCCAGCTGGGTTGGACACAGTGAGAAGGTAGGTGCCCGTGTGGTTCCTGGTGCAGTCGTTAATGCTCAGCACGGTCGAAAAGTTATCAGTGTCGATCTTGACGTTGCCCTCACTGAGGATCTCCTCTCCTTCGATGGACCACTTGGCGGTGGGGACGGGGATTCCTCTCATGATAGCTGGCAGCCTGATGGTGGTGCCGGCCTTCACGATGATGCCTTCAATCAGCTTCACATCCACTTCCACAATCGGAGGCACTGTAGACATGAGACAGAGGAGGTCATCCCTCTCTACTACACTCATTATGTTCAAACATAATGTTAGAATCAATATTAACTGACCTACGATTCACCAGAAAGTCTACAAGATAAAACACAAGAAGAGCTACACAAACACTGTGACTGTGAACCTGTAGATTCAAAAGTGAAAAACTTTCTAAATGAATTCTGTTTGATTCAGTGTCAAATCGTTGTCATGGTTTCATCTCGTATCTCACCCAGTTTCTCATGGCAGAGGATCGGCACGGTGGTGTCAGGTCTGCTGAGGCCGATGGCGTTCTCAGCCCTCACTCTGAAGCGGTAGGTCTTTCCTTCCTCCAGGCCGGTCACATGACTCTCGGGGATGCTGACGGTCTTCCACTCGTCCCACTCCTTCTCTCCTTCTTCCTGATACTCAACCAGGAAGCCTGTGATATCGCTTCCTCCGTTGCGGTCAGGCCAGTTCCAGACCAACCACACCTCGGTCTTGTCCACGTCGACGTGGTGCAAGTCTTTGGGGGGACCAGGAGGGACTGAAACACAGATTTAGGGTTCAACCAGTGAGTTTGACTCGAGATTCTTTGGTCCCTGAGGAGATTGATCTCAATTTGATTTTACAACAAATGAAAACAACAAACTAAGAAAATACTTTCACCCAGTGGCAAAGCCAGTTATGTGAACTGAAACATTCTCCATTTTCTCTCTATAACTTTATAATAAATCTGAAAGTTCCTCCTCTGTGTGATTCTTTCTTCTACAGAATAATCCATATTAATCAGCTGATTAAGTCTTGACTGTTCTGTTACTCACAGAGCGGGTTCATGGCCTTGATGGCCTTTGGCGTCTCCACATATTCGCTGCGGCCGTACTGGTTCTCAGCGGCAACTCTGAACACGTAGGACGTTCCCTCCATCAGGTGCTTCAGCATCATGCTGCGTTTCTTGGATGTGGAGCAGACGGGGACCCACTGAGTGGACGCTGTGTCCTTCTTCTCCACCACAAAGTTTGTGATGCGAGTGCCACCGTTGTCCTCCGGGTCCTTCCAGGACAGGTAGGCGGAGTCGCTCCTGATGTCAGACACCCGGAGGTGCTGGATGGGACCAGGTTTGTCTGAGGGAAATGTCACAAATGTGTCACATCAATGATCATTCTCTTTCAGCTGCTCAGAGTAAAAACAAATCACACTCATGTATTCAAGCTCATATTTGTTTTGTGCAGATCTTACCGAAGACCAGCACGGTGCACGTGACGGTCTTGGATCCAGCTGGATTCTCCACAGTTAGGGTGTAGTCTCCACAGTCACCACGGTTACAGAACCTCATCTCCAGCTTAGTGCCAGCCTGGTTGGTCTCGATGTCGGCCCTGGTGGGAACCTCAGCATCATTCTTCTTCCAGGTAACCGTGGGGAACGGGATGCCTTTGATGGCGGCCATCAGAGTAATGTGAGTGCCGGCCATGGCCTTCACCTCCCGGGTCATTCCAGCATCCAGAATCAACTCTGGGGGCTCTGAGGGGGTGAAGAGGAAGGACATCAGTAATTGAATTAATTAGTGAGAATTACTGGTCGTTATCATTGCAATATCATGTTTTAATGGACGTGGAGTCGGAGTTAAACTACGACTGACCAAGTCTGTCCTGGGCTCTGACTGGCTCCCTCGCGTTAGCCGGATCAGACTCTCCGGCAGCGTTGACGGCCATGACTCTGAAGCGGTAAAGAGAACCTTCATCCAGGCCTATCACCTTAAACTTGGTCTCCTGGCAGGAGTCTGGAGTCTGGTTCACCTGAGAACAGCAGAAGAAGAAGAGCTCAATGACACATTTCACTCAGAGATTAAGAAGACGCAGTTGAAAGATCGTGGGGTCTTTAAAAGTGGTGAACCCTAACCCACCTTCTGCCACTCCTCCTCTCCAGCCTTCTGGAACTCCAGCAGGTATCCGAAGATCTTTCCTCTGCCGGTGTCGGTGGGCGGCTCCCAGGACAGAGTCACTGATTCCTTGGTGTGATCGATGGCCCGGAACTTCACTGGTGGACCGGGTTTCACTGCGGCAGAAGAGAGGAAGGACTTCCTGTAGTTCGTTTATACCGTAACATGAATAAAATGCAGCGGCGTTGTAAGAGGTGAACATACCAATGGGGTCTTTGGCGAAGACGGGTTTGGAGGGTGGGCTCGGGTCTCCGGCTCCCACCACGTTCTCAGCGCTGACTCTGAACTCGTACTCACAACCTTGCAACAGCTCGGTCACCCAGTACTCCACCTTGGGATAGATCCTCTCTGTGTTGCAGCGAACCCACCTGGAGGCAGAAACAGTTCCTCTGTTAGCCTCGAGAAACGTTCAATATTTAACGTTTTACTGGGTTCATAAGGAGGAAGATGAAGGCTGGAATTTGTAGCAACATGTAGCAACTTAACTAACCTGATACGTGGTGTATTAAATAAAACTTTTGTTAAAATATCTGGTTTTCCTAAAAATAAACAAAGTTAATATTTTAATGTCTTTTTCCCTTCACTCAATGTTCCAGGTTTGTTGCTTCACGTCAAGTTGTGATGGAGGCAGAGAGAAGCTAACACTGGGGGTGTACCTTCCCCCTCCACACTGCAGCGGTCTCTAATGTGTGTGTTGTGTACCTGTTGGCCATGGTCTCCTTCCTCTCCACGATGTAGCCTGTGATTGGTTTTCCTCCGTCGGCAGGAGGCTCCCAGCTGATGAGGGCGGAGTCGTGGTAAACCTCCTTCACTGTGGGCTGTTTGGGGGCATCAGGCACCTCTGTGATGGAAACACAAACACTCTGATTAGACGGCGAGGGGACGCTTCATCTTTACCGCAGATATGTACGAACATCTCTGAATGTTCTGTCAGTGAGTTCGTCTGGACTTACTGAAGACGTCTCTGGCCTTGGTCTCTGCAGACAGGAGGGGGTCGCTGATGCCGTAGATGTTCTGAGCCATGATCCTGATGATGTACTCACGACCCTCGATCAGCTTCGGTACCTGAAGCAGGAAAAGGCAGGAGGAAGACGTCAGTACTAAAGAGTTACCGTCCAGATTTTTTTTTTGGAGGAACTGAGATGTAACTATAAAACTAACACGTACTGAAAGCTGACATCGAATATCTCGTCAGATTCTGAATCTTAACAGCACAACTATCTATATCTATGTAAGTGATAATAAATCATTAAAATACAACCACTCACTGCCCCTGTTGTCTGTACTGATTTTAGTCTCATATTAAACCAGTGTCCATTGGATTTTTACCTATTTTTAGACCTAAAATCTGAATTCTATTTTATCATAATCCATGTAAATATTTATGGTTAATGAGCCCATTGATTCATTGAGGTAATTTCTAAATTGCTGATGAATGGAATGATGAATTCTTTATTATTATTTTCTCCTTTGTCATTTCCTCATTCGTCATAAATAATGTACCTGTTGTATGAATAGGGGATAAATAAAGTATCCATCTATTTTCATGTGGAAACAAACACAATAAAAGGGAAGAATGATGAAAGTCTAACCTTCTTAAACTCACTGTTTCACCTGAGATCTTTAGGGTTTATTATAACTCACATACTGAACAGATCTCAGTCCTCAGGTGATAAATAGTTTAACTTCCTCCTCACCTTGCAAGTCGTCCTGGTGCAGGACGAGGTGACGGGCATCCACAGGTCTCTGTTGGTGTCTCTCTTCTCAATGATGTAGTTGGAGATGGCGCAGCCTCCGTCGTCCAGAGGAGGGTTCCAGGAGATCACCATGTAGTTCCTGTAGACCTCATTGAACACCACAGGGCCCTCTGGTGGCTGAGGGCGGTCTGACAGGAGGAAGCATTCACAGGTGACTCTGGATTCGCTTAAAAAAAAAACCTTCTCTTTTTTTTTTTTTTACATTGGAATTTTAAAACCTGAGACGCCATGTGACAGATTAATGGCGTGAGCTCAGCTGTCAAACCCGTTTTCTGTAAAGCTTTGAGCTGTGAACATCGTCATGTGGATGAGCAGCGACTCACCGACCACAGTGATGGTGCAGATTCCTGTGCGAGCTCCGGCGGCGTTCTCCACGCTGACGCAGTAGCACCCGCTGTGCTCTCTCTTGGCCTTGCCGATGTTGAGGCTGAGGTGGCGGGTGGTGCTGTGGAGGCCGATCTCCTCATCCGCCTTCAGCTCCTCGTCGTTCTTCTTCCAGGTGATGGCCGGGGTTGGTTTGCCGCTGTAGCGTCCCGACAGCGTGCAGCTGTCTCCCACCTTCACCATCATCTTGTCCCTGAAGTCCAGGTCCAGGTTGGGTGGTTCTGAGGGATGAAGGGGACAAACCACGTTTATTATAACTGAATGAATTCTTCATTGTTGTTAATAAAGCTGTTGATGTAAAAACGTTGTTGTCATGTTGCGTCACTCACCAAGCTCGTCCTTGCACTGCACAGGTTTGGTGGCGAAGGACGGTTTGCCCTGTCCCACCTGGTTGACAGCGGAGACTCTGAACTCGTGGCTCGAGCCGTCCTTCAGCCCGGTCAGTGTGAACTTCCTTTCCATCAGCTTGTCCTCGCCGCCTACGCGTGTGAAGTTGTCACGGCCGACCATACGGGACTCCAGGACGTACGCGGTCACCTCGGCGCCTCCGTCGTACTTGGGCGGTCTCCAGGCAACAGAGATGGAGTCTTTGGTAACTGCGGTAATGATCAGATCCTCTGGACGCTCTGGAACGGCTGGGACGGAGACACAAACTCAAATGTAAGACAAAGTAAAGCACATTTCCTGTATCGCTACAGTTTTGGATCTTTTCACACTTACAGATGGGGTCTTTGATAAGAACCATCCTGTCGGTCTCGATGAACGGTCCCATGCCGATGATGTTCTCGGCTGCGATCCTAAAGAAGTAACCCTTGCCATCGATGAGCCCCTGAACCACAGCGTTGTTCCTCGTCACAGTGTAGGACACCGAGGTCCAGCCCATGCGGTCCGACTCCCTCTTCTCAATGATGTAGTTGGTGATCGTCGAGCCACCGTCGTCCTCGGGGGAGTACCAGGTCAGCTTGCAGGAGTCGGTTGTCAGATTCTCGCCGGCGAAGGGAAGACCTACTGGTCCAGGGACGTCTGGAAGGACGAGCAGAGCGCCAGGGAGTCAGGGACAGGAAACATAGCATTGTATGAAGCTACAGGGAATCACGAGGCCTAGGAGCTCTAATCTTTACGTCTTTTATTTTACACCCCTGCATATTTGGTTCAATCCATGGGATATCGGAGCTTGGGGAAGAGAACATATTTAAACCTGGGGTAGACAAATCCTTGCTGCACGCCTCTGTTACTGAAGTGGCATTGAGTACTTGCCAAGAAAACTATCGCAGAGATCCTGTTCAACCTTTTACATGTTGGAAACACAGTCATCAAACGCCATTAAAATTAAAATGAATGTTCTCATCTACAAAATTCACACATTTCAGGACAAACAGGACTTTGGCTCCAGTGAAGGATCTGGATTGTTCCTCCTCCACTGGTTGAGGATATGAATGTAAAAATGTAAATATTTATACAGCCTATCGACAGATGTGGGCGGGCTGACTCACCCAGGACCTCGACGATGACGGCCTTCTTCCTCTCTCCGCCCTCGTTCTTGGCGCTCAGTGTGTAGATGCCCTGGTGCTGGCGTCTGCAGTTCTTGATAACCAGCGAGTTGGAGATGCCCGTCGTCTCCACCACGGCCTCTTTGGGCACCTCGCCGTCGTCTCTGCACCAGGTGATCTGCGGGGCAGGTTTACCAGACACGTAGGCAATGATGCGGATGGTGCCGCCAGCGTGGACCACGATCTTCTCCTTCACGGAGGCGTCCAGGTCCATCTCAGGAGGAACTGGATGACAGGGCGACAATGTGTTATGAATAAAATGTTCTCAAAGTTTGATCATCAGAAACACTTCTTGCTTTGTTTGGTGGGTCAGTCGTACTTGTTCTGTCTTTGACCTCAATCAGCTCCGACACCAGTCCCGGGTCTCCCACTCCGGCGGCGTTCACAGCTCGGACTCTGAAGCGGTAAAGACCGCCTTCCTTCAGACCATCCACCACGAACTTGGTTCCTCTGATCTCTGTGTCCTTTGCCTGGAGACAGATGAGAGGACAGCACTCAACGACACTGAGGAGCTTTACTGTTGGAGATGGAGAACTGCTACTGATCATCATAGCAGTTGGTCAACTGATGCTCTGAGGACGGCCTCTTATATGAAATATACATACTATACATGAAGCTGTACATATTTTCACTGCCTTGGTGGAATGCTATGACTTTTAGTAGGGATTTAGGTAACCATAGCGACCAAAGTTGTGAAAAATATCTCATAGAAAATGAATGGGAAGCTGCCATGAAATGAATCGAACCCACCTCTCTTTGGAGCCACATTACTTGGTCAAACTTTAACACAGAAACACGGTTGAAACTTTAAACAGGTTGTAAGACTTCAGACTTTATTGGATTCAATCTGTGTTTTTAAGAAATGGCAGTTTATGTTTTATATGTTTTTTTCCGGCCATTTCAGATTTTATAATGGGTGTGTATTGGGCGGAATATTCCGGGCTCGAGTGAGTCACATGACCCTCACTCTAACTGCCACCTCTGAAAATGTTCCCTGAACAAAAACTCGAGAATTTAGGAGGTTATTTATTCGACTCCATCCATTCATACATTCTTCCTTTCTCCTCTGTCTCGTCCCAAAGCTCCACCCCCTTTTTCTCTTCTACTTCTTTCCTCTGATTTGTTCTGATTTCATCTGAACTGAATGAAAATCATCACAGCTGGAATCTGGATTAAGAAACGCTGAAATGTCAGAGTGTGAGCTGTTTTTACCTTCTCCCATCCTTCGTCACCCTCAGGCTCCTTCTCTTCCTCAGCGTCGCTAAGCAACAGCCTCCTCTGAGCCTTCTTCTCCTCTTCCTCCTTGTTCACCTCCTTGAACTCCACGATGTAGCCGGTGACCTTTGACCCTCCATCCAGTGTGGGAGGGATCCACTCCAGCTCCACCGTCGACCTGGTCCAGTCTGTCACCTTGGGAGTGGGCGGGCCAGGGGGCTCTGCACAGACACAGGTACACATATAAACACTCTGATGAGGTCTGCTCTGATTGGCTGGTCTGGAGACAGGGAGGTGTGGCCTGCTCTTTACAGAGTAAAGAGTTGAATAATGACATGAAACAGAGAAAACATGTCTTTCTTACTGATGGGGTCTCTGCAGAGTACAGGGTCAGAGGGCACGCTGGGCAGACCGCAGCCGGCGGCGTTGACGGCGATTACCCTGAACTGGTACATGGCGCCCTCCATCAGGCCGGTGACGTCCCAGTTGTTGCCCAGTGGCAGCGCGCGGATCGGGTCGCGGGTGACGCGGGTCCAGCGCTTGGAGGTGGTCTCCTTCTTCTCCACAATGTAGCCGGTGATGGAGGAGCCGCCGTCGTACTTTGGCTCCTCCCAGTTGACAGTCATTGACTCCAGACACACGTCGGTCACAGTCGGTTTCTCACACTGACCCGGGACGGCTGCAAGAGGACAGGACAGTCATCAATAATCAGTCAATAAAATCAATAAAACAACACTTATATTCTGATCTCAGTACAAGTGGCTCATTAAGAACTAAGGTGTGTTAATTGCATCTCTTCTTCTGCTCTGAGCTGACGACGAAGGACTGATCTGAACTTACTGAAGAGGTTTCTGGCTTTCTCCGGCTCGCTGACCAGCGGAGGCCCGACTCCAAACTTGTTCTGGGCCATGACTCTGAACTCGTACTCGTGGTTCTCCGTCAGACGGGTCACCACGTACGCGCACTCCTTGGGGTCGGTGGAGACGTGGACCCAGGACTTCCTGTTCTCCTCGCGCTTCTCCACCACATAGTTGGTGATCTTGGATCCACCGTCGTCCGTGGGAGGGCTCCAGGCCAGGCCGATCCTCTCCGCAAACACCTCGGTGAACTTGAGTGGTCCGAGACGTGTGGTCCGAGGGGGTCCCTGCATGGGGGGGGGGGGGGGGGGGGAATATTAAGGATTCATTCTGGATAAATCACCTTAACCATGATTGAAGATCAAGAAACGCTGAGACAGTTTGTTGATGTCTGCGTGTCTCACCCAGCACTGAGAGCTTGATGTCCTTGGTGACGGTGCCCAGGCTGTTGCTGGCTGTCAGGCTGTAGAGGGCGCTGTCGTGCCTGCTGGCCTGCTGGATCAGCAGTGTACACTTGTCGTGGGTCACCAGTTTGTTCATGTGCTGGTCGTACTGGACGGCGGCCTTCTCTTCGGGTTTGGCCACACTGGCCTTGTGCCAGGTGAGTGTGGGGAACGGACAGCCGCTCACCTTTGCCACGATGCTGACGTCGCAGCCCTCCTCGCCCTCCATGGCCTCACGCAGCACGATGGTGGGAGCACCTGAAGGGAATGAGAGGCTTCATGAAAGTGGTCTGCAGCTTTAAACTTTAACAGATGCTCATGAGCCACTGGTCAACAGCAGTGTCAAAGTGTTTGAGGGGCTGAGACCTGTCACTCACATGTCTGATCTTTGATGACCATGGGTCCAACGGTGGCGGAGGGTCGGCTGGGTCCAGCTGCGTTCACGGCTTTTACTCTGAACTCGTATTCTCCTCCCTGCAGATCAACGACATCATCAACACCATCACCTTCATCATCATCATCACCATAATCACCATCATCATCACTATCACCATCCGCATCACCTTCATCATCATCATCATCATCATCATCATCATCATCCTCATCATCATCATCATCATCATCATCCTCATCATCATCATCATCATCATCATCCTCATCATCATCATCATCATCATCATCCTCATCATCATCATCATCATCATCATCCTCATCATCATCATCATCATCATCATCCTCATCATCATCATCATCATCATCATCCTCATCATCATCATCATCATCATCATCCTCATCATCATCATCATCATCATCATCCTCATCATCATCATCATCATCATCATCCTCATCATCATCATCATCATCATCATGCTGCAGCTCCACTGGTTTAACTGTTTTTTTGTGTTTCCTCAAACACATCGACTAAAAACAGGCTGTATAGACATGTAAGCCCCGCCCCCTGTAAATGAAGGCAGGAAGTAGTAAAGTGAGACCGACCTCCTTCAGGTCCTCCACCACGAAGGTGAGATCCTCCACGTCTCTCTTGTTGCACTGTTTCCAGGTCTCCTTCTCCTTGCCGCTGGTGTCCCAGCTCAAACGCTCGATGATGTAATGCTTCACCGGAGAGCCGCCGTTGTTTTTGGGAGGCTCCCAGCTCAGGGTGACGGTGGTCTTCGTCACCAGGTTGACCTTCAGCTTGGTAGGGGGGTCGGGGGGGTCTGAGGGAAGAGGAGTTAAGATTAGCATTAGAACAGTTCCAGTGAGGTTTGGCAGTTGGTGCTGTGTCAGTGGGTTTGTCCTCACAGATGGGGTCTCTGGCCCGGGCAGGCTCGGTAGTGACGGTGAACGGACCAAATCCAAGTCTGTTCTCGGCCCTGACCCTGAACAGGTAGTCCTGACCCTCCAGCAGACCGGGGACCACAAAAGCCTGGCTGGCACAGGCCGCATTCACCTGATGACAAATCAACCAATTCATCAGTTAATCGGCCCCAATGAACTCAACTGATTCCTGTGACTGTGAAAACACGTGATGATAAGTTTGTCTTTCCTGGAAGTTGATGTTTTCTTTTTCTTGCAAACTCATCTTCAACTAAAATAATTTGTTTCCTAAAATAAAAAGCGACGGAGGGTGGTTTACCTTGGTCCAGGCCTTATCAGTGACATTCTTCTTCTCGATGAAGTAGCTCTTAATTCTCTCTCCTCCATCGTTGTCTGGAAGTTTCCAGATCAGCCTCATAGTAGCCCGAGTTATGTCAGTAACCCTCAGATCCTTTGGAGGTCCAGGGACGTCTGTACCCAGGAAAAAACGGTTAGACATCCGAGAACAACACAACGTACTGACACTGTTCTGCGGAGGAGGTTCTCAGGGTTGAGGTCTGTGGACATACCGAGGACGTTGACTCTGACGTTGATGTGTTTCTGTCCGGACTTGTTCTTGGCCGTGATGGTATAGCGTCCGGAGTGGCTCCTCAGACTTACAGGGATGGTCACAATGGACTTGGTGTCTGTGGACTCAACCTACAAACACAGAGACAGAATGAGACTAAGATCCACAAACCATGAAAATAAGATAATAGAAAATCTATATCTAAAATGCTTCTTTAAAAAATTGTTGTGAAGAAGAAGAGTGGAAGTGGAAGAAGTGGAGTGTGTTGTTGTCTCACCTCGGAGTCCACGGGCAGTGTGTGCAATTTATTCTTCTTGTGTGACTTAGCCTTGCCATCAAAGTCCCAGGTCACCTTGGGAACAGGGCGACCCTTGATGGTGGCGGGAATCTTGATTGGATCTCCAGCACGGATGACCAGCAGGTCATCGGCCATGACGTCGAGGGTGATGGAAGGAGGAACTGTGAAGTGGAAACATCAGTGAAGGACAGAGACACACACACAGGAAGACTTTTATTTATTTTAGTGAGACTTACGCTGGATATCCTCAATCAGGACCTCGCTGGTGCGGGGACTGGGGTCGGACTCGCCGATGTCGTTGACAGCAATGATCCTGAAGCGGTAGCGTTTCAGCTCACGGAGGCTGGGCACGGTGAACTCAGTGGTGGGGTGAAGGGTTTCGGGGTCGTTCACCCTCACCCACTCAGATGTGCCCTCATCCTGGATCTGGATGATGTAGCCCTTGATGGGGCTTCCTCCGTCCTTCTCTGGTGGTTTCCAGGACAACGTGACGTTGTGCTTTGTCTTGTCAGCCACCTCAGGAGCAGCAGGCATGCCCGGAGGAGCTTGAGGAGAAAGCAAAGTCATCATTCATCCGTCTGTTTCAGGAAGGACTGTGGTGAATCAACATCAGACTTATTTATCATTCCATGTTGTTTACTCACTCAGTGGATCAACAGCAAAGGCGGAGTCGGACGGTGAGCTGAATGGTCCAATTCCTGCAGAATTGCTGGCAGCAACTCTGAACTCATACTCTGTTCCTTCGAACAGACGAGTCACCTGGAAGACACAAGGACACAAGACACTGACTACCAAGCAACAAGATGTGTCTTCAGACTAGGGCTGGGACGATTATCCGACGTAATCAACGTTGTCGATTATAAAAATTATTCAACGTGGAATTTTAGTGTCGACGCGTCGTGTAAAACCACACAGGGTAAATGTTCATAGAACAAAACCGGAACTTTCTAATGGGACCGTTTATATCCATCGTCTTTGGTTCACCCGGATACAAGCGCAGCGCAAGGGCTGGGACAACGCGGTGACGTAATTGAAGTCATTGACTACGTGAATGATTTGCGTCTGTGTAATCTATTTGAACAACATGGCGGCGTCTACCAGCAGTACGACGGAGCGTGTGGAGCAACACGCGGCAAAAAAGGCTCTGCAAAGTGCATCTGGCATATCACTCTAGCACGACAGTCATGCACGAGCACATAAAGAGGAAAATAATAATATAAATAATAAATAAATATAAATAATAATAAAAAAAAAATTGTTAGATTAGTCGAATAATTGAAAAAATAATCGCTAGATTAATCGTTTAAAGAATAATCGTTTGGGACAGCCCTACTTCAGACCATCCTGAAGGTCTGTTCCAAACCTTTCTAAAGGTTTGTGAAGGACCTTTCTAACGGTCTGAGATGGGCCTATCCAAAGGTCAGCGACAAGCCACCCTGAAGGTCCCGGGTCTGTTTGGGTTTACCCTGAGGTTCTACTTTGGTACGTAGGAGGGTGATAAAAGTCGGATTCATATGCAGACTCCATTGAGAATCTTTACGCAGTGAAACGAGGCCCCAGCAGCTCACCTGGTACTCCCAGCCTTTCATGCCCCTCTTGGTGACTGGCATCTTGTTGACTCTGGCCCAGTAGCCTGTGCCTTTCTCCCTCTTCTCCAGCCAGTAGCCGATGATCATGGAGCCACCGTTATCCCTGGGAGGCTCCCAGGTCAGGGTCATGGAGGTTTTGGAGTACTCTGCGATGGTTGGTTTCTCTGGTGGGCCAGGGAGGCCGAAGGGGTCTGTGATCTGGACCTCCTCTGTGGTACATGGGTCAGATTTACCGTAGCGGTTCTCAGCTCGGACTCGGAACATGTAGGTCTTGTTGGTCTCCAGATTCCACATCTGCAGGAGAGTAACGTGGTGTCACCATGAGCCAACAGAACTTTAAGGACCCGTGAAAACCTGATATATTATCTTTGTTGTTGTTGCTATGAGGACATACCCCGTATTTCTTCTCAATGATGCTGTTGGTGACCTCCACCCACTGCGGTTCAGGTGTGGCTTCCTCTCCCTCCTCCAGCTCTGGTTCCTCTGTCACCACATCCTTCCTTTCAACAATGTAGTTGGTGAGTTCGCTGCCACCGTCATCAAGTGGTGGATCCCACGTCAGGTAGCAGGACTCTGCCTTGATGTTGGACACCGTCACATTCCTGGGTGGAAGTGGTCGGTCTGAGGGAAGAACATGGGGTCAGAAGACTAATTCCTGCACTCATTCCTACACACTCTTCTATTTTAGTCAGTGTCGTGTTTCCACTCACCCAGCACCATGACAGTGATGGTGTGCTTGGCTGAGCCCATGTTGTTGTTGGCGGTCACAGTGTAGCTGCCGCGGTCTTTCCTGTTGGCTGCTGGGATGGACAGTACAGTCTTGCAGTTCATCCTGCCGGTCACCTCCGTCTCCATCAGCAGAGTCTCGGTGGGCTTCTCTATCACCAAGTCGTCCTTGGACCACTCAACCTTGGGGATGGGAAGTCCCAGGATGTCGGCGGGGATCTCGATGGGTTCACCCTTCTTCACGGTGATGCAGTCACCCTTGAAGTGCTTCAGCATGTGGACCTCAGGAGCCACTGAGAGGGACGGGGTGGGGACAAACGAAGTCAGCACACAAATAAACACACTAGAGCAAACCATTAACATCCTAATAGGAGGGTTAGGGGTTTCACTCTGCCTTACCTTCATCATCCTGGATGACCACAGTGAGTGGGATGGATGGCTCACTCTCTCCGATGAGGTTGGCACACTTGATCCTGAACTCATACAACCAGGCCTCATCCAGGCCCTCCACAGTCATGGTCATGTTGGGACAGATCTCGGTGTTGCAGGGCTCGAAGGCCTGCTGGTCCTGTCTCTTCTTCTCAACAAAGTAGCCAATGACCGGGCTGCCGCCGTCATTACGAGGAGGCTTCCAGGCCAGTGTGATGGAGTTCTTGGTGCGTTCAGTGTAATGGAACTTCTCAGGGTACGATGGAGGACCTGCAGAACCACCACAGCAACGACGACTTCAAGAACAAATCCACTTTTCAACCAAGACACATCATCATCATCATCATCATCATCATCATCATCATCGGGTAACAAGAACTAATTTAAGCTTTCATTTCTGGATCAGTACTCACCCTGTGGGTCCACAGCCTTGATGGGCCCCAGCTCAACAGGCGGTCCCAGGCCATACTTGTTCTTGGCAATGACACGGAACATGTACTCCTGTCCCTCCATGATGCCCACACACTCGCACTTGGATGAGGCGGTTTCAACGGGTTGCCTCCATGTGTGCATCTTAGCGTCTTTTCGCTCCACAATGAAGCCGGTCAGGTCGCTGCCTCCATCGTCCACGGGATCGTCCCAGTTCAGGAAGATCATCTTACGAGTGACGACGACGGGTTTCAGGTCTGTGACGGGTCCCGGGACGTCTGAGGAAAAAACAATGTTAGTGTTCATTTTTACTTCGTAGCATCGACTTAACTGTCGACTTTTATCGAATTCTGCCCTGAACTCCTGGACTCCCACTTACCCATGACCTCCACTCTGGTCCAAGCAGACTTGGTACCGCTGGGGTTGCAAGCGGAGATCTGGTATTTGCCACAGTCCTTCCTCTGGACGTTCTTGATTGAAACGATGCTGTCGTTGCCCTCAGTGAGGATCTCCACGCTGTCTTTGTCAGGTTTAGCGTCATCCTTGGTCCAGGTGATGGACGGGTAGGGTTTACCTGTGACTGTAGCAGGTACACGGAGAGTCTCTCCAGCTCTGATGACCACGCCGTTCTTGACGGACAGGTCCAGTTCAATCACAGGTATCTCTGAGGAGGCCAAGCAGCAACCAAGGAAACAAAATTTACATCAACACATTCAACCTGATTAAATCCCAGTTTCAGAGTCTTTTTTATTCTATTTCTCGTTTCGTTTTGTTTGTCTGACCTGCTGGATTCCTGACGAACACTGACTCTGTGAATCCTGGTGTTCCCTCTCCAGCAGCGTTGCAGGCGATGACTCTGACCAGGTACTTGGCTCCCTCTCGGACTCCATAGACAGTGAATGCGCGGGTCTTCCAGGGGCGCTCTGTAGACCTACCCCAGTCCTTGGTACCAGCCATGGCCTGAAAAACACCACAGAACCAAGAGGATCAGTCTGAACTGAAACCAAAACACTTTGTTCTTTATTTTATTTGCACGAATGCAACAGTCTGACCTTATCCACGTGGTATCCCAGGATCTCCCCTCCACCGTTGTCAGCAGGAGGGTCCCACTCCACGTCGATGGAGTGGTCGGTGGTCGCCACCACTCGGGCGACTGGAGGTCCAGGAGGTACTGCAGGGTCACAAAGAAACACAGAGGGGTCATGTTCATTCTGACGCTGCCTGTTTCCATGGACATGAGTGTAACGTTCATGACTCTCATTGTTCTAGCTTCTATGTACATTACTCCCACAGATGATTACGTACGGATCGGAGCATGGGCTGTCTTGGGTTCGGAGGGGATGCTGAACTTTCCTGGGCCAGCCTGGTTTTCAGCGGCGACCCTGAAGATGTACGTCAGCCCCTCCAGCAGACCCACAACGTCCAGCTCAGTGTCGGGGACAAGGTTCCTGAAGAGCAGGACAGAGAGGAGACATTCAGAAAACACAGCACAAAGGTTTTTGGTAAAATTATATCGACATGTTTTGACCTTTCTTCACATCAGCCGATCAAAACTGGAGCAGTCGCTGTGTTTCCTCACCTGTTCACACGTGCCCAGTGGGAGCTGTTGATCTCACGACGCTCCACCCAGTATCCCAGGATGGGGCTGCCGTTGTCATTTGGCTCATTCCAGGTGACCAGCATGCTGTTGGCTGTGATGTCTTCAATCTGTGGCTTATCAGGCGCCTCAGGAGGTTCTGAGGAGGACGAAGGGGCGGGACAGAAAAAACTGAGTGACGCTCATTTTACTGTATTTATATAAGTGTATGATAACTAGCATTATAAGCTGACAAAAAGAATGTTTGACATGTCTTTTAAACCTCTACTAAAACCTCTTCGACATGTAAAGAACACGAGATTTACACGACTGACAGACCGTCATGTCAGAGCTTCGCTACTACCATGACCAGGACGAAGAATAAATGATGTCATACCGAAGGGATTCTTGGCGATGAGTGGTTTGGAGATGCAGGGAGGACCGGCGCCGAACTTGTTCTCGGCCACGACCCTGAAGATGTATTCCTTCTTCTCGATGAGTTTGGGCACCAGGTAGCGGCATCCTCTCAGCGTGGAGGTGACGCTGCTCCAGCCGAACTCCAGCTTGGAGTTGTCCTTCTTCTCCAGAGTGTAGTTGAGGATCTCGCTGCCGCCATCGTCCAGAGGTGGATCCCACTTGCAGATCACAGAGTTCTTCCTCACCTCCTCGAATCTGAAGTTCACAGGAGGACCGGGAGTATCTGAGGACAGAGGAAATGATGTCAGGATATATAATATAAACATTTACTGATGGTCACAGCACACATGTCAAACTATTTCTTCTTCTCTAAAAAGTCCATTACTTTAATCTGTTAAAGGTGTAAAGCAGGTGTAGAAAATGTGTGGTTCGTGAACTGAACGGGTTCTGGGGCAGATCCAGAACACCCTGGAGAGATGTCTGGACTACCTGGTCTGAGATTCTGATGAGAACTATTTGTGATTTGTGAGCGTAAATAAATGGTAACAGGACAAAACAGAATTCTCACCAAGCACGTTGACCTCGCAGGTTGCTGAGGCGATGCCGTGGTCGTTCTCCACCTTCACCATGTAGACGCCGTGGTCGGCGCGGAACGAGTCCGTGATGACGACGGAGGACGTGCCCCTGTGGCTGTTGTCGATGGCGAGACGCTCGTTAATCGTCGGGTAGTCGAACTCCTCCAGCTCCGGCTCTGCAGCCTCCTCCTCCTTCTTCTCCTCCTTCTCTTTTCCTTCTTTCTTCTCTTCTCCTTCCTTCACTTCACCCTCCTTCTTCTCCTCTTTCTTCTCGGCTTCTCCTTCCTTCTTCTCCTCCTCCTTCTTCTCCTCTTCCTTCTTCTCCACCTTCTTCTTCAGGGGCCTCTCGGGCCTCTTGCGGAGCGGCTCTGGGCGGATCACCTGGTTGTTCCAGTACCAGGTGATCTGAGGGTAGGGTGAGCCGGAGATGTTGGCGTCCAGGAGGATCTCGCAGCCTCGCTTCACGCTGAGACCGGACTGCAGACTGCCACTGAGGAAAACCTTCGGCGCGTCTGAGAGAACAGAGACAGAAATCAACATCTACAGCATCTCTCCAGTTTTAAGACGAAGCCTGGCAGCTGTTTCTAGTCTCTATGCTAAGCTAAGCTAATCAGCTGCTAACGGTAGCTTCATATGGAGCGTAAACCTGCCTTAGCTTGCCTTCCCTTACACTGAGACTGTAAAACTGCAGTGGTTGTCAGGAGATGACGTCATCCTTACCAACAGCGTTTGAGGCCTTGACGAACGGCGTGTTGCGCGATGGCTCGCTGACCCCGGCTGCGTTCTCGGCCTTGACTCTGAAGGTGTAGTTCTTGCCCTCGGTCAGTCCCCTGACGGTGTAGGACAGGACGGGCACCAGGAAGTCGTTGCACCTCTCCCACTTGTCCTCACCCTTCTGCTGCTTCTCCAGGATGTAGCCCATGATCTTGGCGCCGCCGTCGTACATGGGAGGCTTCCAGGTCAGGGTGACGGTGCTGGATGTGGGATTGTGGGTCTCCACGTCCACGGGGGCGTCGGGAGCGTCTGAGGAGAGAGACGGATTTCAGTTAGAAATCTATGAGTTTAACTAAACATCAGAGGAATGAAATCCTCTGATCAACGCCGTCAGAAATGTTTAGAAACTTGATTTCATCGTAAGAATTTTAGTTTTACTAAAACTGAACCAATTTGATTCTAGACAATTAAATGAATTCATCTCCAAACCCAGGCTGAGGTAACCATGACAACGAGCAATGGCGGTTCGTACGTTTCTGGTCCTCTGCGATGACTGGGTTGCGGAGCTCGATGAACTCTCCTCCTCCGATCTTGTTGACGGCCTGGACTCTGAAGTAGTACTCTCCGTTGGGGATGAGGTCTTTGATGTTCCAGCTCACCTTGTTCTCTCCGGACATCATGTTGACGTACGTCCTCCTGCCGGCCTCACGCCGCTGCAGAAACAGACAGATTCAAATGAACCAGCTCTGATTTAAAGCCATCATCACAGCTCAGAGATAAAAACACTCCTCCATCTCTGACCTGCAGGACGTAGTGAATGATCGGGCTGCCGCCGTCATAGTCTGGAGGATCCCAGGACACTTTACAGGAGCTCTTTGTGATCTCAGAGGCCACAATCTCCTTACAGGGACCAGGAAGTCCTGAAGACAGAGACACAGAGTAGTGAAAACATGATCTGCTGCTCGGAGTCACAGACACTGATGTCTTCGTGATGAGATGAAGCGGTGAGTGACTCAGTACCGATGACTTTGACGTTGATGGTGGCGCTGGCGGCTCCCAGTTTGTTCTCCAGAGTCACTTTGTAGACTCCGGCGTCAGCGTGAAGGCTGCTCTCAACCTCTAGGTGACAGGAAGTATACTCCTTCCTGTGGAGCACAAAAAATCCCATCAGCCACTGCTGCTACTGACAGAGAACAACGGGAAGACGAAGACGAAGACGAAGACGAAGACGAAGACGAAGACGAAGACAACCTGAATCTGGCTCCAAACTCAGACAGAAATCGTCGCACTGACCTGAAGCCGAGGCGCTCGTCGGCCTTCAGCTCCTTGCCGTCTTTGTGCCAGGTGATTCTGGGGGAGGGGACGGCTCTGAAGGGAACTGGGATGTGCATCTTCTCTGTTTCCACGACGACCAGGTCCAGAGTCTGGAACTCCAGCATAGGGTTACCTGGAAACACAATAAAAAATCTTGGTCATCCTCCTGTTCCTGTCAGGTTGATGAGTGACTGAACTTTGCGGTGGAACCTTTGAGGACAGTGTTGGACGTTCTTACAGTCGGACTCTTTGGCGAAGACGTTCTCGGAGATGTCGGAGGGCTCGCTCACTCCGATGGCGTTGATGGCCCTCACTCTCAGGATGTACTCCTTCTCGGGGACCACGCCCTCCTCCACGCGGAACTTCAGCTCCTTCACTGGACGGGAGTTGACCCTCATCCACTTCTCTGTTCCAGCCTCGCACATCTCGATGTGGTAGCCGGTGATGGGGCAGCCGCCATCTCTCTGCGGAGGTTTCCAGGCGATGGACAGGAAGTCCCGGCTGGCTCCGGTGACGTGCAGCTCGATGGGCGGTGACGGGACACCTGTTGGGTCTTCGATGGTGAGGATCTCGGTGGGTTCGCTCGGATGTCCGATGCCGGCCTCGTTCTCGGCTCGGACCAGGAACTGGACCTCAGTTCCCTCGATGACGTCTGTCACTCGGTACTTACAGTCCGGACCTGAAGTCTTCCCGCATTTAACCCAGCGAGTTCCGAGCTTCTCCTTCTTCTCAATGGAATACCTGGGGGGCGGAGTCAGGGAAAGGTGAACACACCTTCATACTGTAACACCGCTGACTTTCATCATGAGGATTAATGACTCGTAACTGTTGAGTTATTTAATGTTAAAGTCTGTTGAATACCTGAGGATGGGTCGGCCACCATCATTTTTAGGTGCCTCCCACTGAAGGTCCACGTATCTCTTGGACACAGCGATGACGGCGAGGGCGTACGGTGGCCCAGGAGTGGCTGTAACGAAAAAAAAAATCATTTGTCAGCAGTAAATTAAAAGAATTCATGTGTTCAACACTAAAACTCCTCTGTAACTTACTGAAAGTGTCTTTGGCCAGCACGGAGTCCTCCAGCTCGCAGAACGGTCCGAGGCCCACGGCGTTCTCAGCAGCGACGCGGAACACGTACAGCGACCCTTCGTTGAGTGGAGTCACGGTGTACTTCAGCTCCTTGACTGTGGTGTCCACGGTCTGCCAGCCTTTACGCCTGACGTCACGCTTCTCCACCACGTAGTTGGTGATGGGGGAGCCGCCGTCGCGCTCGGGCGCCGTCCACTTCAACTCGGCGTTGTTCCTGCTGATGCTGACGACGTCCAACCAGCGAGGAGCTGAAGGAGGGTCTGAGGAGATTAAGACAAAAACTTCATCACGCTCGTTGGTTTGACACGGTGAGTCTTTACTGCTCATTTGTTTATTACGTCGACAGAGTGAGTGAGTTTGACCTTCCACATGCGGTTTACAACATCATGGCGTGGGCCGACAAAACAGTAAGATTTTGGTAAAAAGTATGTAATTATAAAATATATACATATATATAAATGATGATTTTAAATATTTTAAAATGACCTTTGAAAACATTCAAGCTGTTTCTTTAAGGGGGTGGGTCACCAACATTTTGTTTTAGATCATGAGTCTGTGTCTGTTGTTCTTACTGAGTCTCTCCTTGCAGAGCACCGGATCGCTGGGTTCGCTGGGCTCGCTCTCTCCGGCCACGTTCACGGCCCGCACCCTGAACGAATACTCCTGCTTCTCCATCAGGCCCTTCAGGAAGTGCTCCAGGACGTTGACGTTCTCCGCCACGCGGATCCAGTCCATGGTGCCGCTCTTCAGCATCTCAATGACGTAGCCGTCAATCTTGGCTCCGCCATCGTGCTCTGGCTTGGTCCACATCAGGAAGCAGGAAGTCTTGGCCACGTCCTTCACCGTGGGTTTACCGGGAGGCCATGGAGGATCTGGAAGAAGAAGGAGCAAGATGTTTGTAACTCTCTGAAAGGATTTTAGATGCTCAGACACTTAAGTGAGAGGGTGAATGTCTTTGTACCGATTGGATCCTTGACGAGGATCGGGTCTGTCTCTTTGCTGGGTTTTCCAGTTCCGGCCAGATTCTCAGCCAGGACTCTGAACTTGTACTTCTTCCTGGTGGGAAGACCTTTGACTCTGCAGAGGAGAACATGTCACATCAACACACTAAAATCCAGCAGAGCTCAGTGTTACACTCACTTTGACCAGCAGACAGTGGAACATCTGGATTCACCTGTAGTTGGTGTCTTTGATGGGCAGCTTGTTGCACCTGATCCACTTGTCGTGGTCAGGTTCGTATCTCTCCACCCAGTATCCTGTGATGGGGCTTCCTCCATCCTCATCAGGCTCGTACCAGGTCAGGGTCAGCGAGTCCTTGGCGATGTCCGAACCCTCCAACTTATAAGGAGCTCCGGGAGTATCTGAGGGCGAGACAAGAGGGGTGAGGTTCATCCCAGCAGACCTGAACCACATGATGATCCTCTTTGTACACAAAGAACTGCATCTGACAAATAACGGACCTGTGTCCCTGAACCTGAGACGGACCCGACTGTTAAAGAAAAAGAAACCAAATTTAAGCACCAAACATCAGTCCTACGGTCAGGTGACCTACCGAAGGGGTATCTGGCGATGATGGGCAGGTGCTCAGCTGGTGGGCCGACACCAAACTGGTTCTCAGCGAAGACTCTGAAGATGTACTCCTTGAACTTGACCAGATCCACAGCTTTGTATGTGGTATGTTTGATGGTGGACGACAGCCGGTGCCAGATCTCGCTGTCGGTGGCTCGGCGCTCGACAATGTAGTTGGTGACTCTGGAGCCGCCGTCGTCGCGCGGAGGGTTCCAGGCCAGGAAGCAGGTCTCGTTAGTGATCTCGGAGATGTCGAAGGCGGCGGGAGGACCAGGCTTATCTGTGTGAAGAAAGTTTATTTAACATTGAATTAACCCGAAACTGAAAAAGTCTTTATTCCCTATATTGTCTCTGTTTGTTAAGAGGTCTGACCGAGGATGTTGACGTCGACGGTGGCGGTGGCGCGGCCGCTGCTGTTGGTGGCTTCGATGATGTAGGTGGAGCTATCGTCTCTCTTGGTCTTGGCGATGGTGACGGTGGAGTGTCCCGGCTTGGTGTCAATGGTCACCCTGTCGTCCGGTTTCAGGACCAGGTCGGCCTTGGTCCACTTCACCCGGGGCTCAGGTTTACCCGTCACCTCGGCGGGGAGTTCGATCTTGCTGCCGGCCTTGGCGGTCAGACCAGCCAGCAGTTTGGCGTCCAGCTGGATCTCTGGAGGTTCTGTGAGGTTGATAAGGACGAGGGTCAGTCAGAGGTTTAAAGGATAATTAACAGGAAGACACTACAACTGCAGCTAAAGAATTCGAACCAGAGCAAAGTGAAAAAGTCATTTCAGGTTCAGATGCTCTCGGTACCTTTGGGATCCACGGCCTGGATCTCGTCGGTGGCCTTGCAGGGCCGTCCGGCTCCGAGTCGGTTCAGGGCTCGGACTCTGTAGGCGTACCACTGGCCCTCGATCAGACCGGTCACCTGGCACTTCAGCTCGGGCACCATGTCGCCACAGGGCTCCCACTTATCGGTTCCTCTCTGGCAACGGTCCACGTTGTAGCCGCGGATGCTGCTGCCGCCGTCGTACTTCGGTGGCTCCCAGGTCAGGAAGATGCCACTGGCGGACTTGTCTCTCCACCTCAGGTTCTCTGGAGGGTCGGGGACGGCTGATGGGGAAACGAGACAGAGTAGTTAGAAAGTCCTTTAATTAGCAGTTTGATTAATGAGACATTTGAGTCTGACTCACTGGCGGGAGAGGAGACGTTGACGGGCTCGTCAATGTATGCCGGCTCTCCTGGTCCACACTTGTTGCAGGCGGTGACTCTGAACAGATACTCCTTCCCTTCAACCACGTCGGTGACGGTGAACTCCAGATCCTGGACTCCTGAGGCCACCTGAGAGAGAGAGTTATTATCAGACATCAAACACTTCCCTTATTCTTGTGTCATCTAAAACTAATACTGATGGTAAAAAACACTGGACAACTCCTTCACACGAGTGGTGTCACTGTTATTAAGTTTAAATAAACGTTCAGCCTCATGGAAATCAAAAGTGACAGAAAATGTTTCAACATGAGAGTTTTTATAGCAGCTACTGAACTGTACACACGGTGAAAATCTTAAAGCCCCTGAGAGTAAATGACCTGTAACCATCGGATGTTGATGTCGTACCTTGACCCAGGTCTTGCGGGACATGTCCCGTTTCTCCACCTGGTATCCAGTCAGAGGACTTCCTCCGTCGTGCTCGGGAGCCTCCCAGCTCAGGTGGACGTGCTGTCGTGTCACCTCCAGGACCTTGAAGTCCTTTGGAGCGCTGGGCGCAGCTGGAGACACAAACACAATGAAACCTCAACAAAACAAGAAGCAGTTTTCAACCAGAAAATGTTTGTTCTGTTAAAAGTTAAAAACTTCTTCAGATCAACATGGAAACAGTTTTTTCTTTTGTACCGATGACATTGACTTCGATCTCTCCAGACACGGATGTGACATCGTTCTCCAGGTGCAGGGTGTAGATGCCTTTGTCCGGGCGGACGCTTGGCGTGACCATCAGCTCTGTGAACGTGGACTTGGTCATCAGGGAGACGCGCTCGTCGGCGGTCGTCAGCTCCTTCTCACCAAACGTCCACTTGGCGACGGGGGTCGGGTATCCAGTGATGGGGACTCTGATGGTCAGAGGCTGAGGGACGATCACCTCCAGGCCGTCTTTGAAAGCACTGAGGTCAAAGGTCGGGCCAACTGGAGAGGGACGAGAGAGCATGATGGGAAATGAAACATTAATTGCATTAATCTCTATATTTGGAAGGTCAAAATATCTGGTAATACTAAACATGTTACTAAACTTTGACATGCAATTCACATTAACTGTCACATGACTTCATTGATAATGAAACACATGAAAGGCGTCGACTCTCTCACCGTGCAGGTCGTCAGCCAGCAGAGGTCCGAGGAGGTTGGACGGGTCGGAGACTCCGGCGGCGTTTTCAGCGAACGCTCTGTAGTTGTACTTGGTTCCGTATTTCAGACCAGACACCTGAGGTAAAGTCACAGGTAAAACAAAACTGTAAAAAAAACCTCATTGTTAAAAATAAAATAACAATCATTAAAGTCCTGCTGGAGGGCTTTTACTGTGAAACAAAACTTCTGATGTAGCCTGACATGCTAACTGAGCTGCTCTGTGACAGGAAACAGGAGACAGGAAACAGGAAACAGGAAACAGGAAACAGGAAACAGGAAACAGGAAACAGGAAACAGGATTTCTTGTTCGTACCTTGTAGAAGAGGTCGGGGCAGAGGCGGGCGTTGCAGCGGAGCCACTTGTCGCTGCCGTCCTCGCAGCGCTCGATGATGTACCCGGTGATCATGCTGCCTCCGTTCCTCAGAGGAGTCTCCCAGGTGAGCTGCACCGAGTTCTTGTTCTGGTCCTGCCAGGACAGGTTCAGAGGGGGACTGGGACGCTCTGCAGTGGACGGACAGACACAAGCATTACTTTATTGTCTCTTATGTTTGTGTTGAACTCGAAACATCTGAACTTAACCACGCGTCTCTAACTTCCTGTACATGAACACACGACCGCCCTGAGCTGTGCGAACCCTCCCTCAGTCTAACATACCGATGGGGTCCATGATCTTGACGGGCTGGGAGGCGGCGCTGGGCTTGCCGACGCCGGCTTTGTTCTCGGCCTTGACTCTGAAGATGTACTCTTTGTTCTCGATGACATCGTTGATGATGGCGCTGAGTTCGTCGGCCTTGGTCACCTGGACGGGCGACCACTTCACCGACGTGCGGTCACGCAGCTCCACAATGTAGGAGGTGATGGGAGAACCTCCGTCCGACTCGGGAGGCTCCCAGGAGACGGTGCAGCCGAACTTGGTGACGTTCCCCACGATGACGTTGAGAGGAGCCTCAGGGACGTCTGAAGACAACAACAGCAGATAAACATTTACAGTCATATCTCTGTTTACCAGTTCATTTAGCTCCATTTTATAGTGACAGATAATTTAGAAATGAGACATTTCTATGTCACAACACTGTTTATGTGTTTTTACCTTTTTACAAGGATGTAAAGGTCAGATTCAGGACCATTGCAGTTTGAGTAAACATGTACTTCCTGTGTTTTGCCTGTGTAGAGCAGATTAAACGTATCAACACAAAGTCGTTCTCACCAAACTTGTTCTTGGCCTGTACGGGTTTGTCGGTATCTACGTTGGGTCCGCTGCCGACCCGGTTTCGGGCGCAGACCCTGAACAGGTACATAGAGTCCCTCTGGAGGCCGGTCACCGTGTACTCGGGACTGTCGATGTGGTCGGTGGCCAGCGTCCAGGTCTTACGCTTCACATCGCGTCTCTCCACCACGTAGCCGATGACCTTGCTACCGCCGTCGCTCTCGGGCTCCTCCCATGCCAGGCTGACCTCGCCGTCGGCGGTGTCCACCACCTGCAGGTTCTTCACGGGTCCCGGGACGTCTGGGGAAAAAAGCAGAAGATCGTCAGGATGACATAAAGAACACAGGAACAGGTAAAGATAAATTTATTGTCAGAACAGTGAGGAATGGATCAATAACGTAAGAAGCAGAGTTAGTTATGGACACTCGTATGATTGGGGGCATTCTGGGTATTTTTGGGCCTTTTTATAAGACAGAGACAGAACTGATAGGACAAGACAACAGAGACTGATGTGACACCTAACATCTGAAACCATTAAAAATACACTCATATACACATTCAACATCTGTTTGAGTTGATTTTTGTACAGTTGAACTTCTTCACTGACAGCTGGACCTCAGCTGTGGTTGCAGGCTGCCACCTACTGCTGAAACCAGGAACTGCACTACATTAAACTGCTGCTGAGAAAACCTCAGCTCACTGGAGCCTGTTCAAAACATCAGCACTTGTTATAATAATGTCACAACCAGGTCCATTTAGTATCTGTTCTGGAGCTTTTTATCAGTTTGTAAACTTTCATGTGGATCTGTCAGGTTCGTCTGTAGAAGCTGAGAAATGTCCTGGTGCTCCATGACAATCACCTGTTCTTCCTCTCCCACCTGTCTCTGAACTCCACACGCTTTGTCGGTCTGTTTATTGTGAAACAGCCTCTGGAAACTGAACAGCTGATAAACTAATGTTTCTGAACTGCTGAGGAACAAACTTCTTCATCAGCTTCTTCTCATTGATTTTTCTAGAAAACTCAAATATGACTCTGAGGATTTGTGTCTACATTTTACGTTTCTGTCTTTTTTATAAAGACTTTTCAATCAGTAACTATCAAAATCAATAAGCCCCAAGTTCATGTTTGAGTTGATGATGTGAAGGTTAAACATAACAATATATCCAGATATTCTGCTCAGATTTCACTGAATTCTGACATAGATATTGAACCTGGTCTCTGTGTGAACCTGGTCTCTGTGTGAACCTGGTCTCTGTGTGAACCTGGTCTTGGTCTCTCTCTGACGACTCACCGATGACGTCCAGCTTGATGAAGGCCTCCCCCTCTCCGTGTTTGTTCTTGATATGGATCTTGTAGCGGCCCTCGTCGGACTTCTTGGGGTCCTTCAGCCGGTACTCTGTCCGGTCGGCCGAGGTGTGGATGTTGTCTTTGGGCAGACTGGTGTTGTCGTACAGCCAGTCGGCCTCGGCCTTCGGGTAGGCGCTGTAGGGGACGGCCATGACGATGGGCTTCCCGGTGTCTGTGACGTAGTTCTGGTCTGTGGTCTTTATCTGAGGCACAGCTGGAGGAGGAGGAGGAGGAGGAGACACCGTCAGACAGACAACAACACTGTGCTGTGGTCGTTCTTCTTGTTTAAATGATCATCTCTCTACACGAGACTCAGGTGTTTGGGTTTTTTCTTACCTGCCAGCTCCAGCTTGGCCTTGGCGTCTTTGTCCTTGACGATGACTCTGTACTCTCCCTGGTCTCGGGGTCTGATCTCGCAGACCTGCAGTCTGTGGACTTTCCCCTCGCTCATCATCTGGTATTTGTCTCCCTGGACAACCGTCATATTGTTCCTCAACCACTTCACCTCCACTCTGTCCTTGTTGAGCTCCACCTCGAACACCACGTCCGAGCCTGGAGGTTCAAACGCGTCCTGTGGTGGTCTGATGATCTCCACGGGGGTCTCTGCAGGACAGAGGGGGTCAGTTAGGGCAGGATCAGAACTGGGACTAGATTCTACTAAAAATACAGTTTCTATTGAGGAGCTCACCTTCAACAAAGAGCCTGGCTCTGGATCTCTTGTCGTCCACACCACAGGCGTATTCACACTCATCATCAGGTCTGCACTCCTTGATACGAAGGGTGCAGATCTTTCCAACTTTCTCAAATGTGTATCTGGAAAATAAAAAGTTGATTCAGATGATTCAGGTTTGAACAAACTTTATAAACGAGGGTCTGACTGGGTCTCAAGGTCCGACTGGGTCTCGGGGTCTGACTGGGTCTCGGGGTCTGACTGGGTCTCGGGGTCTGACTGGGTCTCGGGGTCTGACGTACCTGGGTCCTTCTCTGATCTCGCGTCCGTTCCTGTACCACTTGACTTCTGCTTTCTCTTTGGTCAGCTTGCATGAGAACTCGGCGTCCTCAAACTCGGTGATGGTCTGGTCCTTCAGGTGCATGCTGAAGTCCGTCGGCGCCTCGCTGATGATCAGCTCGGCGGTGGACTTGTTGTCTCCAGCCACGGCGGTGTACTCGCCCTCGTCGGCCAAGGTGCAGTCTTTGATGGTTAGCGTGTGCTTGTCTTTGTCCACTCTGTAGACGATGCGTTTGCTGAAGACGATCTCCTCGCCCCCCTTCATCCACTTCAGGGTGGCGTTGGGCCTGTTGACCTTGCAGGTGAAGCTGACGGTCTTCTTCTCCTGAGTGTCGATGTCCTCCAGAGGAACCACGATCCTCAGACTCTCCTCTGAGCAACAGAAAACACACATGTTGATCAGGAACCTGCTGACATACTAATCGTTTCACTTCCTATTCAGTGTTTCATTAACAAACCAAACGACATGACGTCACCCCGTCGCCGTGGCCCACTGACCTTTGACGGTGAGGTTGCAGGCGCTCTTGGCATGCTCTCCTCTGTGATTGGTCAGGTTGATGCTGTAGTTGGCTTCGTCTCCCTTCTGGGCGTCTCTGATCCTCAGGGAGAAGACGTTGTCTCTCTGGACCACGACGAACTTGCTGCTCTCGAACACCGTGTCGTCGTTCTTCAGCCACTTGGCCTTTGCTCCCTCCGTGTTCACCTCGCAGTTCAGGACGACCTCCTGACCTTCTTTACCCTCCGTGTCCTTCAGCGGCGTGATGATCTTCAGTTTCTCTGCAGGAAAGAAGAACATCACACATGTTCTACTGAATCGAGATCAAACTGTGAAACATTCGAATACAGAGTAAAAACTGAAGCTGCGAAAACAACGAAACATTTTTATTTCTGGTGAAGTTACTGTGTCAGAATGTGAAAAAATTAATTTTCTTTTCTGTTGAAATGCTCATAAAACAGACTTAATAAGTTGAAACCAACTAATTAAACTTGAACTAAAATATACATTAAAATAAACATATACATTTATACAGACAATAACAAATACTAAAGAAATTCTAACCGTTTTTTTTAACTTTAGTTTTAGTTTTTGTTAAGGTTTTTCAACACTTCACAAATCTCAAACGTATGGAAGCCCCACTAAGACGAAATTATGACTTTCTAACTTCAAACTGACATAGGAACTTATAATTTTGAGGTAGTAAAAGTTAGTTGAAATTTAAACATAAAATAGTTAATAATTAAAAGTCAGATGCTTCCATACGACTGATTAAAAATCATTAACTAGATTAGTTTTTGAAGTTTTACACTGGTAAAATCTGACGTGTGTTCCAGAGCTGAAGCTGACTGAACACGTCACTGCTCCTCGTCTTACCGAGCACGGTGAGGTCGGCGCTCGCTCTGGTCGCTCCGATCACCACCGTGTACCCGCCCTCGTCTTTCAGCTCGCTGTTCATGATGACCAGAGTCCGTCTCTTGCCGTCGCTGACCATCTGGTATTTGTCTCCGGCCTCCAGCTCCTGATCGCCCTTCATCCATTTGACCTCGAAGGTTTCCTTGGAGACGGAGCAGGTGAACTCCGCCTTATGGCCCTCCACCACCTCCTGGCTGCTCGGCCTGGAGATGAACTCAGCAGCAAGTTCTGTAACACACAGAGAGAGAGAGAGAGAGAGAGAGAGAGAGAGAGAGAGGTCAGAGGTCAGAGGTCGATTTACTCTGAACTGACAGAGTTAATATATACGACCATCAGCTGGGTCAGATAATCAACATATCATGGCACACTTTGTTTTATAGTTAGAAGAATTAAAAATCTTGCTTGTTCTAACTTCTCCTATGAACATATATTTTATATTGTGTTATTAACCTTGAGTTAAAGCTCCATATTTTCTTCTTCTTCTGTGTTTTATTTGAAGTGTTGATCCATAAGAAGTTTGTTAAAAATGTTAAAAAACAATAGGACTAAAAAAAGTGTGGCCAAATAAATACAGAAATAAATGAATGTAAAAATCTGAATCTGGAATGTGTTAACCTCCGACAGTAAATACATGTATTTATACAGTAATTATACGAAGCTTCTGCAGCACAGTCACAATCAGATCGGAGTTATTTTTACCATTAATCTTGAGGTTTGCAGAGGTTTTGTTGCTGGGACTCAGCCTGCAGTTGTACTCTCCGGCGTCGTCCATCTTTAGGTCCTGGATGAGGAGGATCCTCCTCTTCCCGTCCACGATGTGGTCGTAGCGGCCGCCCTCCGGCAGCTCCTCGTCTCCTTTGTACCAGGTGACGTCGGCGCTGGGTTTGGACACCTCGCAGATCAGTTTCACGCTGTCCGTCTCTGTTCCCTCCACGTTGGAGAGGTTCTTGGTGAACCTGGCCTCCTCCTCTGCAGCGACAGACACAGATGGTGAAACAAAGTCGACTGAAGGTCACAGCTGCGATGACAAAGACTCAGGACTCTGCTGCGGTCTCTGACGTTACAGCAGTTTTATTATCCTCAACTAAACCTGCAGTAGATATTTTATCTCAACACGTTCTGATCCAAAATCATAATTACAGCAACATTTCCATCAAACCTCCTGAGAAGGAGTTTTCATACAGAGTCCTGGTCCTGATCTGAAACAATGAATCCACAGTGAAATCAAGCTCAGACGTGAGTTCTGCATGTGTGAGACCGAGACTCTGATCTGGAATAATTCACATGAAGAAGCGTTTTCATCCTTACCGATGACAGTGAGCATGCCGGAGGACTTGGAGGTCTTTGCGTCACATTCGTATTCAGCCTCATCGTCGAACACGGACTTGTGGATGACGAGGGCGTGTTGGCGACCTTGAGCGATAATTTCGTACTTCTTCCCCTTTCTGATTTCACTTCCATCCTTAAACCAGTGGACCTGCGAGACAGCGAGGAAGAGGAGATCTCAGAGACAGAACAATCATTTCAAACCTTTCCTTCTTTCATCGTTTCAGTCTGGACAAACAGACGCAGCAGTGTTCTCACTTTGACGTTCTCTCTGGAGACTTCACATTCAAACCTGGCGGATTCCTTCTCCTTCACCTCGACGTCATGCAGCGGCTTCGAGAACTCGATGTGTGGCGCTGTCGACACAACAAAGACACATCAACAGGGTCATTCAGGTCCAATACTGAGACGTCCCCTAACCTGTCTTTACAAAGGGTTCCTTAAGTCATCTGAGGAACCTTAAACTTTAAGGTTCCTGAGGTAAAACAACTCATTTGTTTAATTTTCACAGAGGTAACCGTAGTTGTTTAAAGGGTCCTGAAGAAGGTCGGGGTTCCTACAGATTTATAAAGGTCCTTCAACGCCTCGCCACTTCTATAAGCTGTACTCACGTTCCACATTGAGGAAGCAGGAGGTTTTGAAGTCTTTGGCGTCGCAGGTGTACGTCCTGGAGTCGTCCAGAGCGCAGTCGTGGATGAGCAGCGCTCTCTTGCGTCCGTCGACGATCATCTCATACTTCTTGGTCTTCCTGATCTCCTGTCCGTCCCTGAACCATTGTACCTCTGCGTTCTCTCTGGAGACTTCACACTCCAGCGTGGCGGTGGCCTCTTCCTCCACCGTCTGGTCCTCCAGCGGCTTCGTGAACTCCACCGGCGGCTCTGAGCAAACACACAGAAACAAACATGGGACGTTTAGTTTCATCGTTTTCTGTCACATGACTCTTCTGATATCCAGGATATTCATTAACTTAAACGAGGTTTTAAAAACCATCAAAACTGATGTAGAGAAAATTCTGATCATTTAAATGTCTGATATAAATCAGACCGTTTATATCTAAACTAAACAACAGCTTTTCTTTACACGGAATCTGATGAAGTTTATCTTCTGATCTGATTAAAGCTTTTCTTTCACAGAATTTAGAAACTTAACACCAGACTGAAGGGAAGCATCTGGTTGGTCGGAGTGATGTCACAGTGTACTGGAGACGCTACAGGTCGACTAAACCAGGATTTTCAGAGTGTGATAAGTCTCAGTAGAGTCCAGTAGAACCAGAACATCGTTGTCTTACCGTTGACAGTGAGGTTGGCCTCGGTCTGGAAGTCTTTGGCGGTGAGTTTGACCTGTCCGGCTTCATTCAGCTGCACGTCTCTCAGAGTCAGGCTGTGGACTTTACCATCCGACTTCAGCACCACCTGCCAGGTCCAACAAAGGCAGTCGTTAGGAGGTTTTAATCTGCCCTGCACACTGCCTCTCAGGCTCAACACAGGCAGTTAGAAAGTCCCTGAAATACACCTCTCAAGTTCACAGCCCCTTTACATCCTGCTACATGTTCGTTAGAAAGACGCCTCGTTAGGCCACTTTTGCTTTACATCAACACAACAGCAGCAGTGTCTGTCCCACCATGATGCTGCGTCTCCCTTTTACACAGATGTTGATCCGGCTCTGTGACGACCTCCACTGCCCCCACCCCCCACCCCCCACCCGCGAGGAGGAATAAAGGTGCAACATTCCCGCCTTCAACAGGCTGTAAAAGGGGCCAGACTGAGCGTTTTACCTTCCCTGAGTGTTGCCTGTCAGGTTCAACAGTCAGTCAAGAGGGTTTCCCTCCTCATGGTCCTTACCTCTTACAGGGAGTCATTTCACTCTTCTTGAGGTTTCCTGGGGGGTCGAGTTATACGTGATCAGAACTACTTTGTTTCTAGTTGTTCTGAGCAGCTAACTTGTGTTAACTTCTAACTGTGCCCTGAGCATCGCCTGTCAGGTTCAACACAGTCAGCTTTGGGTTTTATTTCCCTCCTGTCGGGTCCCTGATCATCGTCTGTGTTAGGTGACTGAAGCGTACCCACCAGGTCTACAGCGTACACTCAGACTCCACCAGACGGTGGGTTTTCTCATCCCTCAGCTCTGTCTGTGGGGTTCAGAGTTGTCAGGTCTCCAGCAGACTCAGGGTCAGTCAGCTGAGCCCTGACAGCTCAAACGAACACAGACAGCTGCTTTCCTTCCCCCGATTTAAACCGCCTGACCCCTGACACCTGAGGGCTGATTTTACCACACAGCCACCCACTGTATATCACAGTGAGCTGTCTGAGCCACAGTCACATAACTCACTGAGGAGCAACTCAACATATGGTCTCTGATGTTAAAGGTCCGCTCCTCGTTCAGTAGAATAACAAGAAAAACACTGGCCACTAGTTGCTGCTGTAGATTATTAAATAAACAACAATCAACATCATCATTTTCAATGTTGATGAAGTAAAACATCATTTAATCCTGATCATTTGATCCATTATAGGTGATCAATAAAGGTCAAATATGTCTTGTTCTGTGATGATGGGACGCTCACGTTTCCTCAGACAGAAGTGATTTATTTTATTTTGTGTTTTATTTTCAAACTTTAATCTGAAATCAGATCAACTCATCTGTGTGTGTGTGTGTGAGTGTGTGTGTGTGTGTGTGTGTGTGTGTGTGTGTGTGTGTGTGTGTGTGTCTGTGAGTGTGTGTGTGTGTGTGTGTGTCTGTGAGTGTGTGTGATGAGGTGATTAGAAACATGTTTTGTGTCTGTGAGTGTGTGTGATGAGGTGATTAGAAACATGTTTATCTAATATCATAAAGCGTACAGTCTATTTGAAATGTGCTTTGAAATCTGAACCTCTGTTGTGATTTGACACTTTAAAAATAAAAACTGACTTGACTAATAGTTTATCATGTTTCTTACACTGTTATTAACTTACAGACTTTAAATCCGCTCAATAAATAAAACTGGTTGACTCATTTAAAGACTATTTTAACAGAATTTTAACTTTTATCATCAAAAACAGTCAATAACTATTTGATATAAAGACGAGACATTCAACAACCAGACGACGGAGGTCTCAGCTCATATCTTCATATTAACACTGTTCAGTGTGTTTCTGCATCATTTCCTGACTTCGTCTGGATCTTCTCTTTAAAACAAGTTGAATCAGAGTGTCGACAACAACCAGCTGATGCAGCGTGTGAATCACACTTGCACAACCCACAGAGAGATCGCGTGTCTGTTCTCAGGTTACATCCCATAATCAAACTAATCCTCCGTTATGACTGGCTATCATCTCAGGGCTGCACTTGCGCCGAACTCTGCCCGACTCTTATTTCAGCAGGAAAACAGCAAAGATCTGAACCGAGCGACAACATTTACAGCACGTTGTGATTTTAAACCTGGAGCTGACAAACAGCTCCTGTTGCCACCTGCCCCGCTCCTCAGCCTCCTGCAGCTGTTAAAAATAACCCCAGAAACGCTTGCGGGGCAGAAAAGCCTCCCTGCCTGCGTTATCTCAAAACCAGGATCGAATGCTCAGCTGGAATCCTGAACCTCCGGCAGCAGGCCCTTATATGAAGACCGGCTGAGCTGCTGTGGCCCGGGGCGAGGAAGACTGAACGCTGTGTACAAATGGAGAAGGAAACCCGGGTCCTGGCTCTGGACCAGGACCACGAGGCCTCTGTGGTGACTTAGTATCAGAGTGTCAACAGGTCTTGAGTTTCAGGAAGTGAATCCTGTGTGTGGCGCAGAAACACAGCGAGGACTCGGTCAGGTGTATCAGGACTTACTCTGTCGCTTGGTTCCAGCTTTGTTCCCTCCAGGAACCACTCGACAGCAATGCCTTCGTATGACAGCTCGCACTCGAAGGTGGCAGTCTCCCCGGCGGTCACGGTGGCATCCTTCAGAGGCCTCATCAGGCCGATCACTCGGGCTTTGGATTGAGGAGAAGACATGGTTAGCCCCCCCGAAACAGGTTAATAGATCCAAAAAATCCCCAGAGAGAAACGGCTAATCCTCAGTGGCTAATCCTCATGGTGCGGTTGAGCTGAAGGCAGGCCGCTGAAGCCCTCAGGACAACTGAAGCCGGCCTCCCTGGGACTTGGCACTGGGGGCTAGGCTCATTAGCATACGACCTGCCGTCAGATGTATATGGCTGGTGGAAACCAGTGAGGGACGGGGTCGCGTCCCGGCCCCTGCCAATCACTGCAAACATGCTCTAGATAAGGCATGCGACTTCTAAAATAACCGAGGGGCCCGATTGGCTGAGAGCCCACCTCTGAAAAACCCAATGGGGGGGGTGGGGGCAATCTGCTCCTGTCAATCACCAGCTTGCAATTTTCCTGGAAAAGGAGAATGTGGAGCTCCTCGCAGGAGTTACCCAACGTCACGCTCAGGAAAATGCCGACATCACGGTTCAGCCGCCGCCTGTGTCGTAACGCTGACATGTAACAGTGTCGTGGGACTTTGGTAACGGGGGGAGGGGGGGGGGGCCTGAACTCAGATCCAGAATGTCAAGTTTGGATTAACAAACCACATCAGTTATTTACAACAGGCTTCCTCACATGCCTGAATTAAAGCTCTTAACGGGCAGTTAAAGTTCTGGCAGCGCTGCTGACAGCGAGCTGAGAGTCCCATGCTTCATTTAATCAGCGAGCTGTCAGTCTGAAGAGTTTACTGTTAGTATCAGCTCCGCAGTGATTATCTCTGCTGACTGACAGCGAGCCGACACATCTCAGACATCTGACTGAAACAACATTCGACACTGCAACAAAAACTCAGTTTTTAACGTCCTACAGACGCGTTCTCTGCTTCTTTCTGAGCTCAACACTTTCTACTTGATTACATTTATTTTGATTAAATGTGAAATTTAAAAATGTTTGAATGTTTGTTGAGCTTTTCTAATTCTCCCTGAAACAACAAACATGTAAAACTACATCATTAAAACTCAGTCTTCATCTATTCAAGTAGAATTATCTCACAACATTTGACTGCAGCTTCATAAATGAATGACTTGTTGAAGTTGTTTTGTTGCAGTGTAGAAATATTATCAACTTCCTGTTTTGTGTCTTTGTGAAGTTTAAGTTTCTAAATTTCAGAGTCACAGAGAATTTAACAAACACATGATGTGACTGACGTTCTCCAGGTGACGTTGGGTAACAGTTTCCACACAATTTATTTTCCACATCAGTTTTTTTTTTGTGTCTTTTAGTTTCTTCAGAAAAGTTCCTTTGACTCAGATTTGAGCTTCTCAACAAAGTCACGTTGTCTTTGTTAAGATAAAAGCTGAGGGATCTGTCATGAAGATTGAACAGGATCTACTTTATCTCAGCTGATCACTCCTCATGTCCACCTGAAGCTCCAGCGTCTCACCTGCTGCTCTCTTCACGCTCGTCTCCTGGACGTGTGTAAAAGATGTTTATTGACAATTAAAATGAAATGAATCATTAATGATGGTACCATTAAGACCAGTGAAGAACAGACACAAAGTCTGTTTTTCAATTTGCTGTAAAACTAATTCAAACGACTCGAAACAATATAAAAGTGATTTTGGTGAAGGACAGTTTGAAGACACTTCTGAAATGTGTCCAGAGGAGAGAGAATCTCTGAGTTTACGTGTAAATCAACCGGATTCTTTCATCCAGACTCAAATTAAACAGTGCGACAGATTCCAGCAGCTCTGAAACTCCCTGATTTAAACTGTCTCCAGGCTGTTCCCTCCTTTTCCAGTGTTTATGCTAAGCTAAACTAAACTAAGCTAAGCTAAGCTAAGCTAAGCTAAGCAGCAGCTGACTGTAGCTTTTCTTTAAGGTAGCACTCAGGACCAGATTACAGAAACTGGAATATGGTGAATCTTAGTTAAATCCTTTTGAGTCACACATGGCACCATTATTATCAATTATTATTAATTATTATTAATTATCATTAACTGTTATTAATTATCATCAAATACAGCCAATTATTTCACCAGGAAAAGTTTCTCCAACATTCAGTCATTTTGTCAGTTTCTTCGTCAACGTTTCTTCTCCTTTCCGCCTCAAATGTCAGTTTTACCCAGAATTCATTGCAACGTGAGCACATTGCGCTCTGACCGAGTCACGCCCTTTAAACAGGAGTGAACCAGAGAATCTAACAGCTGATACAGATGTGATGTTTTCTGAAAAGACGTCACCACCTCAGCCGACCAATCAGGAGGAAGGAGCAGCTGGGTTCATGTTTCTAACAACGTGTAAAATCCTTCATTCACACCTGGTCAATGAAGATGAGCGAGAGCTGTGAGGATCAGGAGTTTCAGGGATTTGTAGCCGCCTACCAACAAACTGTCTGTGATGTATGTCAGTGTTATTTCTGTCACCTTTGACCCTGAGCTGAGCTGTGGATTTTGCATTCGCTGCCGAGAAGTCGATACTTCCAGCCATGTCCATTTTGCAGTTGAGGAGGATCAACACGTGTCGGGCTCCCTCCTCCTTGATCTCCACCTCCTGAGACACACAAAGTTAAACACACAGTTAAACTCATCATGGAATCATCTTTCCTTCTCTTGTTTCTGGTTTAAATAAATAAAGGTTCGGTGATGAATCTTACAGCAGACGGGTGGAGCGCCTCTCCCTTCAGTTTCCAGGTGGCGTGGAGGTCCTCCTCAGAGATCTCCGTCTCAAACGTGGCCATCTCCGTCTCCGTGACCTCCACGCTGTACAGCGGGCGAACGAACTTGATGTCGCGCTCTGCGGGGGTTCAAAGACACGTTAGAGGAAACAGCGGAGGGTGAAGCTGAGTGACACCCAATGAACATCTGGAGGAAACAGATTGTCATGTGCGGTGAAACAGACAGAAGGAGTGTGGCGGTTGTGGAGGACGGACAGATGACATGAAGACGCCAGGAGCTGACGCTCTCATTCAGAGCGACTTACAGTCTGAGCAGAAGCAGAACAACTTGAATGAACTGACAATAAACCAGCCCTCAAACATCTCACCATCAGAACATCAGTGAGAATCATCATCAGGACATTTATTGATTATTTTAATCAGATTGAATTCTGAAACTGTGAATCTGTAATAAACATCAGAATATTATTATCTGTATCATTTCTATTATTATTGTTAGTAACAGTCGTAACAAATCAACAGTTCAAATATTTTATCTATCATCTATATATCTGACTATATAAGAATCAAAAATTAATAGGTACTGATATATCTAAAGTTAATAAAGGTGAGATTAACAAGATTATTGATTATTGTTGATTATATTTTTCTGAATGTAAAAATGTTTTACACATTTTCAGAAGGTCTGAGCTGTTTTCTGCTGCGTCTGCTTGGTTCTGTTTGGTTCTGTTTGGTTCTGTTTTAATTAGCATTACAATAAAAACTCACTGTTGCTTTCAGAATAAAGGCAAAAACTGCCCTAAAAAATAACTTTTAAAAAATCGGATCTCTTCATCTGACTCTCATGTGCTCCTGGTTTTGCTTCAGTTTTAGTTTTTTAAGAGTATGAAATGATCTAATCCTGAAAAAAATCTTATATAAAGATTTATGATGAATAAAATAAAAATAAATGAAAATAAGTGAACACTATCTGAACATCATAACATGTATGTGAACACAGACATGGACACTGAGAGAGGAGACATTCACATGACAATTATGTCTCCATCGTTGGCTCAGAGGTCGCAGCCGTGTTTCCACACAGTTAGAAAGGCACATTGAGATGTGAGGGCTGGTTTATCCTCAGGTGTCATGATCAATAATCAACATCACAAACACTCAGAGAACACGATACAGTGATGGAGGATGGAGATGAACGGCGCCGAGGTGTCGGTGAATGGCGGTGGGCAGGGCCTGATTCTGCAGTCCTGAACCGAAGTTCTGGGGGGGAGGGGCTGGATCGCCGCAGGTATTACCTTCGATGTTCAGCTCGGCTGTGGTTTTGTCGGTGCCACAGTCACAGGTGAACACTCCCATGTCGCTCTTCGCCGCCTTCTTGATGACCAACATGCGCTTCTTGCCGTCCGACTGGAGGAGAATTTTCTTGGAGGGAAAGATTTCGTTCCCGTCCTTGAACCATCGGACCTCACCGGACGCTTTGCTCAGCTCGCAGGACAAAATCACCTCGTCCTTCTCGACGGCAGTGTAGTTCTGGAGCTTGGCTGTGAAGTACAGGTCGCCCTCTGCAGGAGGACACCAGCAATAACCAGTTTAAAACAAAACGTAAATATATCAACAAGTAAAACAGAACCAGGTGGACAATGGACCTGCTTGATAACGTACAGACAGACCGACAACACAGTGGGACAGTTTGGGATGTAAATTAAAAGGGAAAGGAAATCACCAGTGTATTGCTATCGTATCTCAATTTACATTAGTAAATGGCAGCATGTGGAGTGACAGTATTTATAGTTACAGGCAGGAAACCTCATCAATACTGAGGTGATATCTTCAGTATTGGTTCTGGGAATGTAGACCATGACCTGATCATCTCTACAATCCTCTGCGTCCCTCTGGAGAGGGATACTAACCGAGCACCGTGAGCATGGCCTCTGACGTCTTGGCCATGGCCTCCACTCTGATCATGGAGGTGTCGTCGGTGGTGACCTCCTTGAAGGCCAGCGTGTGGACTTTCCCATCCTCCGACATGTGCACCACCTTGCTCGGGTGCAGACGGACGTCGTTTTTGTACCAGACCACTGGGATTTTTTCATGCGAGAGTTCAACGCTGAACTCTGCAGTTTCTCGTTCCTTCACAGTCACATCTTTAATCGGCTTGATAAATTCGAGGCGAATACCTAACAAACAGAAATTATATGTGTATATATATGTAATTAAACATAAACAGTTGGGAAAACATCTACAGATTAAGATTATAATGGTGTCTAAAAGATCAGCACTTTTTACTATTTCTGTGCTCGACTTCTGGACATTTAGTGTTGTTGAGAGATTTTGTCACTGACAAACAGCCCAGACGAAAGGCGAGGTTTTGCCCTCATGTATACATCGTACCACTCCTGCTCTGACTATTTACCTTTGATAATCAACTTTCCAGACGTCCTCTTATCTTCAGCCTCAAACATGTATTTGGCTTCGTCCTCATATTTGGCAGATTTGACAATAAGCGTGTGCCTCTTTCCATCCATCAGGAGTTCAAACTTGTCATCACTTGATAACTCCTGAGATCCCTTTAGCCAACGGAAGCTTTTGGGCTCTCTAGAAATTTCCAGTTCAAACTTTGCCTCATCCTTTTCGTACACATGCACATCAGCCAGTGGTGTAATGAATGACACTGGGAGTTCTGTTGATTCAGACAGGTAGAGTTAATATCAAGGTGTAGACTGAGAAGCAGAAAGAAGACCTGTGTGCTCCATCTTTTCATTGTCAAAGAGGAAAACAGTGAGCACAGTGCTTTGCTTGGAAAGGTGTTAAGATTCTGCACATGATGTGAACGCTCACCCTTCACTTTCAGGTTAGCAGAACACTTGGCGTTGGCAGCAGCAAACGCCACCTCGCCTGTCTGCGGCACTTTGCAGTTGTACAAGACCAGAGTGTGTTTGGCTCCGTCCTCCACAATCTCAACATCCTGCAGATGGCCAACAAACTTCAGCATTTCAGCAAACACATCAGGACTCACAGAAAAGTGATCAGGGCACGGCATGGTCAGTTCACTGTCATTTGTTAGCTAACGAGAGATCAACGCTCATCTTAATGCTGACAGGTTAGCATGTGAAACTTTTCAATACTTAGGATTCTTAACGAGATCCACATCCAAATGAAAGTGAATCAGACCACGGCTGAGAGAATATCTGCTGAGATGTACAGTATTTTAAAGACACATACGGCGGATGGACTGAGGATCTCTCCATTCAATTTCCACTGGCCGTGGACGTCGTCCTCACTGAGCTCGACCTCAAATCGAGCCGTCTCTCCGTCAAAAACTTCAACGCCATACAGCGGTCGAACCACCTTGATGTGGCGAGCTGACGTTCAAGAGAGGGGACATTTAAAAACATTTAAACATTCAACAAAGACACATACACAGGACATATACTGTATTTACAGTATCTACACACACACACGTATATACACATATAGACAACAGACACACACAGATAGAGTTGCCCATAATTTAAGGGAGAGCTTCTGCTTTGGCACCAAACAGAAACCTTAAGTTAAGGTCCTGTAAAGAAACCTCCTTTATTGAGCTGCAGAAACTTTCATTGGACCATAAATAACCAAATGGCTCTCAGTGGTGGCTCTAACAGTAAGGGCCTTGTCACACCTACAGTTGGTTTGCTCTGCTCTGATTCAGTTGATGAGTTTGTGAGATTGTCTGGCTGGAGCAGGAAAGTAAACACAGGAAGAAGGTGACAGGAACAATCTAGCTCTAACTTGTGAGTTCACCTGCTGGTGAGGTCGGATAAAGTTCAACTCTTTCACAACAAAAACGAACCGCTCCAGAGTTTGTTTGGGACTGGACCGAGACCACCTCCTCGAAAGGGTCTTGGTGTGATTGTTCTGGTCCAAACGAACCATACCAAAGGGGAAAATGATACAGGGTTTCGTTTCACCCTAAGAAACAATGTGATGATCCAGTTTTGCAAGGACAGTCTATGGGCCAGCAGAAAAGTTTTTACAGGTGTGAAGGTAAATCAATTAATCTGGTCATGTCACTGCAAAAAGGAAATTCTGATGAGCCATTTGGTTCAATATGAATCGATTAGAATAGTGTGGTGCCACAGTTCTACAAAAGGTACTGAAGACCAATGAAGGGGACAGATGCTCTCTTATGGGAACCATGAAAGCCTTCTGAAGAACTGTCTTCATGAGAGACAAACAGACAAAAAAGCAGAACATTAAGAGGCAGGTGCTCCGAGTGCAAAAACTGACTGAAAGAACAAGGCGATGGGGCGTGAGGTGTGGTTAGGAGGCGGTGCAGGTGAAGGGAAAGCTAAAGAGGTACGTCAAGAAGGGAGAAGGTGCCTCAAAAATCTAAAACAAACTCTGTCTTTACCTTCAATGTGCAGTGTTGCAGTCGTCTTGTCTGTTCCACAGTCACATACGTACTGTCCTTTGTCTTTGTCCCCAACTCTCTTGATCACAAGGCTTCTGCGTTTGTCCTCAGCCTTAATAGTCACCGTCTTAGAGGCCTTGATCTCGGCCTCATTGTGGTACCACATGACATTGACGTCTTTGCTGAGCTCACAATCTAGAACCACCTCGTCTTTCTCCACTGCAGTATAGTCCTGCAGCTTAACCGTGAAGTACGCGTCTCCCTCTGGAATGGGGACATTTTTGGGTGACTCTCCATTGCACATGTACAACACATGAAGTATATGGTACGAGTCAGACACGGGACAAAACAGTAACACAAAAAAGACGAGGAACACAAATGCACAACAAAGAAAAACAAACACAGAAACAATGTCTCACAAACACACAATAACGTCGTGTTGTGCAACCTGCACTGGAACAAACATGGACAAATTGTACAAATAGCTGTGGAGAAGAAGAAGAGACACACGAGACACAGGATGAGGACAGAGAGAGGACAGGTGGTTGCTCTTGGTTTACCTATGACTGTCAGGTTGGCCATGGAAGGAATTCCTTTGGCCTCAGCCTTAATCTGGCACGTATCATCTAGAGTCACTTCCCTTATTTCTAGCACGTGTTTCTTTCCGTCCACTTGAGTGAGCACTGTTCTGCTCGGATGAATTTTAATGTCGTTCTTGTACCAGGTGACGGGGATGTTCTCATGAGAGAGTTCCAGCTCGAACCAAGCCGTTTTGCCTTCTTTTAGAGTTTGGTCCTTTATTGGTGAGATAAATTTGAGCCTGATACCTATAATTGCATTAATAAAGCATATTCATATGAGTTAGCTTGCAAGAGGAGGCAACCCACTCAATGAATAGTTATGTCCAGTAATGGTGGTCCAGCACTTACCCTCCACTGTGAGTCTAGCTGTTGAAGTTTTGCCCAAAACCTCAATCGTATATTCGTCCTCATCATCAAACTCACAGCAGTTTATGATCAGCATATGCTTCTTTCCATCATCGATGATGTCATACTTTTGGTCTGGGGTGATGATGTCAGCCCCTCTATACCACATGACCTTAGAGACATCCTTCGTGATGGTGCATTCAAACTTAGCCTGTTTCTTTTCAGGCACAGAAACATCCTTCAGTGGGACAACAAAGTCCATTTCGATTTCTGGGTTAAAAGATGACACAGGTACAGTACATCAACAACACAACAAAACACAACAACAGCGCAACAGTCTACAGCAGGTGGTCAGTTTACCAAGTACACCCTTGTATGCTGCAGTGGGTTGTACCCATCCATGGCTCCAGAGATCTATAGAATAATACCACAGGGGTATGAGGGGGTATTGGGTATTTGTGAAAACACTACGCTGTTGCTTGTTGCTAGATTAGTGGATTTTAGTTCACTGATGGTATACACAGCTCATCACATCTTATCCTATAGAAAATCTGTTGGAGACATCTTCAAGTTGTGCAGGTCATCTAAGCAGAATGACATCACGGTGCATCTCCAGGATTGGTTAGAATGCATTGCGTTGAAGGCTAAAATGCTGTCACCAAGGAACTTTGTGTTGTTGGCTTTGTTGGTTTCCTCGTTGGTTTCTGGTTGGTCTTGCTGGCTTGTTGTTGGTCTTGTTGGTTTCTGGTTGGTCTTGCTGGCTTGTTGTTGGTCTTGTTGGTTTCTGGTTGGTCTTGCTGGCTTCTTGTTGGTCTTGTTGGTTTCTGGTTGGTCTTGCTGGCTTCTTGTTGGTCTTGTTGGTTTCTGGTTGTTCTTGTTGGCTTCTTTGTTTGACACGTTTTCCAAATTCTGAGAACAGTTTTATCAGAACCCGAGAAGAATCTTCATTGTCTGTGCCATTCTTCTTTCAACATCAGGTCCTCACCAGCTATGTTCAGCGTGTGACTACTGGGGAAAATCAACCATTTACTGATGTTCTAACGTTAAATCAAACAGTTACTGGACTCGGACTGGTTATTACTGTTATTTTTTGGTAAAACTAAGGCAATGTGATTTCATGTCTGGTAGAGTGACCCATTAATGAACATGGGTTTGGTGTAACTAATAAACTGGCCACTGTGCTTAGATTTAACAAAACACATTTAACCACGGACAATACGAATGTACTGTAGGGTAACATCACAACAGACAGACAGGTTTATATTTTCCACTGAACACACTGTAAAACAAACAGAACAACAAATACAGGACACCATTTTGAGCACTGGAAATACCTGGGCTCCCATGTGAAAATTCCTTTTCGTCTTCTTGGACTGCGGAAAGTCTCAACGAATGGTGCTAATAATAAATTCCACTTCTCAAACCTATTAAATAAAGATCTAAGGTCCGCTCTCATGTGCCATAAAGCTTTATTTTGTTGCCCACGGACCTTACGCCTTTATTTTTACAGCTAATATCCTAAAACCATGGTACACTGTAGTTCCGATCCTGGATACCAGGAATACGTCTTACCTTTGACATTGAGCATTGCATTGGTTACAGCATTCAGAGCCTGGTAGGACACTTCTCCAGCCTGGTCCAGTTGGCAATTTTTCAAGATGAGCCTACGCACTGTACCCTCCATCTGGATGTCGCACATCTGATGAATACATTACAGTACGTTTATATTTAGAAAATACTGATAATTAACATGCAAATGTAAAAATACATGCATCTAGACTTATCTGCCAAAAACAAGTCCACCAGTCTTACCGGGGATCTGGTCAAAACCTCTCCTTTGAGCTTCCATTCCCCTGGAACATCATCCTCAGAGATCTCTGTCTCAAATACAGCATCTTCCTTCTCAGTCACCTCAATGCTGGCCAAGGGCCTCAGGATCTCAGCCTCGCGCTCTAAGGAAGAGGTTGTATTAGTACTCATAAAAATATCAACCAAATGATAGAAAGATAGGTAAAGTATTTGAGGGGCTCAAGCTTAAAGGAAGGTAAATAGGCAGACAGATAAACCTCCTAGTGTCAGCTTCGCAGTGTAGACACGTCCTTCCACCTCCATGGCATATTCTGCCACGTCCTCAGGCTGACAATTCTTGATAGTGAGAGTCAGCTGCTTTCCTTCCTTCTTGATTTCAACCTTGTCAGAAGGAGTGATCTCATTCTCTCCTTTGAGCCACTTCCAGTTGGGAGTCTCCTTGAACAACTCGCATTTAAATATAGCGGCTGCCTTCGGTTTCACATGCTGGTCTCTCAGTGGTTTCACAATCCAGTCTTTGATAATTTCTGGTGGAGTTAAACACAATGTGCACCATTAATTACTATATTAAATATTACTAAAATATAGTCGGAAGCAGGGAAGAGGAGCTAAAACTGGCTTAACCGTAGTGAAACTAATTTCAGGTGGTTTTCACAGATTTCAGTTTGAAGTGATGTTTAGGGAGAGAATTCAGAACAATCTCAAGATACAGTTGTTAAGTTGGTAACCAAAAAACAAGAATGGGCCAAACATGGTGCCCTGAGGTACGATGACCACCATTCCTGCCCTTATACATTCCACTATACATTCCTTAGAAAGCGACAAAACTGGTATCGTTTCTGTATTTACGGACATGTACAATGATCTCTTTTTCTTACCAATCACTTTGACACTTGTTGTAGTCTTGACATCCTCCTGGTTGGCCACTTCACATGAGTAGGAACCAGAATCTTCATCAGTGGAGTTCTGGATGGTCACAGCGTGCTGCATACCAATGACATTGATCTGGACCTTGTTGGCCTTTTTCTTCAGGACCTCGCCATTCTTCTTCCACACCACATCTCTCTCTTTGTTCAACTCACAGGTCATGTACAAAGGCTGACCCTTCAGAGCCGAAGTCTCCTCCTCTAGCTCTTTGATCCATTTCACAGGGAGCTCTGTGAGCAGAGAAAAAGGAAATGAGCAATACAACGCTAGCTAGTGCTTAAATGGGATTATAAGGGAATTTAAGGCACAAAAAAGAATACCTTCAACAATGAGCTTGGCTGTGCATGATATTTCCTTGCCAGCGTTCTTGGCCACACAGGTGTATTCACCAGTGTCAGACAGCTGGACATCAATAATGTTCAACTTGCGATCCTTGCCATCAGAAGTAAACTTGTGCTTGGGGCTCTCACGCAGGTTGCTGCCATCTTTCATCCATGAAGTGATGGCGGTGGAAGGTGAGACCTCACAGTCAAACACAGCAGCCGAGCCAATAGACTCGGCTTCCTTCAGCACGATGTCCTGAAGCTTCTTGATGAACTTCAGAGGGACGGCTTTGAGCTTGAATCCTCCGAAGGGATCCTCTGGAGGCGATGGGCCCTTTCCACCAGGCCTCAGGCCCCGGCCCCTGCCTTCTCCAGGGGACGGGGTCTGCTTGGCTGAAATACAGATTCAATTGAGATTTTAATTTCAAGGATTCTGTGGCAGGTTTTCTTGCTGGGAATTCACAGCCACAGTTGCTAGGTTTTGATAGGTTTATAAAAACAACACTTACGTTTCAGCCCTCTACCTCTACCTCTTCCTGCCTCCTCTGCTGGTTGTCCCTCTGTTCAAAAATAATGAAAATAAATTTGCTGCACACAATGTAATTCTATGTCAATGTCTAAGTAAATAAATAATAAACGGCCGGGAAGTGATTGTCGTGGTAAATAATGACATTAAAATGAAGGCAGACAAAAACACAATAATGAATAATGAATAATTCAATTTTACTGTGACATAGTCTTCACACAATGAGGAGATGGAATAACAAACAAATGTAAAGATGGCATGAGTGGGGAGAACACATGTTGGACTGATGAGAATGGTGTGATAATGAAATGGCAGACACACAAATGACATGACAGACATGACAGAAAGCAATGAATATGACCTGACAGTGTGACAACAAAATGATAATTAACATAAAGAAACAAACAAACACGAAAGAGATGGCGTAAATCGCGTCACACTTAAGATATGGTGGGTAAAGATGAGATTTAGATGGAGGCATGATGGTGGTAATGGGTAGAGATTATACAGGGCATGAAGGGAGGGTTTTTCTCAGTTGTCACCCAACATGTTGGGGCCGCCACCGTCTCACCTCTCCTGGTTACCCCTGGAACCTCCAGAGCACCTTCTTCTCCTTCACCTTCCCAGTCCTCTGAGCCGTAACTCTCTCTGGGAACCATCTCCCAGCCCCAGGCCTCCTCTTCCTCCTGTGTTGCCTCTCCCTCGGCTTCAAACTCTTCTTCAAAGACCTCCTCCTCTGGCTGGGTGTCAACCTTCTTCATCTGCACAGCTCCAGGAGAGATCTCCTTCACCAGTGGGACCTTCCCTTTGCCAGGTTTTGCTGGTTCTGCACTCTTCTCCTCTTCTGGTGATGGCTTCTTTGGGACCTTTTTAAGAGTCACAGGTTCAATAGTGTCTTTTGGTGAAACTGTTTTAGGAACCTTTTTGAGTTTATCAACACTTGGAATCCTCTCAACAGGGACCGACTCTGATTCTTTAAGCTTTTCAACTTTAGGAGATGGTGTCTTTTTCAGCTCAACCTTCTTAAGCCTCTCCACAGGCTTCAGAGAAATTTCTTCCTTCTCCTCTTTTGCCTTAGGTGTGAATCCCTTCTTCAGCTGCATAGGTTTGGGTTCCTCAGGAGCCTTCTCCGGTCTCTTAACAGAAGCTGGCACCGGAGACGCTGTCTTCTCCACTGGAACTGCCTCTACTTCCTTTGGCTTCTCCGGCTTCTTCTCCGGAGCCTCCAGGATCTCAGGTTTCTTCAGTCTTGCCTCTGGCTCTCGTTCTTTTGGTTTTTCATCTGGACTTATGCGACGACGGTGCAGGTCGTCGGTTGGCTTCTTCTCTTTCTCCTCTGATGGCTTCTTCTCAGGCTCTGCAGCCTCTTTGGAGGGCCTGGAAAAGGGCTTCAGCTTGACACTTTCTATCTCTTGTTCCTGTGTTGGGATTTGCTTCACCTTGGTGGGGGCTTTAATCTCCTCTGGCTCTTTCTCTGGAGTTTTCTTTTTATCTACTGGCTTTGACACCTTGGCCGGTGGCTCCTTTATCTCTGGAGGTGTTTTCTCAGGTTTTTTGGGAGGTTCTTTGGTTTCCACCTCTCTGGGGATCCTCTCTCCTTTCTGGAAAGGCACAGTGTCCCTGTCTGCCCTCTCCTTTTTGTCTTTCTCTGGCTCCTCTGCTGTTTTAACAGGCTTTTCAAATGGTTTTAATTTGACTACTTCTGGTTCCACTTCATCTGAAGGCAATTTTTTAACTTTCTTCAAGGCTGCACTAGGTGGTGCAGGTTCCTCTTCCTTTAGTGCTTTGGGAGTTTTCTTAAGAGTGATCTTATCTTCTGGTTTCTCGTCTTTTGGGGTGGGTTTCTGGCGGGTCCACGCATCTTTAGGAGCCTCTGCTTCTGTCTTTTCTTTAGGTTTAATAATATCTGGCTTTTTCACCACATCTGCTTTCTCTCGAGGCTTCCTCTCCTCCACAGGTCTCCTGGTGGCGACTGACATCTCAATCATCTCTTCCTTATGCACCATCTCCTCAACACTGAACACAGTGGTCTTGGTGACCTTCTGAGGTTTTTCCTCTTCTTCAGCCTCTTTAATTGGAACTGATGGAATCTTCTTCAGTTTAATAATCTCCAGTTCTTCTTCCACTTCCCTCATGACTCTGGTTGTTTTCCTCAAGGTGGGAATCTCAAACGTTCCATCCTCTTCCAACTGAATTTTACCTTTTTTGAGTGGAACCGGCAGCAAAGTTTTGACATTACTTACTGACAGATATCACATCACAATATGTACAAACACACACACACACACACACACACACACACACAAACACACACACACACATACACACACACACATTTAATACTGGGAAAATGACCAAAATAAATACAAAAATACAGAGAAACAAAAAGAAAGAAAAAAAAAAAACCTCAATAATTGGTTTTTAAAACCTAATAAAAAAACAACTTCAGATGACAACAGACATACAAAAGGACAAAAACAAGACAAAAAACTTTCACAGAATTACAGGAAACAACACAACACACACACACACACACACACCACACACAAACACACACACACATATATATATATATATATAATATTATATATATATCTATACTTTTTTTTATTAATAGATTTGAAATAGGTCTGTGGAAAGCTTGTTTTGATATGTGTGTGATGAACCAAATAGATTAGTGGTCAACTCCTTGATCTTCTTTGGACATTTAGTCTCTTAAAATGTCCAAATGATGATTTGAAACTCAACTGTGAAGCAGGTGTAGTTTTTAGCTTTGAGGTGCTTTAACAGAAGTAGGTGGCGTTCCTTTATAGCCTACAAGTGCTGTTGCTGTGTACTGTGTGCACTGAGGTAAAGTGAGTGGTAATCGGTGCTCCTACCTTTCTTGACTCCTCCCGGTGCTTGGACGGGTCCCTTGGTTTCATCTAATACAGAGGTATAGTTCAGAAAGTTGTTAATTAGGCCACATACTCAGACTGAACAGCATTTTAATTGGTTTAAAAATGGGTAGACCTTAAGAACCTGTCATCAAAAATTCAGAAATAATGAATGTTTTATACAGAATGTGGATGACAGTGGTGACTGAGATACAAAGTAAAGCAGTTCAGTATCATATGATGTAGTTGAATGACATGAAAAATAGTATCATAAGCAAAGATAAAGAGGTGACATGAAGTTGTGTCCTAGGACAAATGTAGCATGCTTGTGTTGGATTCAAGATCAATGAATTAATGACCAAAAAACAGGACACACAACATAAAAACAACAACAAAAACCAGATAAGACAGACTCACAAGGTAATCAACAACAACAGTGAAGACACACAAGTGTGTGGTTATACAGTCAACATTTGCAGTGACGAAATAAGATGTGAAAAAGATGAAAAGGCCAAAAAAAATCAATCCAACAAAAATGATTATTTCTTCTCAGTCTTTTAAATGCCTCTACCTGTTTTAGGAGCTATCTTTTCTACCGTGATCGGTTTTTCTTCTTCCGCAACCACCTTGGTCGGTTCCTCAGCCTTCACAACAGGCTGTGGTACGATCACTTCAAGTATAAAAAAGTGGAATTGAAGTATTGTCAAGAATTACCAAAACACACACAAGGCTTTGGTAAGAATTTGTTAACAATTATTGTCTGGATACCTGGCTTAGTTTCTTCTTGTGGAGTAATTCTCTTCTCCAATTTCTTTGCTTTGTCAGTGACTTCAGGCCGTTTGGCAGCTTCTTGAACTTTTACAGCAGCCTGTGGTTTGATTTCTTAAAGTACAAGGTATACAGGGAATTCAACAGAAAGTTCTCCACAGACATTTCATTCTAGCTCCGATAGCTTGTCAAAACTCAGAGCCTAAGTTCATTATGCTAGTCCATGTTTATAATGACCCTGTTTGCTTTCTTTTCTTTCCATAGCACTTCAATCTTTTCAGTGACTTGAGTAATATGTTGGGTTTCTTCAGGATAAAGTTTCAAAGATTCAGATTTGCTCAAGAGTGACATTCTTTTACGAATGTCTTAAGAAAACTCACAAAACACACAGACGTAAACACCAAAACACATTTAAAAGAGAAGCTGGGTACCTGGTTGAGGAACAGCTGGCTTTACCAATGGTTCTTTGACTTGTGGTGGTGACTCCTTCTCCTTCACAGGAACTTGGAAATGAAATTATATGACAATCAGAACCTCACTAAGATTGATGGGGTGAGCACTGAAGCATGCAAAGACAAATAACAAAGAAAACCCACAGTGAAAACATGGATGAGGAGAAGAAATTTCCAAGAAATCTCCACAAAAATATCTCACCTCACCGTCGTCTGTGGAAAACATTTTGTCTCAACACACACAGGTACAGTGACACATAAAGGACACAACAACAGAATTAGAGAAAACAATTAGAAAAACCCAACATACAGAATGGGACTGTGGTGGTTTAGATATCGGGTGATAAGAAACCAAAAAAAAGAGACTGTCTCAGTCGACAGCATGGTGGTTCCTCACGATGACCAAGAATACAGTTTGTGCCCAAACAAAATGGGTGATATGATATGGATATCCTCTTGAAATTATGACGACAAAGAGGTATGAATCTGATAAATCTTATAGTGGATGATAAAGGAGGGGTGTACAACAATGTTTGGTGCTCAGATCAAAAAACACGTGCTCGTGACAGAGAAAATTTTTCCCTATATACCTCTTGACGATTCTTGAAGGGAGGCATTTTCTTTCCCTTCTGGTTCCAAAGACAAAACCCTTCTTTCTATGAAGGATTGACGTCCCTCAACTTCTCCCTCCTTTCTGGTTATGGTTTCAGCTTCCTGAGGAGGCAGGTATCGGACATGTGCCTCCAGACAGGACTGTTCAACTTCTGATTCCCATTTCCTGGTGGCACCTTCCCCATGTTCTGGAGCATCTGTTTTGTAGTAAGCAGTCTTTTTCTCGACTGTCTTTGGCTTGGTTGTATCTGTTACCGAGGGTTTTTTGACTGTGGGCTCATGCCAAGGCATCACATCAATATCATCTTTTGACTCTGTTGTTGTAGGTATGTATTTTTTGGAAATCTTCACTTCTTCATCGAACATCTCTGGGGACTGATAAATTTTCTTACTTCTTTTTGTGGGTGTAACTAATTGCTCAACTTTGATTTGTTCTTGTTCTCTGGTTTTTACATCAATTTTTTCTTTTTCATGAAATTCTTTGATGATTTTGCCTTTCCCTATCACTGTTTCTGTCTTGATTTCCTTGGGTTTAGCCAATTTCTGTTGTCTTTCCAAAGCATCCAGCTCAATTGATGACTCTTTTGATGTTGTCTCCAACAGAGATGTAACTGTGGATTGCCTTTCAATTTGTTCCTGTTTCTCTCTCATTCCTTCTATGGAACTAAGTTTTGCAGCTTTGTCCTCAATTATGACTGTTTTTGGTCTTTCACCTTTGTCTTTAATGTCTAGTTTAGTTGTTTTAAATTCCTGTTTTGTTGTGGCTCCGTCTTTGAGAATATACTTTTCTGGTCTACCATCTGCTGTAAGTGATTCTGTAGATGTCACCTCAGTTGTAGGCATTACCACAGCTTTGCTTTCAGTGTGGTCCAGCTTCATCTTTGTTCCTTGAATAGGACTAATAGTAGCTGTTTTATCCATATCCATCCATAACATCTGCCTGTTATCTATTGTGGATTCGTCTTTCTCTAATGAAATACCATCAGACTTGTAAACCTTTTTTGTAAATGTAATGCCTTCTACTATCTCATCAGGGGAAATATATCTTAGTGGAGTATCTGATGTAATATCTCGTTCTTTTGCAATCAACGGTTTTTCATATGCAACATTCATTACAGGTGTCCTTGAAGCTTTTCTTTCTATTTGTTCCTGCTTTTCTTCTGTAGTCGTAGTAACACTGAGAAAAACATCCTTAACTGTGTCTGTTTTAGACTGAATGCCTTCAACTGTAACCTGTCCTTGATCTTTCAGGGAGTCTGCTTTCTTTGGAGATGTACTATCATATTTACCTTCTCCATGTCTTGGTGAATGGACTGCCTTTGCTGTAGTTTCTTCTCCTTCCTCCTTTTGGTGAGTAACAGCTGTCATTTTTGCCATTTGTTGAGTTAGTGTCTGCTTCGTTGGTATTGTATCACCCACAAATGCAATTTTGTCCATTTTAAATTGACTTGTGCCTTCTTTTACTACTTCTACACTTTCCTTGGCAGAATCTGGAGTTTGTGAATGTCTTATGAGTGAACCCTCACTGGATTCATAAATGTCCTCTTTCCTTGATGCAATGTGTTTTACTAGTTTGTCAGGTGTAATAAATCTTTGGAGAGTATCTGATTTTAAATCTCCATCTTTAACTATGAGATGTTTTTCAGATGCAACCTCCATTATAGGTGCAATTGAAATTGTTCTTGCTACTTGTTCCTTTTTTGTTTCTGTTACTTCAAATGGAGTAACACTACCATATTCATTTTTAACTGCAACTGTCTTGGACTGCATGTCCTCAGGATACATTTTTGTATGTTTGTCCAACATCTGTCCTGTCTTTTTTACACATTTTGGTTCCTTTGACTGAATGTCTTTAATCTCTGTGTCTGTCAACCCTGTTACAGGAGTAACAGCTGTCTTTTTGTCAGTTTGCTTTTGGGTATGTTTTATTTCTTCAGCTGGAGAAAATGTGGTGGTTTGGTCTACAACTGTAAGTTTTTCTGTAGCTTCTTGCTCTACTGAAGATTGTAGATATTTTACTTCTGGTTTTGATGTAACTGAGGCTTTTCTTTCAATTTGCATGTGACTTTCAGGTAATTTCTCTCTAATGGGTGTAACCTCTGTTTTATCTTGAACTGTGTCTACTTTTGACTTGACTTGTTCAGTTTTAATGTCTGGGTGACTAGACTCCATTCTCTTTGGTGAAACATCATCCGTTTCATAAATATCCTTTTTTATTGATGTTATATCTTTCACTAGCTGATCAGGTGTGGTATACCACTTGAGAGTGTCTGATTTAACATCTCCATCTTTCACCATCTGAGTTCTTTCAGATGCAAACTCCATCACAGGCGCCACTGAAAACTTTGTTTCAACTTGTTTTCTTTCTGTTACTTCAAATGGAGTAACACAACCATATTTATGCTTTACTACGACTATCTTGGACTGCACTACCTCAAAAGAATTTTTTGTACTTTTGCCCAGCCTTTGGCCTTTCTCTGTTTGGGATTTTG